TATGAGGGTAGATTATACATCATACATTCTTCATCTTAATAAAAAGCAAACCAGTCATCTCAAGTTTGATCTATCTTCCCGGTCATTGATTTTTTCATTTTCCATTTGAAATTGAATTCTACAGATATCTTTGGATCTCAGAAACTCACAGATAACTAGAAAAATCAGTCACCATTACTCAAACATTCATAGCCCTTTGGTCAAACAGTGTTCAGATCATTTTCAGCCACATGCCTTATTTTTAAGTAAGAGCAGTCTGCCAGTGATGTATTTCCTTTGCTCTTTCAGTTATTATCTGCTACTTGAGGCACTGACTTGACATCTATTGAGCATCTGCCAGTTATTGGGAACTGACAGCACACAGACAAACAAGATATAACTCTTATCCTCAAAAAGTGATAATCTAACAGTGGAAAAATTATAGTCGCAGGTGATTATATTTCACAATAATAAATGCTATCACAGAAGGAAGTAGGGTGTGTACTTAGTTAAATAATTAATTCAATAACTATTTAGTGGTTGCCCATTATGGGACAAGCACTGCTCCAGTCTATGGGAAAATAATGGTTAACAAGACAGATAGGACTCCTGTACCTATGAAGATTGAATTTAATTGGGGGACAGGCAGAGACAGGGCATCCACTGATAAATAAATGAGTTACATTTCAAAAGAATAAAGCAGGGAAAATAGTGAGAGCAACTGCGAGCTACTTTAGATTGTGTGGTCAGGGAGGAAGTCTTGAAGAGGAGATGTTTGAGCTGAGACCCGAAGGTCATTCAGGAGCAGGGCATGTAAATGTCTGGGAGAAGGGAGTTTTCAGCAGAGGGAATAGCAGATGCAAATGTCCTGGGGCGGGAGCAATTTTTGTATTTAAAAAAACAGAAAGAAGACCAATGTGGCTGGAGAGATGAGCAACATTGAGGTCATATGGTGTAACGGATCTATAGGGAGTTTGAATATTTTATTTTAGGGTAAGGGTGGATTTTAAAAGGGAAGATGGGTGACATGATGTGATTTGTGGCTGCTATGTGAAAAATGAAATTTAGGGATTCCATTTTATTGCAATCTTCATTGCAAGACTGGATGCAGACACAACAGTGTGGAGGCTCATGCAGAAATCTGGGTGAGAGATGATGGCAGCCTGGACTTGGGTAGTAGCAGTAGACGAAGAGAAGTGAATGGATTTGGGATACATTTTGGAGGCAGAGTCAACAGTACTGTTGGATTACCCGAGGGAAACGAGGAGAGAGAGAAATCAAGAATTGTCCTCAGGTTGGCAACTGGGGTGTTGCTATTTGCTGAGATGGAGAAGGCCAAGGGAAATATTGAAAGTTCTATTTTGGACACATTTTGTTTGAGATGCCAACTGGATTTTCAACTGGAGAAATCAACCCAGTGGCTGGGATACATGAGTAGGGTCCGAAAGAAAGGTCCGGCTGATATTTGAAATTTTTGTTTCACTTGAAAGATTGGATTTCAACATGTATCCCACCCTTGTCCCTGTGTGCTGTGCAGAACTGCAGAGGCCTGCGATCTGAAGTGCCACGAAGTCTCCTCTCCTTAGTTTCAGAACCATCCAACCATTCTAGGGAGTCAGGTTTCAAATCAAAGCCAAGGTAATCAGAATTTCTAGCATTTTCTATCTTTTGTCCTCATCAGTTCCCTGAAGGGTGGCAGCAGAGAAGTTTCAGCCAACTTAGAACTTGTCTACAAGCTACCTTGCAATCCAAAACTAACACCTACGTCACTCAAGCTCCCAAAGGCTCAGATCTCAACTCTAGAATCTCTACTCGGTTTACAGGCATCCCTTGTTTTAATGTACTTTGCTTTACTGTACTATACAGATATTGCATTTTTTTGTAAAGTGAAGGTTTGTGGCAACCCTGTGTTGAGCAAGTCTATCCATTTTTCCAACAGCCTGTGCTCCCTTTGCATCTCTGTGTCATATTCTGGTCATTCTCACAACATTTAACACCTTTTCATTATTATTATGTCTGTTACGTGATCTGTGATCAGTGATCTTTGGTGCTACTATTGTAAATGTTTTAGGGCACCACAAACCGTGCCCATGTAAGATGACGAACTTCATTGATAAGCTTTGTGTGTGTTCTGACTGCTCCACCCACCGTCTGTTTCTCCACCTCTCTCCCCTTCTTCAGGCCTGTCTATTTCCTGAGACATGACAATATTGAAATCAGGTCAATTAATAACTCTACAATAGCCTCTAAATGTTCAAGTGACAGAAAGAGTCTCAAGTCTCTCATTTTAGATCAAAAGCTAAAAATGATTAAGCTTAGTGAGGAAGGCACATGGAAAGCTAAGATAGGTCAAAAGCTAGGCCACTTACACCAAATAATTAGCCAAATTGTGAATGCAAAGGAAAAGTTCTTGAAAGAAATTAAAAGTGCTACTCCATTGAACATATGAATGATTTGAAAAGTAAAACAGCCTTGACCACTCATATGAGAAAGTTTGCCTGGTCTGGTTAGAAGACTAAACCAGCCACAATGTTCTCTCAAACCAAACCCTAATCCAGAGCAAGGCCCCAACTCTATTCAATACTATGAAGGTTGAGAGAGGTGAGGAAGGTGCAGAAGAAAAGTTGGAAGCTAGCAAAGACTGGTTCATGATGTTTAAGGAAAGAAGCCATCTCCATACCATAAAAGTGAAGGTGAAGCAGCAAGTGCTGATGTAAAAGCTGCAGCAAATTATTCAGAAGATCTAGCTAAGATGACTGATGAAGGTGGCTACACTAAACAACAGATTTTCAAGGTAGACGAAACAGCCTTCTATTGCAAGAAGATGCCATTTAGAACTTTCATAGCTCAAGAGGAGAAGTCACTGCCTGGCCTCAAAGATTCAAAGAACAAGCTCACTCTCCTTGCTAATGTAGCCGGAAACTTTATGTTGAAGCCAATGCTCATTTAAGATTCCAAAATTCCTAGGACTTTTAAGAATGGTGCTAACTCTGAGCTCTCCTCTACCTGGACTCTGTAAATGGAACAACAAAGCCTGGATGACAGCACATCTGCCTACTGCACAATTTACCAAATATTTTAAGCCCACTGTTGAGACCTAATATTCAGAAAAAGAGATTCCTTTTAAAATATTTCTACTCACCCCAGAGCTCTGATGAAGATATACAAGGAGATGAACATTGTGCTCATGCCTGCTAACATGACATCCACTCTGCAGCCCATGAACCAAGGAGTAATTTTAACTTTCAAGTCTAATTATTTAAGCAATACCTCTTGTAAGGATACGGCTTCCATAGACAGCGATTCCTCTGATGGATCTGGGCAAAGTCAATTGAAAGCCCTCTGAAAACCATTCTAGATGCCACTAAGAACATACAGGATTAATGGGAGTTCAAAATATCAACATTAACAGGAGTTTGGAATAAGTTGATTCCAAGCCTCGTAAATGACTTTGAGGGGTTCGAGACTTTAGTGGAGGAAGCCACTGTGGATGTGGTGGAAATACCAAGGGAACTAGAGTTAGAAGTGGAGCTTGAAGATATGAATGAATTGCTCCAATCTCATGATAAAACTTGAGCGGATGAAGAGTAGCCTTTGATGGATGAGCAAAGACAGTGGCTTGTTGAGATGGAATTTATTCCCGATGAGGATGCCGTCCACATTGTTGAAATGACCATAATGGACTTAGAATGTTACATAAACTTAGTGGACAAAGTAGCAGTAGGGTTTGAGAGGACTGACCCCAGTTTTGAAAGATGTTCTGCTGTGGGTAAAATGCTCTCAAACAGCATCACATGCCACAGAGAAATCTCTCGTTAAAGGAAGAGTCAATCAGTGTGGCAACCTTCGTTGTTGTCTTATTTTAAGATATTGCCGCAGCCACCCTAAACTTCAGCAACTACTATCCTCATCAGTCAGCAACCACCAACAACAAGGCAAGACCCTCCACCAGAAAAAAGGTTATGACTCCTAAAAGCTCAGATAATTATTAGCAGTTTTTAGCAATAAAGTGACTTTTTTCATTAAGGCATGCACATTTTTTTTTTAAACATAAAATCATATTCTGTACTGAACAGACTACGGTATAGTGTAAACGTAATTTTACACGCACTGGGAAGCCAAAAAATGTATGAGTTGCTTTATTGATATATTCACTCTACTGCAGTAGTCTAAAACTGAACCTGATCTCCAAGGTATGCCTGTAGGTCACATGTATTTTTTTTTTCTTTCTTGGATGTGAGGAAAAGGGCAAGGACACGAATTTTAAATTATCAGAAATAAAATAAGAAGGCCCTGGAACTTATAAGATGAGCATTGAGCCACTTCCCCTTCAAAATCTTCCTGTTTGCCCTGTATTAGGTTGTGGTGACAGTTTTACGTCTCTTCCCTCCATCCTTTCATAGCTGTGGATATTCTCCTGGTGTGAAGCAGACAAAGGGTGTCCCTTGAAGGACTTGGCTCCCGTCATCCTAAAGACACTGGGTATCTTCCTTACTGCCATACGGCAGCATTTACCGGAGAGAGAAAGTGAGGATGAATGAGCAGACCTCAGCTAGATCCTGGGACTGGGAAGGGACTCGGGGCAGAGGTGTTCTCCTGAGCAGAACTGGGCTGCTAATAATGTTCTGAGGTTGGGATAGTCAGGGATCTCAAAAGGGAAGAAAGGAAGTGAAAAGAATGGGCAGGGTTCAGAAAACCATCTCCATGACTGAGAAAATCTTGCATAATTACATTTTATACATGTAGATAATCATGTGTGTTATATTTTTAGAGGATGATTCTAGAAAATGTTTCTGCTTGCCACCAGGGGAGCTGGTATTTAGTTATTATATTTAGCAGGCAAGGGTAATAATTGGGCCAGCATCGAAAACATTAGCCTAATGCTAGTATAGCAGAAAATCCTATTGTGATGGTCTTAAAGTCCTACAATTATGCATATATTAGAAATTTTTTAATGAAGATTCAGTGAAATTTGTAAATATGAGGCCATTGTGTTAAAAAAACATGAAATAGAAAACATATTTCAAAATCACACACACGAGATTTATTTTACATTTTTCACCTACTCGGTCATTTGACCTGTTACTACATTTATCAAACTTCTGAAACCAAGTGACAAATATCCATGAAAGATCAGTTATAATACAGGCACCTCCAGAGCCTAGATTTAAAACTACAATCAAAATAGCACACAGTTGGATTATAGAAATTTTAAAAAGTGCAATCAATTTCTAATAGTAAGTTTTTGGTTTTCCAGATGATGTCTATATCATGGTGTTGCCAGTGGATAGGTTACCAGATTTATTGATATCAGATAGTATGACCAATGATATTTAGTATTTTTAGCCATGAGAAATGCACTAAAATCTATTTCAAAAAGTTTGATACTTTAGAATTCTTACTAAAATATCAACTTTTCAAAGTGTCGAACTCCCAGAAAAGTAAATACATAAATTTCTCAGTCTAGGTTAGAAAAAAAGTGTTTTAAGGTTTTGATTTTTTTAAAAAAAACTGAAACAAAATTTGTTTACCATACTCAGAAACTTAAGCAATGCTATAAAAGTGAATTTATTGATTCAGCGTTGTACAGAAAACGGGAACCAGGTGGCTGCAGAGATTCGGAGGCTGTGCCAGGAGGTTGGCTTAGTCAAATGCCACTCGCTGCCCCCCCCCCAGCCCACCTCCTCCCACAGGAAGAACCATTTCAGTGCTTATAATGTAGTTTCTAAAAATGTAACATTGATGCCGTAAAAACAAATGTCTTAAAAAAAAAAAACCACAGGCTTAACCAGGAACACAGAATTTGGGGTTTTAAGGCTCTTCCTGTGGGAGGAGCTTCCACTTTACTGAGGGATCAATTTCCTCACCAAAATCTTCCAGCTCCTGCTCTTTGGAGAGTTCCAAGAAAACCTGAAAGGGAGGAAAGAAATTAAGAGAGGAGAAAAATGTCATACTGCCCCCTGTGCACACTCCTTCCAAGCATACCTTCCATGCCAGTGCAAAGAGTATACACCTGTCACACATTTGACATTCCACGGATGATACAGAATCACTGAAAACGACCCACCTGCTCCAGGGTAGACTGCGAGAGGCTGTACTCTTCCAGATCGAAGCTCTGTTTAACTGAATAAGGATGAACATGTATTAGAGGTTTAGTATTTTTCTTTTATACCTATAGGGTCTGATAAGTCAGCATGCAATACAAATAATACATTATTTTTTTAGAAAATCTTCAATAAATAGGTTAAGGTAATATGCATCCCTATCTTTAAGTATATCATTCAGTTAAAAATACACCAATGCATTTACTTAGGTTTTGGGGGAAAAATGTGCTTGTGTTGTATTTGCTTATTACACAGTTTTTGAGATCTGTATTTAAGGGAGGAAATCACACTGGGAAATCCTCGTTTCCTGTGTGTGAGCCAGTGCTTTTTGCACATTCAGCACAGGGAGATATGGCAGGAAGACACATTTTGAAAAGAGCTGCATCGGAAGATTATAGAGAAGGTTATCTGAGCTTTCTTAGTGAGCAGATATCGTCATGGGTCTCTTTCCAAAAGCCATTGCAGCTTCCCCTAATTACGTTGAAAATTCTTCTTATTGACGGAAGTAGACCGGGAGGGACATTAGAGCTCTGATAGGAGCCAGCAGACTGGCAGCATGCCACCAAAAGTTCCAGCATAGTATTGGGCATCAGTGCCAATCTGGGGAGTGCTGACCCAGAAAGTTGGGGTGCTCAGCTCAGAGAAAGAAGAGACGATGCATCACTGTGACCACAGATGCTATCTATCAACAAGAGTCAGGAGAGTCTTCTGGAACCAAGAGATTTAAATCTCTTCCTCAGGGTAGATGACAAACAAGCAAAGACATGTCACTGAGTGGTGACAATGAAAACAGTGTAGAGAGGCAGTTGCCACTAGCACAGTTCACAGTAACAGAGTTAATGGCCTAGAAGTGCAAGGAAAACACGGATCTGTTATGCTGGATGCAGTGTGGTCAGTTTTAGAGTACAACAGACCCAAGAACATTGTTTCAACAACCAGGCAGAAGTTAGTTTCTTAACATACAACCTAAGGCAATGAAATAATATGCCAGTCCACAGAAAAGTTAATTGGAAATATGCAAGCATCAATCTTCCAAAAAAAAGTATTTTTTCTTAAGTGAATATATAGCTGGGTTTTGACTTAGGTCATACAAATATATATGCAAAAATACACAGAAAAAAAACTCCACAAAGCAAAAGTAAAAATCACTCCCATTTGCCACACACATGCACAGAATCCCTCCTCTTCCTTCCTTGGTTTTGGTGGTCTTAAAATTCAATTTGAGATTTTAACTTTTAAACGTAATGCATTATGTCACATTTCATATTTGTCATGTAGATGGATTATTTTATGATTTGGAATTATGTCCTTTCCATAGTCTTATTTCAAAGTTATACTTCTTACCGTTCTCTAATTTGAAGAAAGCTTGGGCTAACGGCCGCACATCTTCCACCGGCAACTTATACACCATCAGAGAAGAGAACCTGAGAGGAGAGAAGAGGAGAAGAGAGTGGATTGTTTTCTTTGCTGCGTAGAAGGTTTTCAGTTTGATATCATCCTACTTGCTTATTTTTGTCTTTGTTGCCTATGCTTTAGGTGTCACATCCATGAAATCATTGCCAAGAACAACGTCATGAAGATTTTCCCCTATGTTTTCTTCCAGGAAGTTCTACAGTTTCAGGTCTTACGTTTACATTTTTAACCCATTTTGGGTTGATTTTTGTGTGTGGTGTAAGATAGGGTCCAATTTCATTCTTTTGCATATGGATATCTGGTTTTCCCAACATTGTTGGCTGAAGAGACTGTCCTTTCCCCCATCTTGTTTTCTTGGCACCCTGGTCCAAAGTTCAGCTGACCATACATGAATAGATTTATTTCTGGGCTCCCTATTCTGTCCCACTGGTCTATGTGTCTGCTGTTATGCCAGTACCATATTGCTTTAATTAGTGTAGCTTTGTATCTGGCTCTTTATTTCTGTAAATGAGAGTCAGTTTGGTGTAGGTAAAGAGTGTAGGGTGAATCTATAATAACCAAAAGGAAGCAGTTTACAAGAGAACTGGGCAAAGTGAGTGTTAAGACTCAGTTTAGTGTCCTTGGCTGCTTGAATGGAAGTGGGTGGGTGCTGCCCAGCTGATATTTCAAGAGTTGCCAAAGCCATCTTCCACTTTATTTTCTAAGCTGAACACTTGATCTTCAACTTCATCCTTTAACCAGGAACCGACTGAGTTTCTTAAAATTCCCCAACTTGGGTAGAAATTTAGGTGTATTCCCTGTAAGACTCATAACGTCTGCTTCTCCTCCATCCTACTCAAACTGACTTCCTAACATAGGACAATGTAATTGAGCCTCTGACTAGGAGACCAGGAATTTAGCATCAAATAATGTCAGCAACAATAATATTTCAATAATTTGCTTCTCAGATAAATGTCCATCTTTTCATCATTTTAAAATCAGGAAGATTTACCTTTCTTTTCATATCACTTTGTATATTTATGGGGCAACCATTCTCATCCATTTTGCTTATTTCCTGTATTTTCATGATATATTTCTATTCCATCGTGGGCTGCTCATTGAGTTATAGCATTGCTTTGATATTTACATTCTACTATAAAAATGTATTTTTCCTTATTATTATTATGGCCTATTTCTCCTTATTATCTTTTTTTCTCTTCTAACTCCTAAATCACTTCTTTTGCAGTTAATTCGAGATATTAAAAATGACTGTAAAGTTGGTCTTGATTTTTGCTGTATGTGGATGGTACTATTACCTGAATTTATATAAACTTGGAAATATTAATAGATTTGAAATAAAATAATTAAGTTTGCCTCCTGGTTCTGCAGCTTGTTAGCTCAGTCATGTGACCTAGCCACTCTGTCAATTTCCTTTTCATAAAGATAATAATCAATTCCATTTATGAAGGTCTTTGTAAAGGCCAGACCCTCATAATACTTTTTTTGAAGTCTGCTCCTTTTCTATTTGAATAAGAGTGTCTACTTTGAAAAGTCTCTATGAGGATTGGATAAAATAACACAATACCAGGACAGTACCTGGCACACAGTGGGACCACAACATTCACTTTATCACCTTTTACATCTGCTCTCTCTTCTCCAGTTTACCTCCTGCACTATCCAACAAATAATCTCTATAATTTAGGTTTCCTTTACGAATGACTACAAGTCAATGTAACCGACAAGAAAAAGTGAACATTTGGTGCCATATTGAAAACAGCCCCTGCCTTTACCTTTCCTGCCGAGCAGCTTGTGGGAAAAGCCTCAGAACCTCTGCGTGGAGGGGCTCCACTTGTGCGGGGGTCTTTACCTTCATCTCCAGCAGATAATCTTTGCCGAATTTGCTTTTCAGCTGTTGGATGGAACCGATGCATCTGGAGGGAGGAGGAGGATGAGTTCAGAAGAGAAAGGGAGAAAAGAATCTACAATCCAGTGTTTGAGGCCCTCGAAAATGCTGCTGGCATTTTCTCAAGGTCCTTACTGTTAGACCTGGGCTCAGCAGTTCAAGCTGTTCTCAGCGATGTTCTCAGACAAAATCTTCCAGCCATGCACTATGGGTGCTGGTGCGGGCTCGGGGCGGGCACTCACCTCAGCCTTCCAGACACCATGATGGCCACTCGGTCACACACAGCCTCAGCCTCTGCCATGTAGTGGGTGGTCAGGAGGGCGCCCCTCTCCGTGTTTCTAAAGGTGGCCCGGATTGCCTGCCTACATTGTCAAGAAATGATTTATTTAATGGCAAAATTGATTTATTGTCCAGAAATTTAGGAAATCCTCTAATTAACCAGAAATGGATAGAAATAAGAATTTTTAACTGACATGAATATGAAAATTAGCAAAAAGAGATTAAGCTAAGGGAACGCTCCTAAGAGGGCAGATAAGATGAGGAAGGGCAAGCTGGTGAGAGCTGTTGAACTGAAAAAGGGAAGTTTGCAGAATACATTTATTACAAGGTTGCATGGAAAGAGAAATGCTGAGGGAGAGAGAATTGTTTATGAATAGGCTGTGGGAAGGAAAGGAAGACACAAAACTCAGCAACGGCACTGTCATAACCTCGTGGGAAGAAAATAAGTGCACGGTGAACACGCAATGACCACTTTTACAACTTCATGAAAACTACCATTCTCATGGTAAGTACTAGACACTGTGATTGTGGTACAGAAATGCACCACACTCACCTCAAAGATCAATTGAGCAATTACAATACTCAGTGAGTACCTGCACCCCCTGACAATGGTTATTCTTCTTTTAATAAGAAATGGTTATAAAATAATATCAGGGAAATTTTTTTTTTTTGCAAAGTATTGGTTTTACTAATGATATTGATCTCTTTTTTTTATTATTATTATTATTTCCACCTTGAAAAACAATTTTTGTGGGAGTAAAATGGTTGACCAGCTTGCTGCAAGGCTCCCACGTGGCCCCCCACTGTGGGAACGCTCCTCACCACATTTGCTGCTGCCCCTCGGGGTCCATCCCGGTCGACGGCTCGTCCAGAAGCACCACCGACGGGTTCCCCAGGATGCTCAGCGCGAAGCACAGCTGGAACAAGAGTGACAGCCAGTCTGGCACCTGTCTACGGCAGTATGCAGAGTAATACTAAGCCCTGCCGTACCTTTCTCTTCATCCCCTCCGATAAGGTCTTCGTGGGAGTCTTCAGTTGGTCCTGCAGCTTGAGCATGCCGACTAACCTGAAACAAACACCACAGGGCCTTACAGTCTTCTCGACAAAGAGGAAGTTGATAGGAAGATGGACCAAGCAAGGCTGTGGGAGCAGAGCTCAGAAATGCAATTCTGGCTCGCGCCTATAATCCCAGCACTTTGGGGGGTGGGAGGATTGCTTGAGGCCAGGAGTTCGAGATCAGACTGGGCTACATAATGAGACCCCATCTCTTAAAAATAAAAATGTAGTTCTGAAAATACATGTGGTGGTGGTGGGGTGAGGAGGGGCCGTATTACTGGCTGGTTTATTTCCCCCGCCAAAGATAATGTCGTCTTTTGAAAGAATAGAGGCACATGTCATGATATCCAAATAGTTGTTCTAGGATAAAAATAGTTTAAGAGCCAATTCTAATTATCCCAATATAATCTTAAGAAAAAGTGAAGGAATAAATTTGTGTATTTGTCTGATGTTTTGTTGCAGTGAAATATTTAAAAGAGTAAGGTAGAAAGTAGAGACAAAGTCTGAAACCTTTCAAAATGGAAAATTAATTTTAAACTTAAAAATATAAAAGCATGTTCCTATTACCTATTACTCATACCGTCTTTGCATAAATGAATAAACAGAAATAAATTTTTTTTCAAAAACAATGTTTAGCATTTTTGATACAATTTACCAATGAATAGTAATTTTTAAAATCTTCATGTTTAATATGAGGAAAAAAAAATTAGCACTTTGACATCTGGGAAACCAGTTTCCAGTTGCAAATCTACTGAGTGCAACCTGGGTCAGCATTCAGAGTCTCTCATCCTGAGTTTTCTGTGAAGAGCCTCGCTCTCAGCCTCCCCCAGGGCCCCCTCAGGTGTGGAAGAGAACAGGCGTGGCTCACCACCCCTCCCCCACCGTGTACCGTGTAATAGTGACCTCCGCGTCCCCTTTCCTCAGCCCTTTCATGGCGGCGTACACCTGCAGGTGCTCCCTCACCGTCAGGCTGGGCCACAGCGCATTCTCCTGGGGACAGTACCCCAGGAACCCCAGGGCGTCCCCTCTGCCACTCCCTTTCAACAGCACCTATGGATGAAAGTTTCCTTTCAGAGCCTGTGTTCTGTCTGCAGTGCTTGTCTCAGTATGTCCGAGACATCTTGCTCCTTGCAAACCTAGAAAAACTAGAGAAATGCTAGGGCCTAATTGAGCTTAATGATCTGTAATTATTTTTGCATTAGAGAAACATTGTCAAAAAGTAAAAATATGTGAAAACAAGAGTGTGCACAGCCAGCTACCCAATCTCAGCTGAAAATCAAATAGCCTACAACGTCGGTGCCCGGCCATCACGGCCAACGGTTCCTATCCAATTTTTCCATCACGGTCGGAATGAAGCACGTTGACTTATTCCTAACTATTTAATGTCACTCATGGATCGGAGGTCTTTTGGAGTACCTCCTATGTGACAGAGGCTGTGCTTCTTGCAGGTACAACGGAGAAGGGAACAACCAGTGCTTCTGCTCTTCGGAGTTTTCATTCTGCTGAATGAATCAGGCAAGAAACAAGTAGAGAAATGAGTAAACAGGATGAAGACAGATCAGAAATGATGCTGTTGTGGCAATGCAGGAGGCTGGGGTAGAGAATAACAAGGAAGTGACTTTAGAGAGGGTGACTAGAGAGCCTGTCTGTGGAGAGGCCATTTCAGTGGAAGAGGAGAAGATGCCAGTCACAGAGAAAGCCAGAGGCAAGAAATCTGGGGCAAATAGCAAGACCAGAGCCTCGTGCAGGGATGAAGCTCGATGCATTCTTGGGGCCAAGGCAAAGGCAAGGGGCCTGGAGCAGCATGAACAAAGGGGAGGACAGAGATACGGCAAAGGAGACAGGGAAGTCAGCTCCTGTTGCCGCCCGCAAGACAAGGGAGGAGGTGTCCTTCCAGCCACAGGAATGCGAGAGGTGGTTGAAAGTACTTAATCATGAGACTGGCATGGTGCCAAAAAAAGTCACTCTGGCTGATTTAATTAAGTTCATTTCATGACACCCAAATAGCTGGCTTTATATAACACTTAAAAGGATCTTACCTTTTAAAATATTCCATTTCACTATATCAAGGAGCAGTTACCTCCTTGTCTGTCTCTCATGTTTAGTGAGAAATAAAATACTGACTTAGGGCCCAGGCAGTGACTGGGTTGGAGGGTATTCATAATTAAAGTTAGGGGGTCTGTTAGGGCTGGCTGTGCCACCCTTACTTACTGAGAGAGGCCTTCACGAGCACCTGCCCTCACCGAGCCTGCAGAGAACTCTCTCTTTAGTGGGCTATTCAACAATAGCATCCTTGGCTGTTTTTCCCCCTTGTTGTCTTGATGACCAACTCCCTTTCCATAGTGCAGTTCCACAGACCTCAGTCTTACATTCTGTTCTGTACTTCCCCTGGACATATTTTCAAAGATGTTCTTAAGGTTTTCTATCTTCTGCCATAAAATTCGGAAGAAAATGTGTCATCTCTACCCAGTCATGTCTCTCTCCTTGATAAACCCGAGTCCTTTTTCTGTTTGCCCGGCCACCATATACAACTAAACCGTAAGCACAATCAAAGTCAACTTCACCACCCCTGTTCATTTTTGAGCCATTCCTTGAAAACGCTCCTGAGAAATAGTGTATTTGCACAAAAAATGCATATTTAAATAACTAAGCACTTTGTGAAAGACAATTAATATAATTGCCTAATAAAGTTTTTTTTTTTTTTTAACAGTTTTACTCATGATTAAGGTATTACATACGGGAAAGACAATGCTCGCTAAATGTGCAAATCCATGCGCTTTATGGTAGTACAAGGAGGATCCGTATGGATTCTGATCTGATACTACACCTTCTCCATTAATGTCTTTGAATAATTATTCTCTATCATTGCTTAATTTTTGTGTGCATTTATGTGATAATTTGTGAATTTGTTCTCCTGTATTTTGCATTAATTAATCATCTAATGATTAAATGGCATTTTGCTGTTTATAAGGTTGCAACATCTTACAAATCTATTTTATCCTAGATAACATATTTTCCACACAATTCACCTACCTGTCCAGCAGTTGGCTTTGTGTCTCCAGTTATCACCTTAATGGATGTACTTTTACCAGCTCCATTGTGTCCTAATAATCCTAAAACCTCACCTGGAAAAAAACGGTTACACTTAGTATTAATTGATTTTAATAGTAAAATTAAGAAAAAACATAGCCTGAAGTCTCACTACATGCTTTATATATAATATCTCATTTAATTGTCACAACCAGCCTGAGAAGTTGTTATCCTAGTCCCTTCTTATGTATTTGGGGACAGAAAGTCTCAAGGATGAAGTTACTTTCCCCAACGCCATACTGATGGGGAGTGGCAAAGACACTCTTGGAAGCTAAGTGCGTCAGACTCTGTCTCCTGCGATTCTGATCACTGTGCGATAATGACAGGCCATCTAATACCAGCTGGCCAAGCCTTCAGAATGTGCTGGCCCATCTGCAGACAGCTCTCTTGTGAAAAACAATGAACATTAGGAAATCAATTATGTTCATTTAATAGAAGTGTCACGGCTTCAGCGGTTCACTCTAATAGAGAGCTTATGGTTTCAGTGTAGATGTGACCAGGCCACTATTCATGGGGGGAGTTAATTAATTTAACCTAAGAATTGAAACATGTAAAAGGAGTTGCCATTGTTACTCCATTGGGTCACTCTTTTGCTGGGTCTCTCGGTAAACCACGAAGCTCTAAGGAGAGCTCTGGGCCAACAGTGGAAGAGCCTTGTGTCCAACCTTGTCTAACACAGAAAGAGACGTTTCTTGTGGCTATTTTATTCTTCCTCTTGGAAAAACAGCATTTCCTCTTCCCTGCATACTCCTTGCGCAGACAGCTGGCAATAATGACCGGCTTCTGTAAACAACAAAGTGGGCCATGTCAGACCATTTCAGTTCATTCTCTACCCTCCCATGGGATTGGCCCTTTGCTGACCACGCCATGTATCAAAGATGACCTTCTGCTAAGTGACATGCTCATTGGTCATTCTCCTACCCTAGCACTTAGTTTTTTGGAGAGAAGAGACTGTCGTGTTCATCTCCTACAAAGACAGTTTCTCAGGAGTGCATTACTTCATACAATCTGCCTTTTCACTCAGAACAGGAGCAGAGACTTGGAAAAGCACCGAATCACCCTCAAAGGACAAAACAAATGCTGTGGCCTGGACTCTACCCCGCATTTTGTACTACTGTGCACTTTCTCCAAGAAACAGTGATGTGCGTTACTTTGCTTGGTTTCTAAAATTCTTGGCTTTTGTAATTTCAAGTGCGCTCTACTTTATTTATTTAATTTATTTATTTAATAAATAAATATTTATTTTAAAAATAAATATTTATTTATTTAATAAATAAAATTTAATTAAATATTTGTTTATTTAATAAATAAATAAAATGAGATTTAATTAAATATTTATTTATTTATTTATTACTACTTTATTCTCTGAAAGAAAAAAGTTAACTTGACTTTGAATCTGCTCACTTAGATGTAAAAAAAATGGCAACTACCTACTAAAATATTGACCCTCGTTTGTAAGGAATAGAGAAACTCAAAATCATTTGAGAATTTAGACTGGTAGACCAACTCCCCGGAAAACATTTGTGTTACTGGATGAAATAACTATTATGCTTTATAGGTTTTACCTCGTCGTAATTGGTGGAGCTCAAGGCATTTGCTGTTCTCACTCTTTCCGTCTGAACATCTTCATCTTCCCCTTGTGGCTCTTCTGGGTTTTGACACACATCACTGCTTCTTGGAGAAATCCTAGAATCAAAACCATCCATTAATCATTGATTTCTGGCTTTCATCCTCATATCGAAGATAATGCATCTTTTAAATCTTACGCTTGACTAGATTGGGCAATTAACAAACCACCATAATCTCCCTTGAGAACCCTCATCCCTTTACAACCTCCTTGCCTCTGTCAACAGCATGATTCTATTTAATGGCCATTGTTTCTTGCATAGCTTTCATTCTACTTATCTATAGAAATATTTTTTTTCAATATCAATGGTTAACTTGAAGCTTAATATCTAACGGAAGATTTTTATATCATAGTTCAATGAAGTAATTTTTCTGCAAGCCTTAGCTTTGACGACAACATGTAGGCATTACTATGTTTTCATGGGGAAAATGGGCCAGAATATTTGTAATCAGGACTGTCTCAGAAAATACAAGTTAGATGCTTGATCTCTCATGAATCCCGACCATTTCTTTGGAATATGTGTCAGCTTTACTTTTTCTCCCCATTCTGAGTCTGGTCCTGCATATCTAGAATTTATTGTAGTCTCTCTTCCCTTGATCTCCTTCCCCACACTGATCTTAGAAGATTTCTTAAAAGTCTGCTTTCATCTTGGCAGTCTCCCATCCAACTATCTGTAATAGTGGAAGATGAAGCTGATGTGGTATGGGACACACAGAGGCAGTGGGATGCTTATGGTTGTATCATTGTGTGGTGCAATAAAAAGTCTCAGCTTTTAAGCCCCATCAATAACTGAGCCAGTCTGTGATCCACCAGCTGGGTTTCCCACAACCACAGGAAAAGAGCACAGTTATTGCTGTCCTTGGCCCATTGATCATTCCATTCCTTCTCCCTGGGTGGGCAGCATTCCTTCAACTGCCAATCTATCCAAATGGATTGCTCTTTAAGTGGAACCAGCCACTTTTAACTTTCCCTGGTGCCACTGTGCACAGTGTCAGATAGAGCCCTGAACATTCAATGTTTCAGTTCTGTTTCTTCCACCAGATTGTAACCTTCTTTGGGTTAGGTATCTGGCTCTGTTTTATTTGCATTGGCACATGGGTATGACGCCAGCCTATCCTAGCACACAGCACCTCTTTGTTAATGGATTCATTTATGTGTGGAAAAATATTTTAAAATATTAATCAATGAAATAAAAAAAAATCCAATTTGATTTCTTCCAACCTAAAGAAAGGATCCTTTCTCATCGATTTCTTTCCAAACTTCCATTCCAGACATCGAAGAATAAAAAGAAAAATGATAAAATGAAGGAAAGGCTAGGAATAAAGAGAGAGATGCACAATTAGAAATGGCAAAAAGATAATTGTTTTAATATAAGAGATGAACTAGGAGTAATTGGACTTCTACAAAAATGCATTCAGTGAAATCATTACAAATTTCCAAGAACCTAGCTGGCAAATTATGAAACTATCAAATTCACTTTCAGTCTTGTTTACAGCAACATTGGCAACAACTATAATTATGTGATACCATTACTTTATGTCATTTCCTCTGATACTTGCCTAGTGTTCTTAAAATCTGGGAAGCACATTATCTGCTCAGTTGACCTTTATAAAAACAATTATTCCAGATTTTACAGATATTCTCTCTCCATGGGCTACAAATATCTATTATCTTCACCTTAAGAAAAAGTTTCACAGTGTGTACGGGAATTAAAATTAACTACAGTAAAAGGCGCGCAATCATGTTGTAAAGAAGAATGTGTTCTTACAATTAGGAATATCAGAAATGGCGTTACACCCCATGATTCTCCAGTAAAAAGAGAAACAGCGAAAAACTGCAAAACAAAAGACAATGGTTAAGGAGGAAGTTTTTGTTTCAAGCATTTTATCCACATACAGGTGAATTGGCTCTAAATAGCCCTGCTAACATTTCCCCTGATTTTATCATGATTATCAGGTAAGTGACCTTTCTGAAATGTGTGGCAAGGGGCTGTCTTCTTTACTCCCAAGCCCTATGAGCTTTTATTTAAAACAATAGGACTTATCAATGATTGACCACCTGGTATCCTGGGAATCTGTGCTAACCTTCCTAGAAAGTTAGAGCAACAGTGTTGATTCTTGTTACGTAGAGCTTCCCACACCTTCCTGTGCCCACTGTCCCTCTTCCTGTAGCCCTTCTCTTTCTCTTCCTTTCCCATAGATACCCCTTCATTCATGTACTGCATCTTCCTCCCTTTCGTAAAAGCATAGCCATCAGTCAGCCAGACCAAAAAGGGACTTTACTTACGTTGGGTGCTTCTCTAGAACCTTGACATTCCAAATATTAGGGGCATTTCATTTTGCCTCCTTCTCATGCTGAGTTTGCCCAGGAGAGAACAAAGCCCCAAATGAGACTAAAGGCTGCTCTATTTCCCACCACCCATTCCCCTTCCTCCCGTACATTAACCAGGACTGGATTTCCTATTACAGACCAGCCGGAGCACACTGTCCTGGCTGGGAGGAAATCAACTGGAATCCATGAGGTAGAAACTGTCAAGCCTCATGCATGTTCACCATGTTGTACAGTCCCAACACTTGGCAAACTTTTCACAATTGGTCATGAGCTCCGGGACACCAGGACAGACAGTGGCATCACTTACGTAAAAATATGAGAAGAAACAGCCAATCAATGTGGCAGGTGGTACTAAAAAGGTGTAAATTTGGATACCACTTTCAACGCTCTCAGCTATAAGCCCAGCCACAGAGACTATGGTGACCTAAAGAAAATACAAATATGAATGTTAATCACTCTGAATTGCAATATATTTTTCAAATCAAGATGGCTCATCTTGTTTTTTTTGAGACAGAGACTCACTCTGTTGCTCAGGCTAGAGTGCTGTGGCATGATCCTAGCTCACAGCAACCTCAAACTCCTGGGCTCAAGCAATCCTCCTGCCTCAGCCTCCCGAGTAGCTGGGACTACAGGCATGTGCCACTATGCCCGGCTAATTTTTTCTATACACATTAGTTGGCCAATTAATTTCTTTCTATTTATAGTAGAGGCGGGGTCTCTCTCTTGCTCAGGCTGGTTTCGAACTCCTGACCTTGACCGATCCTCCCACCTCAGACTTCCAGAGTGCTAGGATTATAGGCGTGAGCCACCACGCCTGGCTGAAGATATTTTTAATTTTATCTCTAACCTCACAAACCAAATTGAAATTCAATGTATCTCCATTAACATTTTCTACTAGTGATTTAGCCAAATTTCTTTGGCCTAGAGTATCATGAGTGAGACGTCACTGGATAAACCTAGGATTCAATATATAGAATATATTCTCTCCATATAGAATATTTTAAATATAGAAAAGGAAAAAATTGGGGTGTTTATTATCTTTGGAGGTAAAATTCAGAATAGTAGATAAGCAAAAATCATAGGGAAAAATTGAAATTGATATCTAATGGAAATAAACAATAAGAGTAAAACGCCAAGAATAAAAAGAGACTTTTGTTAGCTATTCCAGTGGAGAAATATAAATATTTAACAACCTTGAGTGTCTTGAGCAGAAGTAGTAAAATTCAGTGATCCAGTGAGATTCATGCAAGGAGAACTCCATTAACGTCCAGTGGTATCTTATGCCCAGTTGAATACCAGTAGTCTCGGCACATTCCCAAACTTTCTTCTGGACTTTGCATTTCATTTTTTAAATAAGTTCCAAGTCTGCATGCTTGTTAATCATTTTTAACTACAGCAATTTCTAAGATAGTCATGGGAAATACCATGGCATAATCATAACCTAGTCATCTTTCCTACACAAATACTACAACATAGACCTGGGCAAAGACCAAAGATGCTGAAAATAATAAGTAAGTAAGTTTTTGTTGGATTTCATATGAAACAAATATCTCGATTAAGTCAAAACTTTAGTAGATTTATGACAAATTAAGATATTTTCCCCAAGTGGTTCTAAATGTATGGTTCACAAACTGTTGATACCTCATCAAATCAAGATATGTTAAAGTTTTGATATGCTTTCTTAAATTATTTCTATTGTCCCATATTGTTTATGCATATAATGATAGAAATAAATATTCGATAAGTGCTAAATATGCTTTAATAAATTATGTTTTTATTTTTCACACAAAAAAGTTCAGGGATGAGAGAAAGTTGTAAGTAAACCCGCAGCCTTCAGATGTTCTCTTCTAACATTACAATGGCTTCCTAAAAGCTTTTTTGCTTCTAATTTCTGTCTTTTAAACCATCATTTTTATGGCTGTCAAGGCATTCTTCCTGAAAGTTTGTCTCTGATCATATTTCTCTTAGAAGAATAAGCTTCTATGGATGGCTTCCCACAGTTTGTAGAATAAATTCTTGAGCACATGACGTAACAGAGGCCATGCTTCCAGGCATTATTTTTTCCATAACTAGGATCGTGACCGTGATGTACTTTGTTTTCTACCATATCCATACAAGATTATTATCAATTCCCAGGATAAGCCTGAACTTTCTCCCTTCTAGGTCCTATTCATTCATTATTTTCTATTTGTACCCTCATACTTCTTTAAAATTTTTAAATTTTTCTTTATCTTTTTCTAAATTTCAGAATATTACGGGGGGTACAAATGTTTAGGTTACATATATTGCCTTTGCCACACCCGTGTCAGAGCTACAAGCATGTCCATCCCCCCAGACAGGGCGCACCGTGCCCATTACGTGTGAATATGCCCATCCCTTCCTCTCCCCTCCCATCTGCCCGACACCCAATGAATATTACTACCATATGTGCTGATCAGTTAAGTGTTGACCAATTAATATCAATTTGATGGTGAGTAGATGTGGTGCTTCTTTTCCCATTCTTGTGATACTTCACTTAGTAGAATGGGCTCCAGCTCCACCCAGGATAATACAAGAGGTGCTGGACCACCATTGTTTTTTGTGGCTGAGTAGAGCTCCCTGGTATACACATACCACATTTTATTAATCTGCTCATGTATTGATGGGCACTTGAATTGTTTACACATCTTTGCAGTTGTGAATTGGGTTCTATTTGTTAAAATCTTACTCTTTTTCAGGTTTAACTTTTTTAAAAGAAAATCTTTGCCCTTATTTTTATAAATTAATCTCTCCATAAGGAGAGGTCACTGGGTTTCACAGACATCTTTGCTATTTAGTTGTATTAATAGGCTTTTAAGATTACAAAAACTCTAAAGACAATCTTTTCTTATGACTGTTTTATTGCATGGCTGTTTCCTTATCTGTTTATCTTTTGAGAGCTCTTTCTGTGTTGAAACTGTCTATTTAATATCTTTTCTCCCATTATCAATTTTAACTTGTGACACACTGTGGAAGTCAATAATTATTTATTGAATTAATAATTCACTTTTTTGGTATACTGAAATCACAGGAAATTAGAGTAGATACTCATAAATTACCCATGTTTTTCCTCCTGATTTAGACAAAAGAAATGTAGCTTTATGGAATTAATTTTCAGTAGAGAGTCTGGAGAAGCAGTTTCTATTTCAATGTTGCTAGCAACAGAATTTGTAATCTCATGAGGGTCTTTAGGCTTATTTTATTTTCGTTTTCAGTAAAAAGAAGACATGGTTGGTCTCCAGGTTTCCTTCTAGCTGAATATTTTATGGTTTTAGAAACAATGTTGCTACTTTTAAAGAAAGACAAGGATGGAGATAGGAAGTAAAAATGTGCACATTTTTTCAAAGGATTCATATGTAAAGCAAATGTAAAGTATTTTAGACTGCAATATTAATTTATCATTCTATCAAAGGCAAAATTTAAAGTATTAGTTCAAAATTGCACATTAAATATATATAGTAAATGTCCACAAGAAATATACTTACAACATAGAAGCAAAATGACCAAATGCCACTATTTTTTCTCCCCTTGTGGAAAAGGAACGAAATCACATATGTCATGAAGATAAGGGATAAGGAATACCCAACAACACATGGGATCTGAAATCAATAGCAATGTTAAGCTTAGTTAAAAAAAAAAAATCCAATCTAGGAAAAACACTTAGGATCCAAAGCATTGTCATAAAACAGGATTTCATAGTAATTTAATTTATGACCATGTCAAGATCAATGAAAACTGTTAGAAGTTTCAAATTTTATAATTAAATCCTACAATGATATCTGTTTCACAAATATTGCCACTTACTTGAATAGCACGAGATATAGTTGGAAATATAAACGCCATATTGTCATGGGAATTTAAAATGTAGTCCACGCAATACATAAAAAGCAATATCAAAAGGTAGAGGGGAACATCCACCAGAGCCTGCCCAAGCCAGTAAGCAGAAGGGAAGAGCCCCGAAATCCGCAGCTGAGACCGAGCTTTGTTCTGATTAGGAAACAGCAAAGACACAAAGTGTTATTTCAGTTTGAGGATTAAGAAAATGTGGATTATGTAAGAAACTATTCAAACACAATCTTTATTTGTAATAATTCTGGATTACAGCTATAAATGTTATCTAGACTAAGGGATATGATAGCTCCAAACACAAATAACCAGTCTGCTGCTTTAATAAATGACTTTGATGTGTATCACACACTTGGCAGAACTATGCAAAAAGAAGACCTCAGAATAATCAAGGAATGGGTACTGCAGTAAACTGTGATTTAAGGACTTACAGGGGTGGTGGTGGCGGGGTGGATGGGAGGATAGTTTATCCATTTAAGCAACTAACTTTTCATCATAATGATTCCTCTCTCTTTCCTTCTATCTCTCTCTCTGTCTCTCTCTGTCTCTGTCTCTGTCTCTCTCTCTCTCTCTCTCTCTCTCTCTCACACACACACACACACACAAATGTCCAAGTTTTTATGTAGAAAGGTGTTTTCTTTTCTTCTGGGTAAATACGTAGGAGAGAATTATGTCATGACAATAAGTTTATTTTTAACTTTGTAAGAAACAGCCAAATTGTTTTGCAAAGTTACTGTACTATTTACATTTCCACCAGCAACATGAGAGTTCTAGTTTCTGCACATCCTTACAAATTCTTGGTATTATCAGTCATTCTGGCATTATTTGTTTTATTTGCTGTACAGGGATATCTTACTGAAGTGATTTCCCTGATTACTCATGATATTACCCATTTTTTCATGGGAGTATTTTCCACCTGTGTCTCTTGTTTGGTGAAGTATATGTTCAAATATTTTTTTCATTTTTAAAACTAGGTTATCTTCTATAACTGAGGTATAAGCATTCTTTACATAATCTTAATACAAATCTTTTGTCAGATATACACACACATATATATAGATAGATAGGTAGACAGAGAAATGGATAGATAATGCATATTTTTCTCCCTGGCTTTTTAATTTTATTATTAAAATTGGCTTTTTAATTTTATTATTAGTCTTTTATTATACAAAGAGCAGAAGATTTTAACTGTGATGAAGTTCAAATTATCATTTTTATGGTATATATATGCTTCTGTCTCACCTGAAAATATTTGATGATCGTGAGATATATGATTCATTTCAAATTAATTTTGTGTATGGTGCGAGGTGCATGTCTAGAACCATTTTTTTTATACCAACATCAAGTTGTTCCAGCATAATTTGCTGAAAAGTCTAACCTTAACCCCATTTGAATGACCTATGTGTAGGTTTATTCCTGAACTCTCTATTCTATTTCATATATCTATATGATTATTTCTAGTTAATACAATACATTCTTAGTTACTATAAGTTTGTAGTGAGTCTTGAAGTCAGAAGCATAAGTCTTCTACCTTTCTTATTTAGATATTTTGTCTACTCTAGGTTATTTGCATAAACTTATAAATTTTAGAATCATTCTCTGTCATCTATCTATTAATATTTGTATTTCCACTTATAAAACTTCCTTTTATTTTTATAACTTAGAATTTATGCCTGAATTGGCTGCTCAGTTAAACATGTATAAATATCCTTGTGAAAAATCCTCTGATTATATTATACCTTCAGCTTCTAATTATATGAAACAATGGAAGTTGCAATTACTCGTTATTACCTTATAATCATCAATGCTGCTCATGGCAATATAAGGTGGGCAACTCGATGCCACAACCAACCAGAATATGGTATACACAAAGAATTCAAGTGAGTAGCTCTGTGTGTGCTGAAAATGGAAAGAATACAGTGAACTGAATGAACAAATTCAAAATTCATTTTCTGGAATACATTTTAAAACTTCAAGCTGCATGTACGTTATTCTGCCTTAGGCATCTTTTGAAATTCCCAAACTCTTTCATTATCCTTCCAGTTTTGAAGCTTGAACTTTTGGCTTTACACTCAAATCAGTAGATAAGGAAAGTGATTCAAAGAAAACATATGAATTGATAACATTTGGAAAGTAGTAAGAGTTAAGATTTTCCTTATGATTCTAAACTTTATTCTGATGCTAAATAATAAATGATAATTCACAGCTGAAACATTCAATTTCTTAACTGATCTTTAATTATTTCAAAGGTCACAGCTTGACTCAAACATCATATTAGATGTTTTATGGGCACAGTGGTAAGTTAGCTTTTTAGGTACATCTTGAGACCAGAAAAATGTTGGCTAAGGATTCAAAAGTAGATATGAAATACTAGGTGGGAGAATGAAAACACCAAGGAAAACCTTTGCCCTTAGTTTTACCTATTGTTACTCCTGTTTGTAACAATCTTTAAGGATAGAAGGTTCACAGACTGTCTTGAAAATCAGTCCCGTGTTGTTTTCATGATTCACATTATTGGATTAAGCACATTACTGAAGAAAGTTCTAACCAGAGCCTGGTTGTCTTCAGAATGGTCATCAGAAAGACCCTTGCTAACCACAGAGTGGTGAGGTTAACGCTTATTGTCAGAATGCTTCCAGAACACTGTGAGTGCTGGGTAGGTTCAGTACTTGGTGGTGAATCTATTGACATAAGGAAGGACAGCAGCAAGGTCTGAAACTCCAGAAAACTCTTACTTTAGAGAATAGAATGAGCTGCTGGAGATATTGGTGGAAGTTAATACATTGGGCACATAAACATGATATCAATTGAGCTGGTTGATATTAGACTCATCCTAGCTAAAGCAGGACGTCTTTATAGATGGAAGCCCAAGGAAATTTGCTCAATTATTGTATCCTGCTCTCAGAAACAAGAAGGTTGAAAACGTCTTCACAGTCATAAAAGGTTAATTAAATGAACCATAACATATATTCTAAAATTAATTAACACTTGTTGGGTGACTAAAACTTTTACTTTAATGATTAGGTTTCTTGTATGCACTTAATAAAAGGAATTTTTATTTCCTGAGCACACGATGAGATATGGTATGAGAAGGTGACTGCAGATCTTGCTGGAGCATAAAAAAATAATAATGGATACATAGTCCATTTTATATACATATGAGTAAATGATTATTGGCCATGTATATGTTCTTAAAACCCTATAGTTGAATGAGATGTAGAAAGTTTGATGACACCAGCATTCATTTATATGTTTAACAAGTAAGTTATTTGGTGCTTATCATGTTCCAAGCCTTTTCCTAGGTACAAGGTATTTATATAGTATTAAAAATACATGACTCCTGTGCTCAAAGAACTCTCTGATAGGGAAAAATATGTTTATAAAATAACAACAACAAAAAAACTGTGATAAGTATTCTAGTTTCCAAGCTTAAAGAGCTATATGCATTCTAATCACTTGGGCCTTTGTTTAGAAATAGGATTTTTTTTTTTGCCTCACACATGGAAAAGATGGTTTGGCAGGTCTAGGAGGGCCAAGGGAATTAATATTTTTGGCAAGAACTTGGAGTAATTCTGATGTAGACATTCTGCAATTCTAGCCTAAACTTTGTCTTGAATTTTTTTTCTTTTGTATAATTTCTAAAGGTAATAACAAAGCCCTTTCCTTCCCTTCTTCCCCTCTCTCCCATCCTCCCTCCTCCATCCTCCTTTCCTTCCTTCTTCTTTCCTTTCTTCCTTCGTTCCTTCCTTCTTTTCTTCTTTCATTTGTTCATTATTTTTGTGCTAGTCACTGTACTGCTCAATTTCCCTTTTGTTGCTTCATCATCTCTTTTAAAAATATTTTCTTATTTTTATTTTGCTTTAAATAAATTGAAGCTCTGAAAAGTGTATTGATTTCCCAAAGCCACAGAGCTAGCATGAATCCAAAAGTTAATTTATTATGCAATGGTTTGTTCAATAAGAATAAGACACCAGCATTTAAACGTGTGATCTGTGAGATTCCTGATGGAAAGGCAGGAATTATAAGTAAGATTGTGTACTTACCCCAGTTGTGCTTCTGTCAGTTTGAATATGTGCTGAGGGTTTAACCATTCCAAGTAACCCATTACTAACAATGTCCATAAGAACTGGGAAGCAATTCAATCTTTTGGTATTGCATGCAAAGGAAAAGTTGTAATTCTACAATATAACAAATAAGGTTATAAATTCTCAAAGATCCTTAATTTTTTTCTAAAGAACTCAAAATTCACTATTTTAAGAGATTATGCTTTTAAAGCGGTGTTAAATAATCAAAACAAAAAACCAAATACTGTCTAAGTAAAAATGCTGAGTAAATAAAAGCACAACTTTTTGCTGTATAAGCAAAACAAAACGTGTATATAGTAAAACAAATCATATATCTGATTTTTAAGACATCAGGTGTTGTGTTTGAGGCTAGAATCATATGTTGAGTGTTTATTGTTTAAGAACAAAACAGAAGTTTCAGAATATATGTGTTACAGAATCCTTGAGAGGAAATACGAAGTTTTGGACTTCAATATGCACTTGACAGTGGGTATCTTACAGCACATATTTTGCTAACACACACCATTTGTATTGGTGGACAATGATTGACATGTGAATTAATTATCTCTTATGCTAATGAGTATAATTCACTGAGTAATGCATGAAAACAGTATTTGATTTTCATTTTTATTTCTGAAATTGGAGACATGAGTGTATGGATATTACATTAGCTTTCCACAACTTTGGGAAAAAAATCATTCAGTAGAGACCAGCATACCTTTTCGTTCCCAGACACCGTGACGGCGCCGTTGTAAACTGGCTCATCTGTGCCATTTCTAATTCCAAATGCATCCACTTCCACAGCTATGTTCTGAAGCTCCACAGAATGTATAAAGTCATCGATGCTTGCCCCTAGGGATTGTAGTCGAATATATGAGGTCTCACAAAACTGAGAAAATTGATGTCAAGTTGTGTACTCAAATTTTAACTAATGTCATTATGTGATACTTATAGTAAGTAGCATGGGCTACTATACTTCAGGATATTTTTCCACATGATAACATGCTTGCTACTGTGAAATAAAAATCTATTTGCCTCTCATGGAATTTACTTCATAGTATGTTTATTCGCTTATGATTGCTGTTAATGTAAACGGGTTTTTTTAGTGCCATGTGGTTTTGGGAATAAATTTTTTTTTTCTCCTAGAATTTCGCAGTGAATGGTCATGATCAATAAGGTTTTAATGACACAGATAACATCTACTGATAAAAGACCTAATTTGCTAAAACTCATTTCACTACTACTAGATTGTTAATTAATTTTCAAAATGTTCTTGATACAAGAAGATAACTTGTAGCATGGCAATTAGAGGAGCTCTGTAGACCCTTTCCTCAGGAAAATAACCATAACCACTAAAAATTCCTAAAAAAACAACAAATTAAAATCTTTGGAAATTGTCCTAACGGCATACAAAAAACGAAGAAACATTCATTTAAGAATATTGATTAAATCTCAGTAAGAACACAGAAAGACTGTGGCATTTGAGCTGTAACCTGATACCTCCACTCCCTGATCCTCTCAGAGCAGCATGGTAGGCTCCAAGAACTCAGGAATTCTTCTCTAAGCCCAGTTGAGAGGTATAGTATCTTCTTGGGAGGGGCTGACCACCAACTTTTCTCATTTCCACAGCTCTGTGTTGCAGAAGCTTCACACCAGGCAAGAGTGGCTGTTGAGAGATCTGCAGTTCTCTGCTTCCACCCATTCCCTACTCATAAGGTAGAAGCTCTATCCTAGGCACAAGAGGCTCAAACTCCTGGATCCCAATCATCCTTGCCCCATCTCACTTGTAGGGCAGAGTTTCCATGACAGGAGAGGCAAGTTGAGGAGACCAGAGGCTACCATCTCTGCCTAGTACTCTGCCCATAAAGCAGAATCAGGTCACTATCCATGCTTCCAGCTCTGGAGCAATGGGACAGATGTTTTTCCATGGGAAGAAACAGGCTATTTGAATAGAGAATTTTGAAACTCTACTCAAGGGAACTAACTGTATCTGAAACAGAGTTTGGGAACGTTCAAGCCTCAGAGCGCATTAAAAACGGTAAGATTTTGCTGGTAAGCAATTGACAGAAGATTGATTGGAGCCACCTGGTTAAACCATAACAAAACAAAACTACAATACAATAGCAAAATACAATACAAAACAAAAATACAATAGCTACATGTTTACCAGGGAGAACCAGCAAAGCAGATAGTTAAGAAGAGCCCTGAACCTTCTATGTTAAGACACTGAAAAAAAAAAAAAAAAAAAAAGAGCAAACTAAACCCATGGCAAACAGAAAGAAATAAAACAACAAATATTAGATTGAAAATGAGTGACACAGAATAGAAGAACAATGGAGAAAATCAATGAAACTTAAAGTTGTTATTTTGAAAACATGAACAAAATTGATGAATCCTTAACTAGGATGACACACAAAAAGTCAAATAAAACTCAAATTACTAAAATCTGGAATAAAAAAGGGGCATAAATACCAATTTTATAGATAAAATTATTTTAATGGTATACTATGAACAACAGTATGACAATGAATTAGATAATATAGATGTAATGGAAAATTCCTAAAATATCAGAAATTATCAAACTGAGACAAGAAGAAATATAAAATGTGAAGAGATTGGATTACTACTATCTCTCACCATATATAAAAATTAATTTAAGATGGATAAAAGACTTAGATATAAGTCATAAAACATTAAAAATTTAAGAAGAAAACATAGGAAAAACTCTTCTAGACATCAGCCCTGGCAAAGAATTTAAGACTAAGACCTCAAAGGCAAACACAGCAACAACAAAAATAAATAAGTGGGACTTAATTAGATTAAAAACTTCTGCATAGCAAAGGAAATAATCAACAGAGTAAGTAGACAATCCACAAAATGGGAGAAAATATTCACAAACTGTACAACCACCAAAGGGCTAATATACAGAACCTACTAAGAACCCAAACAAATCAGCAGGAAAAAAACAAACAACCGCATCAAGAAGTGGGCAAAAGATATGAACGGAAGTTTTTCAAGAGAAGATAGACAAATGGCTAACAAACATATGGAAAAATGCTCAACATTACTAATCATCATGGAAATACAAGTTAAAACCACAATGAGATACCACTTCTCTCTATCAGAATGGCCATTATTAAAAAGTTAAAAAACAGTAGATGCTGGTGTGGATGCAGAGAGAAAGGAATGCTTATACATTGCTGGTGGGACTGCAAATTAGTACAACCTCTATGGAAACGAGTATGGAGATTTCTCAAAGAAATAAAAGTAGTTCTTTTATCTACCATTTGATCCAGCAATCCCACTACTGTGTATCTACCCAAAGGAAAAGAAGTCATTCTATCAAAAAGTTACCTGCACACAAATGTTTGTTGCAACACAATTCATAATAGCAAAGATGTTGAATCAACCTAAGTGACCATCAATTCATTAGTGGATAAAGAAAATGTGACATATATATATATGCACACACAAGCACATATATACATGTATATGTACATATACATGTATTTGTACATATACACGTATATGTACATATACACATATATGTACATACATGTATGTGTACATATAGACATGTATATGTATTTGTACATATACATGTATATATGTGCTTGTGTGTGTGTATATATATATAAGCACCATGAAGTACTACTTAGCCATAAAGAGAAATAAAATAATGTGTTTTGCAGCAACCTAAATGGAATTATCCCAAGTGAAGTATCTCAGGAACAGAAAAACAAACACCTCATATTGTCACTAATAGTGGGAGCTAAACAATGGGTACACATGGGCACAAAGAGATGTAAGGGATATTGAAAACCAAGAAGGGAGGAGAGTGGGAGGTGGGTGAAGGATAAAAACTTACCTTTTGGGTACAATGAACACTATTCTGGTGATGGGCACACTAAAAGCCCTGACTTAAGCATTATGCAATGCATCCATATGACAAAAACATTTGCACCTCCTTACTATTTTGAAATTTTAAAAAAGAGATTGAATTACTCATTACAAAAATTCCCATAAAGAATATCTCTTTCTCAGGTGGCTACTAGTAAATTTCTACCTAAAATCTAAAAAAGAATTGTTGATCCTTCATAAAACCTTCCAAAAGAGAAAAGTGAAGAAAAAATTTGCAATCTAATTCTGTGCAGCTACTATTATCCTGATATCCAAAGACATCACAAAAAAATAAAACTACAGACCAACATCCCTTATGAATAGAGATGCAAAACGTTCTCAGCAAAATACTAGAAAACCACATCCAGCAGCATATTTAAAGGATCATACATCATGACCAAGTAGAATTTATCCCAGGAATGAAAGGTTGGTTAAATATTTGAAAGTGAATTAATATTGTACACCATACTGATAGCATGAAATACAAAAGAATCTGTGAATAATAAGGGTCTACAGAGTATCTGATAGGAGACTTATATGTAGAATATATAAAGGACACTTAAAACTCAATAAAAAAGATGAATAGTTCATTTTAAAAATGGCCAAAGAAAATAGACATTTCCCCAAAGAAGATGTATGACTGATCAGTAAGCACATGAAAAGATGCTCAACATCATTATCTATTAGCAAAATACAAATCAAAACTACAAGATACCACTTGACACAGTATGATGGATGTAATAAAAGAGACAGAAAACAAGTACTGGCAAAGAAGGTTAGAAGTTGGAACCCTCAAAAATTGCTGGTGTAAATATAAAGTGGTACAGTCACTTTGCAAAACAGTTTGGCAGGTCCTTAAAAGGTTAAATATAGTCACCATATGACCCAACAATTCCACACCTGGGATTATACCCCAAAGAAATGAAATATGTTCACACAAAAAGTTGTGCATGAACAATTACAGCAGCATTATTCCTAACAGCCAATTATTGAGAAAAAACAAAATGTACATCTGCTGATGAATAATAAATAAAAAATGTGATATATCCATGTAATAGAATATTATCCAACAATTAAAAAATGAAATATTGATACATAGATACACGCTACAATATGAATAAACATTGAAAACATGCTAAGTGAAAAAAGTCAGTCATCAAAAATCATATATTTTATGATTCCACTGATATGAAATGTCCAGAGAAGGCAAATCAATAGAAACAGAAAGTAAATTTGTGGTTGTTTAGGACCAGAGGGAGGGATAAATGGGAATAACTGCTATTGGGTATGGGGTTTCTTTGGGGGGGGGTGATGAGACATTATAAAATAGATTGTACTGATAGTTACACATTTCTGTGAATGCACTAAACACCATTGAATTGTACGTTTTAAATGGACCAGTCGTATGGCATATGAATTGTATGTCAATTAAGCTGTTAAAAATGTTCTGTTTTTTTGGTACAAACTCTTTTATGTTTAAAATTGCCACCAGATACTTTATTTCTCCTTTGGAAAATACTTTCTTAATTTCTCCTTATTTTGAGGCTTGCATTCATTATCCTTAAATCCCATAAATGGTTTTTAGCACATGCCGAAGAAGTCAAAAGCTCAGTTTTCTTTGTCGTGATTATGTTTTCTAAGCGATGCTCTGAATAGTAAATGGGAAACCAGTATTCATCACATTATTACCTGTTTTATTGATGATCAATAATTGAGTGAGAGGGTCACGTGGTTGTTGTCCAGGAGCAAGGAAGTACAAGTGAGGAGAAAGTCTCCAAGTGTAACTGTTTTGATATATTTGTGCCATTATATTCCCCACAAGAAGAGGGCACAATCCAACCACGAGCATCAACAGCCTGCACAGGAGAAAATTGCCAATGTGAATGCAATGTCATTTCCTAACCTAAAAGTATCTGAGCAGTTTATAATGTAATGAGATCAAGAAATTACGAAAATTAAGGCCGGGCGCGGTGGCTCACGCCCGTAATCCTAGCACTCTGGGGGGCCGAGGCGGGCGGATTGCTCGAGGTCAGGAGTTCGAAACCAGCCTGAGCAAGAGCGAGACCCGTCTCTACTATAAAAATAGAAAGAAATTAATTGGCCAACTAATATACATAGAAAAAATTAGCCGGGCATGGTAGTGCATGCCTGTAGTCCCTGCTACTAGGGAGGCTGAGGCAGTAAGATTGAGCCCAGGAATTTGAGGTTGCTGTGAGCTAGGCTGACGCCACGGCACTCACTCTAGCCTGGACAACAAAGCGAGACTCTGTCTCAAAAGCAAAAGAAATTATGAAAATTAAACAGACGGCTCTCTTCTCATTTCTTGAGTATTTTTTTCTTTTTCTGACCTCTAAATTGGAAGCGATAAACTGTAAACTTATCCTTTGCTCATTTCTGGCCATTTGATATCCCCTCCAATTTCATGGGTTATGTGTCCTTTGACGGCATGACCACATCTGCCTCTCTCTTGTGTTTCTAGTGTGATGGTCTCCCTTTCTGCTGGTTGCTTCATCAGCACTTTACTCTGCATTTTTTTCACATTGACTCTTCTTCTTATAGTCCCTATGTCTATAAGTGACCACATGATTTCTTAGATCTTCAGCCTCCAATTTTAAATTATTTTGTACTCCTTATTCTCCTGTATTCCCTATTTCAAATAAATTAAAAAAATCTTACTATACTGTCATTAACATTTTTCACTTTCTCTATTCTTATATTGTCTGAAGTTTTGCTAAATGGCTGATATCTGTCTGTTCTTTATTCTCTGCAGACTCTCCATAGAGTGTTGACAGATTCATATTAAAGATTTTTCTTAAATCATGCTCATCTCCTTGTTAAAAATTCTCAATGAATTCCCACTACGTATTCATTTAGCAACTATTTATTGAGATTCAATTATGTGCCAAGTCTTCTATCTCCTTATAACTTAATAAAAGTATTCAGAGACAAGTCATTGATCAACAGCCATGTTTCCATGAGTTCTGATGTGACAGCCATTAGCTCCAGGGTGCTAAGGGGGAAGTGATATGATTCTTGGGAGCAGGGCTGGTACCAATTAAGCGCACAGTAGGTATGCGGAATGAGCAACTTTCACTTAGAGGGCTGGAGGGAAGCCATGACATCTAGGGTGGAGCCAGTAGGATAATGATGGGAGAGTCAGGCCATCCAAGGAAGAGTCAGCCGGACAATCATATAGCATCTAAAATAGGGCATTGGCATATTGACATTGAGAAACAGGATACAGGATCCCAGTAAACCTGCCACCTACCACAGTGGAGAATTTGAGAGAGGAAATATTACAAGAAAATTTATATGACTTCAACGTTTTCTGTAGAATTATCTCTGAAACATTACAAATTCCACCTGCCAGTCTCCTAATAGACAACTACTAGGACTCTTGACTAAATTGGGTATTATACTTTATATACTTTTGTAGACACAAAAATTTATTTGTGACACAAAAATTTATTTTCTTCTTTTTTTCCTCTTGTTTTTGTACCTTAGATTTGCTTTTAAATGCATTGACTCAAAAATTAAAAAAATCAAGGGCACTCTGCTACTCACAGTGATAGAAGAGCTTTTCTTTCATGCTTTAACTTTAATAAGCGGACCCTTGCAATTGCACAGATTTGCTGTCGCCAGAGAGCCACACCACCTATTGTCTCTCTTATCTCCCTAAGTGAAGAGATAACTTGTTCCATCTCAACAAGTCTTTCTGTGTCTCCAGTTCTTTCCACTTGTGCTTCTCCCAAAATAGCAATATCTGCAAAACACAAAATAAACAATTCATAAAATCCCACTCTCTAGATGTAGTTTTTAAAATTTAAAGATATTGGGGAGGGTACAGATTTTTTTTGATATATGGCTTGAGTCAGGGCTATAAATGTGCCCTTCATCCGAATAGTGTTCATTGTACCCATTAGATGTACTTGATGGAGCTTACTGTAGGAGTTTGTTCTACCAAGAATATCACAGTTAGAGTCTTCTGTATTCCTACAGGCATTATATGGTAGGACTGGCTGCTGCCTTAAACTAGAAAAATAGATGAAAGATTTATTTCTTAAACAAAAAGAGCGGAAAGGATATCTTAGATAATTTGGATACAGACAATACATTAAAGAGCTTGAGATAAATATGCAAGATCCTCATAGTGCCTTAGTGTGACTTGGAAACTTAAAGGAAAGAATTACCTTATGTGTTCAATTAAGCTACAAATTGACATGCTACACACTGCCGGTGAACTATCAATTGTTACTGGAGAGAGCTCACACCATCTACTAATTTGTCCCCATGGAACCTTCACTAAGTGCATAGAAATAGTACATCAGTGGCTGGGGGCAGAAAGGAAAAATTGAGAGAGAGAAAGGTGCATGGGGTCTTGTGCAAGAAAAGACATCGTGTCAAAGTGTGTGGGGCCTTCCTCTGTGTAATACATAATAGTAGATAAAATACACCAAAAAAATGGAGGCATGCTGAAAATCAGCACGATTTCTCTTATTGTTGAGAAATTTGGTAGTGGGACTTCATATAGAGAGATCTATAGAATTTGGCCAGTACTATAATTTGAAGTCATATTGAAGGGAAAGACAGGATTCTACCTTCAAAAAATGTGAAGCTGGGGACAAACTGAATCTAACAGAAGCTGTGCAAAAGCCCAGATACGTGCCAGATACAAATTAGATAAATTTATCCTTCTGTATCAGCAGCCTAACAGAATAAGAGTCATGCCATTTTCTGGGCATTGCTTACTTCAGTATTTACTGTTATTTACTGTTTTTTTTTTCCTTGTAGTAATGTCCACAATGAAATAAAAATTACAAGATATGAATAAGCAGGGAAATTTAACCCATAGGGAAAAGAAAAAAGTCAATCAAAATCAGTCACTGATAAGGGTCATTACTGACATGGTCCACATGTTGGAATTAAAATTCATGAGCTTAAAAGGCACTATGACAAATACATTATAAGATCTATTGGAAAACATGGATGATATTAGTGAACAGACAGGGAATTTCAGGAGAGATGCTGAAACTATAAAGCAAAAGAAATGGAGATATTGGAATGGGAAAATACAGTATCAGGAATGTTTATTAGTTTGGCTTCAAAACAGTCTGGACACAAGAGAAGACCTTGAAGACAGGTGACCTTGAAGACAGGTAAATAGGCATTCTCCAATTTCTAACATAAACAAAAAAAAATGAAAAACCTAACCAGAGAATCTGAGGAACAAATATATACTGCACTGGATGTGGTGAATACTTTCATATGACAATTTTCATGCATTTCATTTACCTGATTCATCAATTGCTGATTTTCCTTCTAGTTTCAGGAAAACCTCATTCAAAGTTGTCATGGAAACACCATAATTTTCAATTCCCAGGCCAGGGCAGCTATCAAGATCCTTGTAAAGTTCTAAAAAATACACCACACAGCAGTGAACCAAAACAAGAAAAATCGCAAGTGAACTGAAGACAACTTTTCAAATAAGCACAAATATATGAAATTATGCTTGTGATATGTCAAAAACATTTTAAAAATTAACATTTCATAATAGGTAACCTTATTCTTCTAATTCCATACATCATTTTCTATTTTACATTATGTTTTATAGTCCAAATATTACTTTCTTTTGATCAAATAGTAATTTATACTCATATTTCTATGACATTTTAGCTTTTCTCTGAATTGCTTTTAAAATTTAATTAATTGTGGAACTTTGAATTTTCCAACTCTCAGCCTAATTAATTGAAGAGTCTTTTCCACAGAACAGACACAAATGGAGCCATTTATGCTATATCTGAGTAAAAGGAGAAAACTAATTTGTTGAGAATTAGTTGGATGGTACAGAATCTTCTTCAGTTCAGAAAAAAGTCTTTCAAAGGAAAGATATAGACTATCAGCCATTTTTAAAAATTTTCTGTTTCTGAAAATGGAAGAAATAATTTGCAAGATCTAATAGAGAATGAGAAATTGACTCAGGGAATTTTCTTGGAATATTAGGGAATTGTGATAATCATTACTCTCTTGCCTGCATGGGTTTGAATTATAGGGGTTAATTAAATAAAGCTTAAATAAAAACCTAATTCTAAATTCTAGGTTCGTTACAGGAGTCCTTAGGCTTCAACCTAGCAATCCTAGTTGGACAAAAGGATAAATTAAAACCTGTCTTCACTAGAACACTATATACAGAAAGGCAGAAAATAAGTAAGATTTAAACTGCTAATGAGTCTTATGCATTATCTATCATTCCACCTAAAACTTTTACAAATTTTCTCTAAGTTATTAAAACACACTAATTAATGCTCTATTTAATTTAATTAAAATATACTAATTAGTGTTTGATTAAAACTTCGCCTGATGATTCTAAGAAATACTTGTGTTGTCACCATAAAATATATACTTGAATGGCTTTGTGGGGTAATTTGTATGTCTTTGTTAACCACACATATGGCAAAGTCAATTGTCTCAACTACTCACTGCAAGCTCTTCCAGTGACCCATGTTAGGGAACAGATTCTCTGAATAACAAACATAATTAGTAAACTTTTATGTATTAGCCTAAAAAACCCAAAGCTATCACAAAAGTATATCCAAGAAGAGTGGAATTGGAATGTTCCTAACACAAAGAAATGTTACATGCCTGAAATGATGGATACCCCAACTATCCTGATTTGATAAATTCACATTGTGTGTTTGTATTAAAACATCATATGTAACCTATGAAGATATACAACTGTTGAGTACCCATAATAATTAGAAATTAAAGAAAAAGAAATAGCCACATCATGGGGCTGTTTAATATAGTGCTTAAGCAAGAGGTGTTAGATTATTTGTGTTTAAGTACAGTTATGAAGACTAGAATATTCTGCTACACACTAAAAGGAGAAAAAGGACTGAAAGAAGATTCAGTCTTCTATAATGCCCAGGCATTACAATATCACTATTAGAATATAATAATATTTACCACTATAGATAAAATACTCTAGGTATCATACTATTCTTTTGATCATGTCTCAATATGTGAACACACCATAAACCCTCAAAAAAGTTGGTTATAGTAATTATCATTATTATCATTATGAAATTATTTATACATTTTGTTTCATAGTGGTCATGTACATTACCTGGAAATTTATTTGTTCTTTCTAAGGGTAATGTATACACAACTTTTCCTTCGCTTGCTGTTGATAATTGGGCATCAGGGATGTGCTGTTTAACAAGTGATGTGATGTTTTCCTGAACACATATTTCATTTAACTGCAAACTGCCATTCCGAGAACAAAAAAGGTATATGTTATTTGACATAGTGTCCAATAGCATGAAAAAAATGACTAGTATCTATAGGACAAAAGTATCAATTAAAATATAATGCCAGAAATAGGTCATATAAACATGAAATTAGAGGACAAAACCCCCAAATCATAGGATATCATGGGGAAAAGCAAAGAATGAATCAGCATTTCTTGAGGTTACTCAGGAGTGGTGCCCAGAGAAGTCTGGTATTGATTGAGGTCCTTGAACAAAGATGAGGACTACACAACATGGATAATGTTCAATATTATGTTCAAAGGAAGTTTAAGTTTGCTAAATAGGGTTGTTGTATTGGTTCAAAAGAACAAGGGACCTTTGACAAGTATGATGCCACACAGGTTTAGTTATTCAATTTAGTCATCCAATGTAAATGAATTCAGTTCTAAGTATGGGACAGACATTGTACTAAGTGCTGAGGGTACGATGGTGACCATCATAGCATTGCCCTTCTCTTATGGAGTTGATTGCCTAGTGGGGGAGACAGAAAGAAAACAAATGAACAAATAGAGCAGTAAAATAATTGTCAATAGTAGTAAGTGCTACAAAGGAAACTGGGTTACAGATAGAAACTAATTATAGATGAATTGGGGGTTTGGTTGGTGGGATCCCTAACTTTTGTTTTCCTTTTAGTGCTAATCCCACAATGTTGATTAAGAAAAAAATTATCATTGAGAAAATCAGCCTATCCATTCAAAAACACCACACATATTTCCCCATTATAGACAAAAAGACAAAAATTTATTAATCAAGGTTACAAAGTATACAGTAGATAAAATATCAGTAGTGACTTGGCTTTGAAACTTGGTTTTGTCACTTGAAACATGTTATTAAACCTGTCTGTACAGTTACTTTGTTCAGAATGATTCCTGGCATCTAGGGTAAAATAGAAATGATTCCTAGCATCTAGGGTTGTTCTAAGAACTGAGTAATAGTAATGTTTTCCTGTAGCAAGCTCTTAAAAATAGCCTCTATTTTATTTGACCAAATGCTTAAGTCAAAATTATTCTATTCACTCATAAGACATGTATAGACTTACAAGAAGATGTGCAATTTTTTGAAGCAGTGAAATCTACAGCAGGAATGAAGCAAAAAAAAAAAAAAAATACCATAGTTGTTCGCCATAATGCTGCCCCCTCAAAATAAAAACTGTTCAAGAAATATTCCTTGGCTACTTATAAGAACTTGTGTTGGGTGCTATGGGGGACTGCATAAGTGGAACACAGTGTCCTTCCTTGAGGAGCTTACAGCTTAGAAGGGGGAAGTATGGTCAATTTTTTTCTGTAAATGGCTGGATAGTGAATATTCTAGGCTTTGCGGGCTACCAGATTTCTGTTTCAACTCTTCAACTCTGCTGTTGTAATGTGGAAGCAGCCATAGCAATACGTAACAGACTGGACAAGGCCGGGTCCAATCAAACATTATTTACAGAAACAGGAAATGGGCTGGATTTGATTCATGGGCCATCGTTTGTTGATTTCTGGTTTAGAAGAGAATAAGGCAACTGGACAAATTCGTGTCCAGGAGCTCACAAAGAGGCTCACAAATTGGGCAGGGATCCTGACTAGCACTTTTTATTTTGAGAACATGTTACTTTGCCATGCAAATGCAAGACAGCATCGCATTTATTTTTCTATAACCTTCACTTGCAACTGGGAATTATTACTCCTACTTTATAGCTGAGAAAATAGAGTTTCAGAGACTTTAATTTCCAAGAAGAGATTCAAACCAAGTGCTTTAGGAAATAAAAAAAAAAAATGAGACATTACACAGAACTGGAAAATTAACAAAGTGTATGAGATATATTATCAAATAACTCTTTGGGATTTAAACAAGCAGAAAAGGGTTCAACGAAACTGCCAGCCTGTTTGCTTTGTTTCGTTGCCATCACATGGTGGTTTGTGGTTTCCTTTTTTAAGTCTAGATGGTAAAAATCAGGAAAACTAACCAATAATTTAATAATTAAAAAGTAGTTTCAAATATGGATTTAGACACTAGATTTTGAAGTTAAAAATATCTAGGTCCAATTCCTGGCTCCACCACTTATGAATTTGAGAAGCCTATGATTTCTTTCTTTCTTTCTTTTTTTTTAGTTTTTTTTTAGCACTCAAACTGGCAATTTTATCTATAAAGTAAAAGTAACAACAGTTCCTATCTCAAAGAATAGAAGATTTAAATAAAATAATGTTAAATATCATACTCCTGAATGATTCAATAAATAACAGCTAGAATATGCTATTATTCAAAATAATGATAATAATAAGATGAAGAGGATGGACAGGAGAACAAGAAGGACAGAATTTAGGAGGAGTGGAAGTAGCTGGTTTAAGAAATTATATTAACACCCTGGGTGAGAGAGGATGAGGGTGTGAATCACAAATGTGTCAACTGAAAAATTCCCTTAATACATATCTCCCTTAACAAACAATGTATTGTGGATATATTTTCTAGCATGTTTATCTAAACTTTTGTTGTTACATTCTCAGTCTCTAAAATCTGCCAATAAATATCTCTTATATATACATACTAATTGACAAGGGAGCTAGATATCTGCACAAATATGTGTATACTAGTGTGTGCAAACATCTATGTACGATGAGAAAAGTTTTTCTTATGTATTGTTAATGTTCTACTTCAAGCACCATGCCTTATTCTAGCTCAGTTTCCATTTAATTCCAGCCTTCTCAAGTGGCCCTACCTTAAGTGATAGCCAATCCCCCATTTCTTCTTTAGGAACAGAGAAGAGCCTGCACACTTCAGTTTCCCTTTGGAGAGAAACACTTTCCTATCTGAAAGGGAAGAAAAGCAAAAATGAAAGTTTGGTAAGAAGTTGCCCATTCACATCCAAGAAAAGGAAGGTAAGCATCAACATAAGCAAACTCTAATTCAGGAGCTCCTACAGCCTCAAATACAGGGTTTAAGAAGGCTGAGTAGTACTCCATGGCAATTCAGGTAATCGAAACGTTTGTACTTCCCTAATATTCCGAAATAATTTTTTTTAAAAAAGGACTCAATGAAATAGACACATTTTAACTTCATTAATACCTTAGGCTAGTGTTTTGCCATCCAACTCATCAGGGAAATTAAATTATATGGATATATTTTTAATATAGAGAATCACCCTATTCTATATTTTAAAGGATCAAACATTAAAATCATTTGAATATTTCAAGTTGATTTACCTCAATTGTGAGTATAAAGGTCAATCTCAGATTAGAATATAGATGTCCTTCACTTTATAGTAAGCGAGTTTCCTGGCAGATCCTGCTCTTACGTGATCAAACGATACAAAAGTGTACAAGGTACACTAAAATGGTTCAGAGTCAGAGACTTTGGGTCCAGTTCCTGTCATTACCGGCTGTTCAGATTACCGGACACAGCTACATTGCCAAATTACAAAATATAACTGTTCAGAAAGCAATCTATACTTCTTAAATCTCTTAAAATTCTCATCAAGATACTTAAAAGGAAACCAGCAATTACCAGCCAGGATGTCAGCCTCGTCCATGAACTGGGTGCTGAAGAGCACAACTCGGTCTGCTTTGCGTTCCTTCAGGAGGTTCCACACTCGGTGTCTTGAAAAGGGGTCCAGCCCAGCTGTCGGCTCATCCAACAGGAAAATCTACAGAGGAGGAAAGTTTATGAAGAAGTAAAGGATTTGATTTGAGCTATTACCGGAAGTCTCAGTTTTTAAGATTTGCATTCACCTGTGCATTCACCTGACTTACCTTGGGATCTCCTAAAATGGCAATCCCAAAGGTTAGTTTTCTCTTCTGTCCGCCGCTTAAGTTTTGAGCAAGGACATCCTGAATATTTTTCATTTCCAATTCCAGCAAAACTCTTTGTATCTAACCAAAAGACAACATTTATATCATAAACTAAGATTTCTGAGATTTAAACAGAAAACTAAGATTTTCTGTTTAAATGTATAAATATAGGCTGTAAAGTGTAATGGTTAAAAGTATGGGTACTAGAGCCAAACTGCCTGGGTTTACACATGCCAGTCAGGTTAACTAGCTGCACAATGGTGGTCAAATTACTTGCTCTCTTGAACCTCAGTTTCCATATGTGTAAAATGGGGATAATAATAGCACCTATCTCTTAGGGTTATTGTGAGAAATAAACGAGTTATTACATTTAAAGTTAAAGATAGGCTTAGCACATTGTAAATTATATCTAAATGTTAGCTGTGGTTTAAATTGGATTTTCCTCTCCAACATTTATACTATGATTTACATACAAATAATTGAATGAAAAAAAAATAAAAATATCAGTGCAAATAGGTTTTAACGATCCCATTTTGTCCAACACCTTAGTTCTAACATACTTATGTACCTCTTTATGCACTTCTTGTGGCAGAATCCCCTTTATTTTAGCAAAGAGCCTGAGGTTTTCTTTTACAGTGAGGAAGTCAAATTGCACATTGGCTTGTGGACAAACTCCAGTGAGCATTCTGATATTTTCTAGGTTAGCCATTTCTGAAAGTTTATTATTGTAGATGGCAACTGAACCTATAACAAAGTTTAACATTTAGTATTAGAATAATGCTTAAATTAGAATATTTCTAAATAAAAAATCATAATCTATTTATTAGTTATCTTTTAGAGGTATGCATTTATTTTCAAGGATTATAAAATTCAGACATTATGAACTTCCATTTTAGTTGCATGGTTTAGTAAAGTAAACAAGTTCCCATCTGCAGCTTTTCCCATCAAGATATAGTCTCTTTATCTGCCCCTCACGTTTCGGTGGCCATATACCCAATGGGACCATAGCAACTGTGATACAAGCAAAGGCTGAAGAAGAGCTTCCACACAGTGATTTGCCCTTTGTTGCTGCTGGAATCGTGGAGACCATCGGGTGAAGAATCCCAGGCTAGCTTCCTGGAAGGTGAAAGTCCACGTGGGAAAGGAAGTGCAGCTGCCCTAACTGAGGCCCCAGATATGTGAATTAGGCCATGTCGCATCATCCAGCCCCCGTCACTTTGGCCCAGGACAGAAAAGCTGCCCAGTCAACCCACGAAATCATAAGAAACAATAAAACATTTTTCTTTTAAGCCATTAACTTTGGGAGTGCTTGTCATGCAGCAAGAGCTGACAGACACAAGTTGGAACGCCAAAGGGTAACTAATGGCCATGAAAAAAATTATTATGTAATACTCACATTCCATATATAGTATACCAATGAACTATTACATACTTTTATAGAATGTTATCATAAATAAATTTCTATTTCTTCTCTAGGTGTTTGTGCTAGGTTTGAGGAGCTTGTGATTACTAATCAGAAGGATTTGCTAGCTGATTTGTCAATCTGACTTGGGGAAAGAAAAATTCTTACCTTTGGTGGGAACAGACAAACCATTAAGAATGTTTAGCAATGTCGACTTTCCAGCTCCACTGTGACCAAGTATTGCAGTGATCTGGCCTTCATATATGTCAAGCACCAGATCTAGAAAGAAAAGAGGAAAGGAAGGAGAAGAATGAAGGGAGGTAGGAAGAGAGGAAGGAGGGAAGGAAGGAAGGAAGGAAGGAAGGAAGGAAGGAAGGAAGGAAGGAAGGAAGGAATAAAAGCAATTAAAATCACAAATAAAATTCTATTATGGAGCTAATGAATTGTTATTTTATTTTCTTCATTGGCCGTATTTTCTATGTATGAATATATTGTTAAATTCAAAATAAAACATAAGAAACCTTCATAAACTTATTGCTAAAAATATCCCTTTTAAATTTTGAGAATAATTAGTTTAAATTAATGCAACATGTCTATCTGCTAAGTTAATTGATATTGCCTGGCATATGATAAGTGGATGTTAATATTTATTGAATGAAGAATAGGCTAACAGCAAATTTTACATGCCTAAAACTTCTTTAAGGTAAATGACTTTTTTGCACAAAAGAAAAACATACAGTATCTACCAATAGATTTTTCATTCCAGAAGAGAAATTTGAGGTTGCAGAAAAAAACACCCCAGAATATCCTTAGGCTACCTCAATATCACACAGTGTAGATTTTAAATACATATAATTCTAAAACATAAAGCAGAAGTAATGTGTTAAAAAATTTCTCACGTGGCACAAATAACTCTTTTCAAATCTGAAATACCACCACTCATTGCTCACCCAAAGCAAAACAAACTGAATTAAGTCAGGAAAGCAATATTAATATGATAGCTTAAATAATCTCTCTCTCTCTCTTTACCTTTCAAGGCTTCTACTTTATCTGGCTTGCCTTTATATTCTTTTGTAACATTTCTGATTCTGAAAGAAAAAAAAAAAAAGAAAGATACTTCAAGATGACAATTTTATTCAATTTTTAATTCTGAGTTTGGTTGATGAAATTGGATGAATCTTATCTTCGGAGTACATGAGGATCTGGGACCTCACTCTCCTGCAGTCATGGTTGTACGACAGAATCAACTAAAATACCGCTTACCCACGCTGCCTGCACTTGAGCATCACCTGAGGAGTTTTACAACTTTAACTGTGCTTGGGACCCATCAGCAGAGGTTCTGATTCCATAGATCGGAGCCTAACCTAATATTAGTATTGGAGAACAGGATCATCTCTGAACCGCAAAGCTAAAGAAGCTAGAGAAAACATACACATCTAATACCCAAAGGCTCATTGCGAACCACTGGCGCAGATTGGAGGTATCCTTGACTGTCTTGAGTCAAGATCTCCAGAAGGACATTTTGATAAAAGCCATTCTCACTGAGTGAAGTGATATCCCATTGTCGTTTTGATTCTCATTTCCCTGATGATTAGAGATGCTGAGCATTTTTTTGTGTTCATGTCTTGTAAGTCATTATTACATTAATAAAGTTACACTTTTTAAAGCTGCAGGGGAAAAAAAAATCTCCGGAGGTTCAGTAAGAGGTAGAGTAAAAAGAGAAGGAATATATCAGAATAGCAAGAGCATGGGTTCCACAGTCCTACCCAGCTGAGCCCGTCTCATCTCTCTACTACTTAGTGTTCTGTTACCTTAACCAATGTACTTATTCTAGCTAAGTTTCAGCTTTCACAACATGAAAATTTGTGGTACTTTAGGATCGTACTGGAGGGCAAATAAAGCATTTCATCTTGCATGTACAGAGCTTGGTCCATGATAAACGTTCAATTAAGGTAAGATGATATTGGTTTGATGATGATGATTATAGCAATAGAAAGGAATGGAATTAACATATGCTGGATGCTAGATCTGTAACCCTAGGCATGACCTGTATGGTTGTATTCTCCCAGTTGGGTATATATATAATTAATAAGCCAAAATAAATTTTTGTTTCTTATTTTGTCATCTACTATTCCTCAAATGATCCGGGCTCCATTCATTTAAAACTATTTAGTTAGTTTTATTCTCTTATTTCCATTTCAATTCCATTTCATTGCCATTCCACTTTTAGTTGGGTGAGGTGCTAAAGAGATCAAAGAGAAACAAAAAGAAACACAAACACGTCAAATAAAACCATTGCTTTGCTCTTAGCTGCTCTGCTGGAAGCTAAACCTAGCTCACGCTGAATGACAGATACAAATGTACGGAAGATAAATACGAACAGGCTAAGATAAAAAATGAAACCGGCTCTAGAAGCTCAGTAGCATGGTGTAATCTGGAGGAATTCATAGGGTACTGACTCGGGCTGGTCAGTGAAACCTGCATGAGATTTGAACCATCAGGGACCTTGACTTTCTTCCTGTTTTTTCATTTAGAAATAAAAGTTACCGGCACCAAACACAGAACGAAGCTACGCATGATTCTAACGAGCCCCTCTCCCCGAACCTCCCGGTGTCTGTCCCCAGGGTTTGCCTCCTTTCCTCTTCCCTACTCCTCCACCTTCTTTTAAAAGACAATAAATATTAGGAATGATAGTAAGAGGAGTTAAAAAGATAAATAAAAGACAATAAATGCAAGAGAAAAGAGAAGTTGAAAATATTTGAGAGAAAAATGGGGAGTATAACAAATGAGGTGGGGTCAAAGTGTGAATAAATGAGACGAAGCAAAAAAATGAGGGAGCTTAAGGATAGAGAAATAAAACAAAAGACAAAACACTGAGAATTCGGCAGGGGTTTTGTTGAATTATCTTTGTTGGTGAGATTTAAGTCTTTATTTAGTGTGAATGTCAATAATGTAAGACCTCAAGGGGTTGGCAAAGGAATTTTTCTTTGACCCTGAAGTGGGAAGTGATAGATGTGGCATGGCGAGGATTGGTGGGAACTATCTGCAGAGCACAAGAGAACTTTGCTATGTCAGGTGCTAACTATGAGCTTCCCAGCCTTTGGTCTGTTCTCTCTTTGCATCTTTGTTACCTGATGGCTTCTTTCCCATTGAATTCTGGAGACACTGGTTCGAAAGAGTCATTGGATGAAAGATCAGAATCTATTTCATCTTCCAGGGCCACGTGATCAGGCTTTTGTTGTTGTGACCAAAATGAGGACTTCAGGAAAAACAAAGGCGAATTTCGACGTCCATATTCATCTACATGACCAGGAGACAGTTAAGTATTGGGTCAATCACCACTTTCAGAGAGAGAGAGAGAGTCATAATAATGTATCATGGCAATGCATCCCCTTTGTCACTAAACCTTAACACATGGTCAACACAAAGTAATGCCCATATTTTGACACGTGTAACTTCGTGATTAAAAAAGAAAAATTCAAATGGAATTTACATAAGTGCTCAGAGTTTTCTTAACCTTAGAAAGCCAGATATTGAAACATAAATGCAAGAGATGCCAGGCATGCTGAATTCTGTCTAGGAGATCAGGTGTCATTACATCGGTAAAGGAAGAACTTGAGAAGTGACTATTGGCTAAACAAAACAAATATTCCAAGGGAACATAGAATAGAAATTAAAAAAATAAGTGACACATATGTAAGAAAGGGATAGAATGGGGCAAAAGAATTTATTGAAACTTAACAGAGTGGAATTTTTAAAAAAAGCTACTTTGCATTTCTGCTTATCTCATCCCCAAACAGTAACTTTCCTCTGAAACAAATTTATGATGTACTTTGAGAACATATTATCTGTAAACATCTTGCTGGAAACTAATCCATGCTGTATTTGTGCTTTCTTATCACTTTTGTTTTCCTACATGTTAGGAAATTATGAAATGGAAGAATCATATTTCACTGATATCATGCAACTGACCTCTGCTGTAAGAGTGATAGGTTTTCAAACTCAAGTGTACTTTTCACTTGTTCAGTCCTTCATTCATGAAATAAATATTTACTGAGCACTCTCTGTATACCTGGCATATGATATAATGTTAGCTACTATCTGTCTCTTCCTTTTCAACAAAAAAATCTAGCAAATAAAAGCACACAGCCATACATTCTGCCCCCAGATTTATCATTACATAGTTATGTCATTTTATCTGGTTAATTTTTATTCCTGTCATTCATATGTATTATGCTTAAAAGAATTTTGAAAAAGTCACCTCTGGCCTTAAGTTCAGGCTCACTAAGCCTGAACTTATGGATGATAATCAAGAAGAAAATGGAATCATTCAGTTATATTGGATAAAAGAAACATTCTAGTTATACTAATAAAATAAAATGCTTTTGAAACTGAAAAAAGTGAGCATTTGAGCAAATATATTTGAGCAAATATATTTATGACTAGGATATAAGATTGAGTAAGAAATAAGATGCAGATATGAAAATGGAACAGTAGTTGATATAAGGGAATTTGATAACCACATACAAATGGAATATTTAAAGTAATATCATTAGAATATGTTTGAAACAAGGACTAAGAAAAGATGGAATATATCATATAATGTACACCAAAATCAAATTTAAGATGGTTAGAGAAAACAGTTGCCTAAGGGGATACTATTAAGCAATTGCAAATATAGTAACATCTGTTTGTGGATGCATTCCGAATAAACACATTGAAAAAACAAATAAATATGAAAGAAAACTTAAGTAGACTCCCTTAATAAATAGAAGAAAAAAAGTATTAGTAATTATAAGGGTCACAAGAGTAAACTTCCTGAACTAACAGCACACCAGTAACAGACTCTATGGTGTAAACACAAACAAAGGTCGTTGACATTTCACCATAAAGGCAAAACCACAAAAATGAAACAGATGAAAACGTATTTAAATACATTTTTTAATGAAGCAGTGTTAGCACAGGATAGAAAGGCTTAGAAAATTAGTAAGTGAAAAAATAATTTTGTTATGTAGTCACCTCATTTTCACCTCCACTGGAAAAAATATTAATAAAATGAAAACATACTCTATCTATTCAAACAATTCTAGTTGTAAAAAAAAAAAAAAGTCAATCCCGATCTATTTTTCTGGATTCTTCTGAAAGGCAGAGACAGTATTCTTAAGGGATTATCTAAAAACTAAGCAACACACACAACAACAGGGTCAATTCTCTGCTTCAAGATGTTGCTTTCTGGCTGGGCGTGGTGGCTCAGGCCTGTAATCCTAGCACTCTGGGAGGCCGAGGTGGGTGGATTGCTCTGAGGTCAGGAGTTTGACCCCATCTCTACTATAAAAATAGAAAGAAATTAATTGGCCAACTAATATATATAGAAAAAAATTAGCTGGGCATGGTAGCACATGCCTGTAGTCCCAGCTACTCGGGAGCCTGAGGCAGTAGGATCGCTTGAGCCCAGGAGTTTGAGGTTGCTGTGAGCTAGGCTGACGCCACGGCACTCACTCTAGCCTGGGCAACAAAGCGGGACTCTGTCTCAAAAAAAAAAAAAAGATGTTGCTTTCTGTGTCGCCTCCTACCCCTTGCCCTTCTTTCCTTCCACAAGTGTTTATTCATTGTTTTATTAATAGAGGACCCTTGGCATTCTGTCTTGAATAGGAAATGCAGAGGGGAAAGACTCAGGCCCTGCCTTTGATTATAAAAGAAGGGAGAGAAAAGTGAACCCACGTTTCAGCCACAAGTGTTTACCGAGTGCCCTAGTGTGCATCAGACACTGGAGTGGGGGTGCTTGGGGTTTCATCTGTGAACAAAACAGATCCCTGCTTTTGTAGAACTCGTATTCTTATAAGTTCCATGCTGATAAAAGTGAAAATTAGTGACATACTGACTTTCCCCGATTGTGAAATTCTCGGGAGATTTCTAAAAATATAGATGCCCTGGTCCCATCACTGATTAATTGAATCAGAGTCTCTCCAGGTTGAGCTGGGCTTAGTATTTCTTTAAAGTTCTCTACATGGTTCCGATGTCTAGCCTGGGCTCAGAACCACTGAGCTAAATAGTTAGACAAAAGCAGCTCTCAATTGCTATGATTGCCTGATCCATTTAGGAACTAGCTTTCTAAGCATCACTTTTAAAAGAAACACTTGGAGTAGAGTGACGTTCAAACAAGGGCGAGTGATTCTATAAACATAATTCGGGCATTAGTTCTAACAAGTAGAAAGAAATGAAGCACTAATTCAGCCAGTAGTGACAACTTTGCCCATCTCCTTCCTGTTGATACACAAAGTAGTTCTTAAGATATAAATAGCATAAGTGTTAAGAGATTCATTTTTAGAAAATAAAATTATTTAAATGATGTTTGATTTTAAATAATATCACTACTCACTTGGTAAAATTTTTTCAAAGTAAATCGCCAATGCCAGATAGAGGCAAGTATCAAATGCCAGCATGAAATATATTGGTATAATGAGATATGAGCCATCTGATGGGTCAGGAAGTACATTAGAATTCAAATCATAGTCCGAACGTAAAAGCTGCAAATTAAAAGTAATTAATTGAGGGAAATTAGGTTTATGATAAATGGTAAACAATTAGGTTTAATATAGGAATAAAATGGCTACTTCTTGCCTCAAACTGGGGATAGAAAGTTAAATAAGGAGATTGCCTACTTCATGGTTCTCAGATCTATTGGAAGGCATGGACTTATGACCAACTATACTGAATTTTAGTACTTGCTATGATAAAAATATGTTCCAAATGGAATTGGAATATTAGCAGGGAGTAGGGAAGTATGGGAAACAATGATATTTGAGCTCCAAAGTGAAGATAAACTTTCACTTAATAGGACATAGTCAAAAGGTGTGTTGAATTTTTAAAATGGCTGCATGAAGGAGAAGTTACACTCTTGGAAAAAGGCACTGGTATGTTTAAGGAGAACCAGTGGAAAAGTGGGCTTGTCTATGTTTAAGTTAATGAGCTCTTTATAATTAACAACCATTTTATTAAGCACTAAATAATGAATATTTAATGACTGGCATTACCATTTAATCGGAGGGAAGGCAAAGTGAGTTAAATAAGAATCAAATAAATAGAAAAGACAGTTTATGAACAGGAACATAATTTACTAATCAATTTTCAAAATGTTTTTAAATTTTGATTTCATTTTATTTTCTTGTCTGATTTTTACAGTCATGTATATCCTTCAATTACTAAGTAAAAATATGAAATGGAAATAGTTATTTAAAATTTAGATTTATAACATCCAGTCCATATTTAATTAATAGCCTAAGAAAACATTTTATATTGTCTTTAAAGAATTATACATTAATCTTCTAGTTTTTTGGTTTTTTTTTTTTTTGGTCACTTTCTAAATGGCTTATTTTGCTGGACTAAATACTTTTAAGGTTTTAAGACTTCATCTTTATAATCTTAGAAGAGTCTTCACTAGGGTTTTAAACCTTACAACACTGAGCATAAAAATGACTACGGCTTACTGAATTCCAGAGAAGAAAGATGTTTCAGAAATGTCATCAATAAACAATTAGATTGCTTCTCACCTGGATCATTCCAAGCATGAAAGCAAAAGGGCTAAGCAAACTTAAAATCCACTCCAAGGATGCAGGAAGGTATCTGTACAATGATGTGAATCCCAGATTTCCCCAAAAGACAGTGAGAAGGAACACGATCAGGCCAGTGAGGAAAGATTTCTTTACCAAGATGCTCATTAAGAAAGTCAAAGCTATCTGAAATGAGAGAAAATCTAGTTTGTTTTTGTTTCTCTAAAAATTATTATAAATAATAATATAAGCATATATAAACATAATAAAATAAGATTTTTAATATACAAAATTATCCTTATATTATGATCTTGTATATAATACACAAAGCTTCGTTCTGCAAATTGTATTAAAAATCGGCATTACAAAACAGCACAAATCAAATGCTACCTGTCCATAGATTTTGAAATGCAAACAGAGCAGATAGAAAAAAAGGGGAGAAGTATGTAATCAATAAATTTTTAGGCTGTCAGGTGGACTGGGAGACATTAAATTCAGCAACTCACCAAAGACAATCCATAGAGGAGAAAGAGGGTGAAGACCACCATGAAGCCTGTCAGAATGATAAACTGAGTTGATTTTATAACCAGTGCCAAGAAAATGGCCATAATGAAGATGAAACCAGCATACAGCAAACCCCAGGAAACCCTAATGTGGAAACAAAATGTTATTTTAGCATTTCATGTTCAATTGAAAAGCAGGACTTAGAAAAGATTCTAACATTCATTCATTCATTCATTCTCTCATTCAGCAGATATTTATTCAGTGTTCTAAGGATATGTAAATACAAGATAATAATTCCAGGCAGAATTCTTTGGGAATTAGGAATGCTCTTTAGGAATTAGGAATGTCCTTTAGCAATTAGGAATATTTTCCCCTAAAATTGATTTCAGAAATATACACTTTCACACATTTATGTGTGAAATATATACACATAATTGTGAGGGGAAAGAAAGAAAAACAAGGCTTCCAGTCTGATAGATAGATTTCGGTTCAAACAGTTTGTCTGTTGCATTCTTACTTTGTGACAAACTCCGTAACCACTCTCTTATTCCTTTATACCTCTGGGCACTAGAAATAATATTACAGTGATGACTCAACGAGATAATATCTACATAGGACACCGTCTTAGTGCATGGCAGCCCCTTAGTGAATCTCAGGTCCATTTCTCCGCTCTGGAGCCTCTCTGGGGCGAAGAGCATTACAGATTTTCTTGAAAATAAGAAATTCTTCCTTATGTATAATTTTGTGTGTCTGTCTTTTTTCAAATGCTGTTGTCATCTTTCTCTGGGTGTGCTCACCAAAATAGTCTACATACTTGCCTGTAAGTATGTATAGTCTACACACTTGCCATCCATTTTTCTGTTAAGCTAGAATGCTAAAACATTAGCTCATTTCTTTTGTCTTAGAATAGTTCACTTTCCTTTCCTCATCAATTTTTTTTACCTTGTTTTACAATATTCTTTGAAAGCTATAATGAAATAATAATAATTTTAAAAAGCAAAAGCAAAAACAGCTGCAAAACCAACAAGATAATAGCCGGCACATATAGCAATTATTATATGTTGGGAAATGTTTTAAGAACTTAGCAAATATTAAATCATTTTATTCTTAAATCAATTTATTCTCATAATAGCCTTATGCAGAAATAGCGTTATTTTCCTCATTTTATTGACAGAGAAGCTAATGTACAAGGATGTTAAGTAACTCTGTTTCAAGTCCAGGCCTTTTTGCTCTAGAGTCTTTAGATTTCACTACTCTCCTATATTTCCCTCCAATATTCCTTCAATAAAGAGGTCAGTATTTATTTATAGTATTTTCATCCTGGGATTAGGATGAAATTCTATTTCTTCTAGACTCTTAATTGGTTGTCATTTGCACAATTCAGCTGTCTCCGTGGCCTCTACGTTATTTCCTTTCTCTTCCCTGCAAACATCACCTCCATGCCCTCTGGGTCAATTATGCATAAATTCTTACACAGAACCTTGTCCATTCTTGGAATTACTCAACCTCTGATATTTAAAATTCACATTACCCAGCCTCTATTCACAACCCTATTGTGTTTGCTCGTTCCCTCAGATATACCTGCCACGTTCTTCAGTTTCAAAAACATTCCTGATCCTTGGCCTCTTTTTCCCTTTCCGTCCTACCCTCATTTGAAATCCACTTCTGTCTGGCATATACACCAATGTCTACCTTTTCTATTACCCTCTTCCTATGGTTGTCTTCCATCGTCCTCACTTCTCAGTCACCCAGCAAACCTAACCCAGGTGTTCTTATTTCACTCAGAGAAGCAAGTAACACCTGGCAAACATTAAACCAATGGCAATTTATTCCATTCAGAGGTACAAAGCAAACAGAGAATCATTTAAGTTTTAATAAAGGTGCAATGAAGATGCCCGGTATTCGTGAGTTCCTCCATGTATCCATTTGTGCTACATTTGACTCACCAGAATGCTGAATCTCGAAGACCCATCATCACCATCAAACCCTTCATCCTTTTTCTCTCTCTTGTGATGTTAACGGCTGCATAGTAAGTGAATGGGGAAAAGGAAATAATGCAGAAGACAATGAGCATATCTGTTAAAACTCCTGTTTGTTCAATAAAGGACTGCAGCTTCATACATTTTCCAGTAACTGACAGCAGTTCCTCCATCACTGAATGATTTGTTGTGACCTGAAGAAATATTAATAAACAAAATTTGTATATTAGTGAATGGCATGCTCTGTTTTGCTTCGATCATCGGTTTTCCTATGAGTGCATGCCTGGCCTATTGGGATCTGATGCTAGCCTAAATTTCTACTTCTGTCTCCTGTCATCGGCCCACATGGAGCTTGGAGTCCAGGCATTCTGAGATATGTACAGTCCTCAGAATTTACTATGTGTTATATCACCTCCCTGCCTAACATTACTTTACAAACCTCTCACCTCAACCTTTGAGTTTAAATGTTATTTAATTGGGAATTCTTCCATGGCATTCTAGACTGGGAAGGTTTTGCTCATTTGCTTAAAGGACTTTAAGTCCATGTTAGCCTATTTCTGTTCTAATAATTTTCTTGTTACGTGCCTGGCTTCCTGACAAGGTTGAGTCCATGGATAGATTTTTCTTCTATTTGTGTCTATATCCCAATGACATATGGCAACTTTAGTAAGCTTTGCCAAAAAGATAAGGATGAGTAAATGAAAGAACAGGGCTATCTACTTATATTTTCTTCCATGAAACTTTCAATTCCTCTAATATTAATTTTCATTAAATATTAATTTGCATTGAACATTTCATACTCACTTCTATAATGGCAGCATTAATGGCAGCTTGAAGAGCCACAAAACCTTTCTCCCAGAATGATGAAACTTCACATTCAACATCTTCATTCATTCCATAACAATGAGCTTTGTGAAGAAAAGAAACCGTACTGTCATCATGGGTTTTTTAGTCTTAATTATAGGAAACAGTGGACTTCTCAATGACCCCAAATTCCAAATGTTCCTATTTTGACTAAAGCCTATGAAAACATAAATCATAATAATGATTCGCAAATAAATCATAATAATGATTCTCAAAATGAATCAGGCAAAACACTCTTATGAAGTGTTCTGCATTAATTGTTGTACTCCAAGCTTTTTCACACTATCTTTTGTGCTTCTCTTTCAATCAATAATTTTGTTGATCTCTTCTCTTTTTTTCTTTGTATTGTGAAAACAATATCTTTCTCTGTTTTTCAAAAGTCGGCAGAGTCTAATAGGGATTGAGAAACACTGAACTAAAGCTTATTCTAACATATGACACAGATACAATAGGCAAATGGAAGTTCAAATATGATAGCAACTTAAATCATGTCGACCAGAATGTCTTTTAGAGAGAAAGACCCATTTATTAAGAAGAAAACCTACCAGTCTATTAAACTGTATTAAAGATATATTTAAATATTTTAAACTCTACAATTCCAAATATTTCATTATATTTATTATTCTATACTTTGCTCACTTGCTCTAGATTATGATTTTGAAATGTGTATAAATGGTCTTATTTATTTTTTTTCTTCTCTTTATCATTATGTAGTGCCATTGCAGGAATGTGAGTCAACGTATTTATCCATACTCTTGTTAATGATAATTTGATTAGTTCCTTTATTCTTTTTACTATTACATAAAAATCTGCTGCTATAAAAATCTTTATGTATATCTTCTTATAAATACATGTATGTCAAGATAGTCTCTTATATGCTGCAGTGACAATCCCCAAATCTCAGTGACTTATCACAGTAAAAGTTTATTTCTCATTCCGGCTGCAAATTCAGCATGGGTCTTGGGTATGAGTGTTGGGGTTTTCTATTCCACATCAAACTAAGGATCCTGAGATGAAAGGAGTTTCCTCCAACTGGTATTTGTATTGTCATACATGGCCTCCTCTTCATTTTCAGAAGCAGGTGAGGAAAGGTGGAGAACTCACGCCTGGTTTTATATGCCTTGGCGCTAGCTCTGTCATCATAGCTTCAAATAGTAATTATTCTACACCTTCAGGAAGGAGAGAAGAACAGGCTGCAAGTCTGTAACACCAGGATGAGAGTTTCACTAATAAGATTTCTATGATGCTGGGTTATAGCGTCATGGCGTAAAGGTTCTTGCTAACATTGCAGAAGGGAATTTCAGGAAACTCACACAACTGAGCAATAGTGGCAAGTATATTGAGTGAAAGCCGACAGGCTTAGGAAAGGCTTGCGCAGAAGTGAAAGTACACTCCCAAGGAAGGGAGCGGACAGGCTCAAAAAGAGCAACTGTCCGGAACCCTGAGGGGTTGCCATTTTTATTTGATGAGTAAGAACAGAATCAACACTGACCACCCCAGGCTTCTCTGACTTCATCAGTCTCTAAAGGTATTTAACAGAATTGTGGAAGTTCTGGTGAATGTGCTAAGACACGACAGAACTAAGTGCAATAATTAAGAATGGGACAAAATATGTCCTTATTAGATGCTACGTAAACAGAGACCCAGAAAATGCAAGAGCATCAACTCTGAAGACCCCTTTGATTAGATGAGCATTTGCTATTTCTTGTCTTTGGTTTGTTCTTTGACTCTGTTCTTTGCCTCTGTTCTTTGCCTCTGTTCTTTGTCTTTGCCTTTGGTTTGTTCTTGTTTTTCTAGTTACTTGAGGTTTGACATTAGGTTGCTAATTTGTGATATAGCTTTCTGTCTTTCTGATGTAAGCATTTAGTGCTATAAATTTACCTCACAGCACTGCTCTTACTGTATCCCAGAGGTTTTGGTAACTTGTGTCACTATTGTTATTCAATTAATAAATTGTTTTGATTTCCATCTGGATTTTGTCATTGATCCAAAGATTGTTCAGTGGCAGGTTGCTTTATTTCCATGCTTTTATATAGTTTCACAGTTCCTCTTGGAATTTATTTCTAGTTTTGTTCCACTGTGGTGTGAGGAGGTACATGATGTGATTTTAATATTTTTCAATTTTCTGAGACATGTTTGGTTTCTAATAATTATTGGGAGTGACCCTTCATTGAGGGTCAGCAAAGAAAGAAGAACCTCAGTCCTATAACTGCAAGGGGCTGAATTCTATCAACGTGAACAAGCTTGAAAATGGATTCTTCCTAAGAACTTCAAATAAGAGCTCAGCTTAGTCAGCACCTTTATTTCTGCCTCCTGAAGCCCTAAGCACAGACCCAGTTGGGCTTGTCTAAACTTCTCGCCCACACAACTGTGAGCTAACAAGTAGGTGTTGTTTTAAGCCACTGAACTTTGTGTTAATTTGTTGCACAGCAATAGAAAACTAATAAAACCTCTGTAGAATAAAAGGAATGTGGTATATTTTTCCATTTATTTGGGTCTTTTAAAACAAAATATTATATTTTTTCTATGAGAGACCACATATTTTTAGAATTTCTTTTCCTCTAAGGTACATTTTTAGTTGCTACTATGTATTATTTAGTTCATTAGAGGATTATATATCTTAACACATTTTCCCACTAATTATTACTAGCACATCCTATTTTTTATGGTATCTTTTTCCTTTCTTGTGTTTTTGATTGCCTCTCTTATTCTTTAACATTTTAGACATGTTTATTTTATATTCTTGATTTTATAATTCCACTGGGAAAGATGTATTGGCTTTGTTGGTTCTCCTAGCTCTCAGTGAGGGTGGCTTGTCTTCCCATATTGGACCATGAACATATATTGTATAGAGATATTTTATCTTTGTGGCTTGAGTTGAGGCTGCACTTTTCTTGAGAAGATTTATTCTCTCTTCTGCTAAGCACCCTGGTGCCCAACCAACCCAGGATCACTTCATTTATCTTTGCGGTTGGGATTTCTCACACCAGGCAGGTGAGGTAAATAAGAACCCCAAACCCAGGAAAAAGCAGGCTGAAAGCTACAAATTCTCAAAGGAAAATTCTCTTTTCATCATGAAAGCCCAAGTTATGACTAACAACCTTCTTTTTTGGTCTTCCTTTGCCAACAGGTGACTTTTTGTTGTTGTTGCTTATTTACTTTTTCACCAGGTAAGTCTATAGCCTTTCTAGATTCCAAATTAAGGAAGGTATTTCCATCTCATGCAAACACAAGATGTTATGTATATCCATATAGCCACTAAAACTCAAACCTCTTGGTTACTGAGACTGGCAAAATCATATAACATTGATGATAATCTACTCTAGATTTGGTGGCCTCTTCATTTTGTACCCTTAGGAATTTCCCTCACTGTCAGGTGAGCTTATGTAAACATTCAAAGGAAAATTTGTCTTATTTTATTTATAAACAACTTTATTTACTTTTAACAACCATATAATATACTACCTTTAATATATGTGTGTATATATGTGTACATATGCAATTTACACATCTATATAATAAGTGTCTGTATAAGTACATGTATATAATCATATATAACAGCCATATATCAAATGTGTTAGTATACCCAAAAATGAATACAGATTTTTTAAGTGTGTGGCATGCCATATGGACATTTACATATCACCATGGAAAACAGGGATTTTCTGATTTGACATACTAACCTCTATTCCCATATATGGCTTATAACATCATTGAAATAGAGAATAGTGGAATTTTATAACTGGAAAATTACCTGTATGGTCGCTGTGTTCCTTCTTTGTTGGGATTTTGTGGCTCACGGAGAACTTCAAATGATATGAGTACATATTAGTAAAGATGGCTGTTACTACATAATCAGGATAATGTCTTTTTAATTCTTGAATACTTTCCTCATCCGGCATAGCCAAGACTTCTCTACCTGCCATTACAAGAAGGGAATATTATTGTTAGTCAATTATTAGGAAACAGAACTTCAAGAGGTCATGTGTCAATTGCTTTTACTAGAGTTATTTATGAAAGTAAAACAAAATCAAGTATTAACTTTGAGAAAGTCAGGTAAGCTACAAGGCTGAGGGGAGAGATTTCGAAAGTTCCATTTAGATACAATCAGAAGAAATACATGAAAATCAGTTATTTTATTTTTATACATTTTGATATATTGAGCCAATTTAAATCACATAAAATATGGCACTATACCAATTAAACTATTCACAGAAGAATTAGCATTCTTCTAAATCTAAAATGGTAGAGATAGGTAGGTAGATTGATATAGATAGAAGGATATTTTGATTGCAGTTAGGCACTGATTTGTATCAGGTGAAAATAGCTATAAAAATTTATTTTCGCTTAACAACACTGAGGGAATGGTTAATAAGTTTAAAAAAAAGAGTGAAAATTTTAAATATAGGTCAAGTTCTTATGTCGACGTCACTAAAAGAATTTCTCTTTTCAGTAGATACTGTGTTTAAGGCTATATAGATTTTCATTAAAACTGAAAGAATGAGAGAGAATACAAGAAAAGTCCTGGGTTGGGGTGGAACTGTTTAAGATGAATGTGGAAAGAACAGGTCACATGTATTTTAATAGAATTAAATTTTATTCTGGCGTCTATTTTTTAAATCTGTGTCATAATGAGCAAGTCACTTCATTTTTGTTACTCAGTTTATATATTTGTAAAATAAACTTAACGATATCTATTATTATTACAGAATGTTAACACAGAGTACAGAATAATATAGAACAATATTGTTATTACAAAATAATATTCTATTACTCCAAGGCTGGACGCAGTGGCTCACGCCTGTAATTCCAGCCAAAGCAGGAGGATCTCTTGAGGCAAAATAATATTCTATTACTACAGAATAAAGTCTCTGAAAAAGCACATAGTAGCATTGAGTGAATATTTATTTTCATAATTGCAGATGGCTTTGGATGAAAGGTATTGTTGAGAAGCTTGAGTTCCTGACCCTGGGGCTCTCAGGAAGACATCTCTGAAACAGAGGACAGGAGCAAACATGTTTCAGGACAGATTGATTAGGAGACTGGATCTTAGGTGGACAGAGCAGATCAGGTTATGATCTTGAATCAGAAGTGGATTCAGTGTTAGCAGATAAGATGCACAGTGTAGACATTCAGATTCAGGGGTAATAGTGTGACAGTCGGTGACGTGCCATGGGGAAGCATGTTTTTTTTGTGTGTGTGGATTCAAGATCATTTCTGTTTTTATTGACACATAATGTTTTTACATGTTTATGGGATACATGTGTTATTTTGCTACGTGCATTACATAGAATGTGTAATGCTCTATCTGGCCAGGGTATTTGGGGTATCCAACAGTTTAAGTATTCATCATTTCTATGTGTTAGGAACATTTCAAGTTCTTTCTTCTAGCCATTTTGAAATATGCAATACATTGTTGTTAACAATTGTCACCCTACTCTGCTAACAAACACAACTTGTTCCTTCTATTTACTTGTTTGTTAATACCCATGAGCCAACCTTTCTTCATCCTCCTCCCAACACACCCTTCCCAGTCTCTGGTATCTATCATTCCACTCTCTACCTCCATGAGATCAACTTTTTCGGCCCCCACATACGAGTAAGAACATGTGATATTTGTGTTTCAGTGCCTGGCTTGTTACACTTAACATAATGACCTCCAGTTCCATCCATGTTGCTACAAATTACTCGATTTCATTGTTTTTTTTTTGTGCCCTAAGAGTATGCCATTGTGTATATGTACCGCATTTTCTTTATCCGTTCCTTCATTGATGGACACTTAGGTCGATTCCATATCTTCGCTATTGTGAATAGTGCTGCAATAAACAGGATACAGATATCCTTTTGATATACTGATTTCTTTTCCTTTGGAGAAACACCCAAGAGTGGCATTGCTGGATCATATGGTACTTCTATTTTTAGTTTTGTGAGAACTATCTATCCTGTTTTCCACAGTGGCTGTACTAATTTACATTCCCACCATTAGTGTATAAGAGGGCAAAGCAGGTTTGAGATGGTTCACACCCTCCTGGCACAGCAGTGTGCCTTGAAGCACAGACAGGAAAGAAAATCCAACACAGTCTGGAATCTGTGGCCACAGAGACTCCAAAAAAGTCAATTGCACTAATAAATGCAAGTGCCTGAACACAGATTTAGTTAATCAACTAACTAAGAACACAACTAACCCTAAATCACCCATTTGTTCCAATGGATATAATCCCGGAAATTATTATGAACTATTGGGAAAGGTCTATAATCCTTTCACTGGAGTTGCTTATCTGGTAGGGTCTGCAGGCTGCCTCTGCCTCTGGGAGACCCAACTTGTAAATAAAGCCAGCACACAAGACTGTAGACCTGAGAGCCAGAGGCAAACTGTTGCTAAACCTCTATCCCACCCTGCATTAATACTTTGCTCATTTAAACTAGACAAAGGATTCTTTTTCCTTAAGATAGGTTGATCCAGGATTCTTAATCTCAACAGAAACATCTATAAACATATAGTATTTTTAAATAGATTATTATTTAAATAATCTATTTAAATAGATTTATTAGATAAATTAAATAATTTTTCTATTTATTAAATGGATGATTATTATAAACTAGTCACCCTACTGATCTATCAAACACTAGTTCTTATTTCTTCTAACTGTAAAAAAATATAGTACTATTGATCCTATTTTGCATATGATGATAATAGGGCCAGAGAAATTGATGGCTTACAAAATGTACTACAACCTCTTGCCTCTGCTCTAGCCAGCCTCGCCTCTAATGGCATGACATTGTTACAGAAATTGATCTTGATAGAATAATTCCCTTGTTATTTTTCATTAATGAGTCTCTTAATCTAGAAAGGGTGGAACTCTGAAACCCAAGATATTGAGAGGAATCTTCAAATATAGGAAGAGCATCTTTGTGGTGTTAAAAGGTGAGGATCAAATTCCCATAATCAAATTTTAAAAACAAAAAGACTGGTTGTGCTTTGTCTATAATAACAAACAAACACCAAGAGCAACCGTCTCATTCTGGTCGCAATGCTTTCAGAGCTACAAGTCAATGCATGCCCAAACACTACTGCTTTCAGTGTGTACCAGTCTGTGTATTCTTTGCTTCCCCAAACACTATGCAAGATCAGCAGGTTTCTTTGTTGAGAGACTGTGCACTCCAAGTGGAAACCTCTTGCTTGGCAAGCAATACACATTTAGTTTTAACTTAGATATTGATTAGTGGCATCTTACAATAAAGGGAAAGTATGTTCACATTTCACATACTCTAGAAAATTTGACAACTGACAAGATTTATCAACTGAAATGTAAATCAAATGCACACATTTGCAGTCAAATGAACCATATATTGACATCAGACATTCCTCCTAAGTTGTTAGAAAACTTACCTTCTAGGAAGGAAGCAGAGGCTACTTTCTCCATTATCTGTTTGGTTGTATTGGTGACAGGTGTGTATGCGATAGAAAACCTGGGTTCACCGAATGAATCTACCCGTCCCAGGTCAATGGTAGGTAGTGAAGAAAAATCATGAACACTATGGCCATGAGGATACAGGTACAAATAGAGTAGTAGAAACAATGAGCTTAACCATTCCTACACAATCCAAGAGAAAGGATAAAGAAAATTATGATTTCAAATTAGTCAGCCACGATCACTTTGTCCTACAGTTTGTCTCTTTGTTCATTTTTCTGATTTCAATATGTACCCTATTATGAACTATTTAAAATATGTACAGTACAAATTCAGCCGTTTGGGTAATTTTAAGGCACTATTAATGGGAATTCAAATTTATTGAGCCTCAGTGCCAATGCTGAAACATGCACTGATCATGAAAAAATATGAAATGCAACAGTAGAAAGCTGTTTTAAATTATTACCAGCTGGGATTACCTTGGTGACCCACTCATGCTGTGTTTGATTCTACTGAAAGTCTATGTGATATAAGAGACAATTCCAAGGCGTTGCTCACTTAGTAATGATTTATTGGTTATATGCCAGGATTTTGGCATCAACAGAAGGCCGGTGACCTTAGGGACACTGTCTTGACTAATTATTTATAAATCCTGGTCACATGCAAACTCCCAATAAGAAATCACTTGATTTTTAAAATGCATGATCTTGGAAAAAAATCTCACAAAGTATATATAGTAGGATTCCAATTTAGTTAAATATGCTATCTAGCTATATCCATCTGATTTTTAAAAGATATCAAAGTTTAACCAAGATTTTTGTTATGTGGTAAGATTATAAGACCTAATACCAGTTTTCTTCTTGGCACTTAATACATTTTCAACTTGTCATTTTTGAGGGAAGTGAATTGTTTTTTGAAAGATAAAGAGATATCAAAGAGAAAATACCAGTTACCTATTACTGTGGATGGATTTGTTTAACATATCTCTGGAATACCAGTATCTTAACCCTAGTATCTATGAGTGGGGACATTGGTAAAAAAGTGTGACCACTGGCTTTTAAAACATTTATTGACTTCTCAAGTGCTGACCAGCTTCAGTGGTTTTAGACATCAATTTATGAGCCTATGCCAATTAAAATGTCTTCAAACAGACTCATGGTCTGAGGAACAGCTTTTTCTATTGTATAAAGGTGTTTTATTATTTTTTTCTTTGGTGTGTGTATTGGGGGGCAGAGATAAACGAAGCATAAATACCTCCAAGGTAATATATATTTCCTATCATATGTATAAAGTGACACAGATATTGAATCATACCAATAAGGACTCTCTTTTCATCCTCCATTTTTTAAGAAAGTTCTTGTGTATTAAGGCCCACGTTTGTTGACACACACTGATCTCTCTCTTACTCATTTTGCCCTGTTTAATCAGAGAAAACAAAAGAAGATAAAGTTAATGCAAAGTTCTTAGAAGAAATATCCTACAAACAACAACAAAAAAGAGTAGCCTAATAACTCCAGTGTTCCCAATGAGTGTTTAGAATCTTGAGTATGCCCAAGTTCACATTTTATTACTCCCTTCTTCCCCTCCTTTCCCCACTTGCACTCTTTGTTCTATCATTTATTTGTGATGCACTGTTCCTGTTATCAATTTATTCCCTCTCAGCTCCAAATTCTCCCTTCAGAGCCTGCTTTATGAAAATGGTTCTGGGCCCTTGAAGTATTTACCTTTGTCAGCTGGCATGATGTTATACGTGATCAGCAGAGAGGATGTTAGAGACACTGTAGGAAGCAGAGGTTCTCCTTTCTGGTATCAGTGTTTCATTTGCCAGGTTTCTATAGAATGTATTTTTATTCCACTGCTCAAACTAAATGGTTTTCTCCAATGTAAACTACCTGGATGGTGCATGTTTCACTGTGTATATTCTCCAGCTCTTGACTTAGGACACAGTAGAGTATCTGGGAGCCCTAAGCACCTATAGTCCTTTCCTCAGAGTTTGATTTCCTTTGGCCCTCCTATTGCAAAGGCAGTGCACCCCAGTCCTTGTGCCCACAGCTTGCCATTCCTCTTCTCTGCCAGTCAGTGGGTTGCAACCACACCGTATCCAACTTGCCAACACCTGTCTCCCCACCCAAGTTTGTTCTTTTTTGGATATTCTCCATCAGCCCTAGGATGCCCTTTAGAGCTCTTAATCCATCTTTATAGTTATTCTCCTATCATTACTAAATAATTCTCTATATGAAACTTTCCTTGTTTAATTACTGTGCGGTTTCTGTCTTTGGATTAAGCCCAGACCAATGCATACACACACACCTCTCTTTACCTTCAATAAATAGATTGTTGTACACCTAGCTTAGCATATCTATATTTAGCTTAGATCCTGAATTATAGAGACTGCTAGCTTTTCATGAAAATGTATTTCTTTTTCTTTCTGAGCACAGAGCTACGCTCCATTCACAATAACGCCAATTGCTTTCTAGGCAATGGAATAGGAGCAGAAGAAATATGTGCTATTTCTGAGTCATCATCTTAAGAAGTAGGTGTGTCTCTCCCTGCTGTTTTTCCTTTTCTGACAGCCAGATGCCTTAGCAGACAGCAGGGCCAAAAGATGGATGGAACTCAGTTCCCTAAATCATCACGGGAAGAAAACCAACCATTGACCAGAGGCAGATGTCTTAGATGGTTTAGTGAGCAAGAAATTATATTCTATTTTACTTGAGCCATTACATAATTTTGGTTAGATTTTTTTTCCCCACAGCTTAATTTATATTAACTAGTGTGCTCTTTTAAATGAATCTTAGAAACATTTTGGCAAGTTCAATAGTGAATAAAGATCTGATTTACATTGCATTAAATTTATTAATGCATTTAGGAAGAATTAACATTTTTGTGGTATTGAGTTTTCTTGTACATGCAAATTGTTTTCAGTAACTATTTTATATCCTTTAATAATGTTATTTACTTTTTAAAGTCACTACAAAAATTATATTAAGTAATTTTATTATAATTACTTATAAAATGCCTAGCTTATGACTAGCATTTTGATGTATTTATCATGCACATTGGTCATTGCTCATCTATAGAGGTGCTACTGGTGTTGTATATTAATCATATATCTGAAAACATCAATGAATTCTTGAGTTAGTATGGAATTTTTCAAATAAATCTTCCTGTATTCTAATATAGACAATCGTATCAACCTAAAATACCCCATTAATCTCTTACATTCTTTCTTGTCCTAATATATAGGATAGGAACATTATGCAATGTTGAAGAGTTAGGGTTATAACAGGCATCTTGTTATTTTCCTGATTGAAGAGCAAATACATGAAATTTTCACCATTAGAATTTGTACTCTCTATAAGCTCTGACTTCTGTATTATACAATTCATCCATGTAAATAAAAACACTTCTACTCCCTAAATCTGCGGAAATAAAAAAACAATTTTTTAAATCTATAAATCCTGGAAAGATTTTATATCGATTATATATTAAACTAATATTTTTAATGTATTAAGCAAATACAACTTATTATTAAAATTAAAAATGAACAAATGGTATTCTTTATGTGCTTTTGTTAAATGGTTTTTATTAGGATAAAGGAACATCAACTGCTGTTCTACTTTCCTAAAGTTTTGATTCATAGATAAATTTTGCATGTTCGTAGCTACTTTCCCATATTGTCTTGTGATTATACCTAATATAATCTGCTAATATGTAATTTAGCTTGATATCGTCTCTCATGTGTTTCATAAAATATTATAATTTCTCATAGGTTTTTTTTTAATACTACTGAGTTGAATTTGGCAATATTTTACTTGGGATTATTTACAAATATAAATTACAGTGGACTATAATTTAATTTTTTATCCACTGGCCTTGTCTGATTTTAGCCTCAATGTTACGTTAGCTTCATTATGGGCAGCATTTTCTCTTTTTCAATGCTCCTACGCAGTTTGTAACACGTAGGATTATCTGGCCCTGGAAGGCTAGTAAACTTGCTCCTGCTGATACAACCTTATGAGCCTGTTGCCTTTGGGATGGGAATGGGCTAGATTATTATTGCTGTTAATTAACAAGGGTTCAATGAATTACTAATGTTTGGCTTATTCTGTTTATCTATTTAAACTTGATGCAATTTTGATAATTTTCACCACAAAGGTATCCATTATATCTGTATTTATTAGCATGAAGATATAATTTAAAATATCTATAACTAAAAATGCTTTTAAAGTACCTTATAACATGTATGCATATATATTTTTTCTTTCTATTTTTAAAAGTTTAAAATTTTTATTAGTCTTGCTAAAATTTTGAATTTATTAATAGTCTAAAAAAAAGCATTATTACTGTTTGATCAATTTGCTTGTTCATTATGTCTTCTATTTTTATTAATTTCTCTTCTTTATTAATGTTATTTTTTGGTTGTTAGTTTTTCTGCTTTTCCCCTTAGCTTCTTGGCTTGGGGACTCCAGCCAAGTCAATGGTGGACTCATCACACAGTGGCTGGGAAACGCAGACTCTGGAGCTGGGCGGGCTGTCAAGCTGGTTGATTGATGGCATCGGTGACCCCAGTTCTTCACCTCTGCCTGTGTCCACACCCTTAGTGTGGTAATTTTGGGGTTTGCCTCATAAAGGCCAAGAGAAGGAAGCAGGAGTGGTGATGGGCCAGTTCTGAGCCTTAACTGTACGAGGCCTTGGGTGTAACTCCTTGCGCTCTGCGATTGTCCCAGTGCTATGGCAGCAGACTGTGCCTGCTGGAGGATGATCATCCCAGTCACCTAGTCGAGGGTGATGGCCAGTCAGCCCCCAGAGATACAACCAAGCCTCTCTGAGGTCAGTAGTCTCTTAGGAACCACTGCAGGCATCACTGCTATTAATGCTTTTTTCTGCATGTTACTGGTTTGTGTGTGTGTGTGTGTGTGTGTGTGTGTGTTTTGCTATGCAACATAAATGTAGCAACAGACCACCGATGTAAGTTACTTAGCATTGCCTCTTCAGCTTCCATAATATTGAAGTTTCTTTGTTTTTAGTGACTTTTAATTTTTTATTTCTAACAATTGTGATCAGAGAAATGTCTTCTCTGTAAGGCGTTGCTTCTTTGAAATTCCTGAAGACTTCCATGGAGGAGCATCATATTTTACTATTTGGAAGTGTTCCATGTGTGTTTGACATACGTGTACATCACCATTTAGGTTAAGTGTTTTGTACATATCTATTTAATCTCTCTGATAGAATATAGAAATACAGTTCAATTTTTAAAGTACACTCAAAGTAGATTTATTTGTTAATTAAATTTGCCAATGAATTATGTGTTTCTGTGGGGGAAGCTGTCATATATTTGGGCTTGTGTTTGAGGTGACGTGTAGAAATCCTATCTGAACTGGAGTTGGATAGCTTCAGCTAGATTAAGAACCCAGGAACATTTGTCCTGTGTGTAAGCTAGTTCATGAACTTTACTTAAAATTGCCTGCAGAGAGCAGCATTATTTTCCCATAGACGTTACATCAGTAGCTAGAAAGCGGAAGTACAGCTATAGACCACCCCAATACTTGGTAGGAGCAGGAAAGCACCGGGTTAGCATATGTGACTTTCAGCAAAGAACATGATGTGAGAGAGAGTGTGTGTGTATTGTGTGTGTGTGTGAGAGTGTGTGTGCGAGAGAGCGTGTGTGTGAGAGAGAGAGTGGGGAGGGGGTGTGACTCAGTAGGGGAATTTATACATACATTTTATTTCAGCAAGGATATAAAATACTTCCCAGAAGGAGATGGCTCAGTGCGTAATAATAATGCCATATCTTTCCATAGCCCCAATCAACCAATACTATACAAATGTGATTTGCTGAACCTCTCCTGAAACCTGCAGGACTTCATTGCTCTCACAAGGCCTTCCCTGTGGGAGAACACAGGGTATCTAAGCTGCATTATAGAAGGTAAAGAGATTCTGGAACAAACGATCACCAGTTTCCTGGGAAGCATGCCAGGGACGTGACCTGGAAGAATGGATCGGGACTTTTGAGCACAAAGCCATGTCCTGTCTTGTGAAGCTAGTGATCTCCTCCCCTCATGTACCACGTTGACCACGGGATGTCAATGCCATGCCATGTTGGCCAGGGATGGAACCCACGTGGTTGCCATGAACTCCTCCATAGTGATGAGGCGTGGGTGTGCCCCCGACTGTAGCGCCATACCATCACGGCACAGGGCAGTGCTACTTCCTAGAGTCAAAGCTCAGATAAGGCGTCCAGGGGCCAAATCCAATGGAAGGCACATTAGCCAGGGAAGTGTCAGCGAGCACTGCCAGAGGAAGAATCTACACGTGGCAGCTTCATGAGGCCAAGAGGCAAGTCTAGATATAAGCAGGTCAACTAACCAGGTCAGAAAGCCCATGGAAAGAGAGAAGGAGGGAAAGACAGTTCCAAGAATAAAACAGGGTAGGTGAGAGTATTTAGTGAGGGGGCGGGGCTGGGAATCCCCATAAGTGGTTCTTAGTGCAGAAAACTCAGTATGAACACTTTTAAGGGAATTGTCCTGCCCTCCTGTAAGAAGAGCAAACTGGCCTTGCAGGAGGGTGAACTGGCTTAGAAGGTGATCTCCTCTCTATGGAATCAGCCACGCCCCAAGCAGCACAGACACTTCAGTCTGACTCCACCCCCTCAGATTTTACACTGTAAAGTCCTATTGCCTACTTCAGTTTTCCCCAGTTCATGTGTGTTCTGCAGTTTACAGAAAGACTAACAACAACATAAATTTCTTAAGAAGTATGGCAAATAGTTTCAAATTGTAAACTGCTGTTAAATTCAGAACAAAATGTTTATACTATAGGAGCATGAAAGTTCTATTTACCACGGTATGCATTTAATATAATATTGTGGTAAGGAAAAACTAAATATTTCACATTCTGATTCACTCATTGCATCCAATGAGTAAAAGATTCTGGAAAGCGTCTTATATTTCTAAAATTCTTATAGCCTGACAGTGAGAGAAGCAGAAAATAAAAATATTTTTGTAAATTCCTCTTTGTAAACAGTACCAAAGTCAGAAAAACAGCTATCCAAACTGCCTCCAAATTATTGCACAATAAAAGCAAATAACTATAACTTCAAAAACAACCCAGCCTTACAAATCAATTCTCAAAATTCTAAGATCTTTACAAAAAATTTTTAGCCAATTTTGGCTTATTATTCATACACTTAGTTTCTGGTTAAAACAATATAATAGTTGCATAATTTTTAAAACCTTTTAACTCAATGCTTTTATCTATTGATATTTAATATTAAACACCAGACATCAAAAAACTTCAAAATAGCCCATTAATTTTCATAATAATTTCTTCACAGGTGGTTGGCATTTAGTTCATAAATACTTATTTATAATATTGTAATAAGAATTTCAAAAAAGAGAAACCCCCTCAAAACAACCATGCAAAAAGTCCACAAAACAAAACAGAAAAAAATATAATGAACTTACTTTTGGAAAAATTGAAGCAAGGGATCTAGAAGTACAGTTTATCCACTGGTGGTCTTATTTAGAAGAAAGTGATTCACATTTTTTCCCTAATCTCTACCACATTTCTAGAATTTGCTCTAACTGTTTGACTTCCTTGAAAAATTTCTGTGAAGACTGCTGTCAGAGGGGAGGTTAGGATCTCAATTCTGTTGGCTCTGCCAAATATCACTTTCACGTGATCACTCCCAGGACTTGTTTGTCTTTTCAGTTGTATTCAGTCAGTTCCTGCAGAGCAATGGCATTTAAACTTCCTTGCCTAGCTGTCCTGTATTATAAAGAACAATCTTACAGAGGAAATTCAATGCCTGTAAGCTTTTCTCTACTATTTCCAAGATGACTGTGGCTAATATTAAAATTGAAAGCACTGTCTTTAAACTGAGAGAAAGTTAAACAGTTTAACCAGAGAAAAGCTCTTCTCTCTACCTAGAGCTCTAGATTGCTCAATTGACATCTTCTCTAGGGTAATTGAGATTTTTTTACTCTTTTCCCAGTTTCATTTTCAGTTCAGACTATTTTCTATTTTTTTTTTTTGATCCATGGATTATTTAGAAGTATATTGTTTAATTTCCAAATGTCTGAAGAGTTTCTTGTTATCTTTTGGTTATTGATCTCTAGTTTAATTCTATTAAGGCTCAGAAAATTTGTGTGTCAAATTGTTAAAGTTTGTTTTATGACACAGGATATGATCTACCTTGGTGAATATTTCATACGCACTTGAGAAGGCATGTATTTTGTTGTTTAGTGGAGTATTATATAAATATCTATTAGATCTAGTTTGTTGACAGTTGTTCACTTTTTCTATATTTTTGCTAATTTTCTGTCTATTAGTTCTGTTGATTACTGAGAGAGGAATGTTGAAGATTTTAACAAAAATTAGAGATTTATAAATTTCCCTTTTAGCACTATCAGGTTTTGCCTGGTATATTTTGCAGCTGTGTTGTTAGATGTACACATATCTAGGAAGATGTTAAGTCTTCCTGGTTCATTGACCATTTTATCATCATGTAATATAAATTTTTATCTCTAGTAACTTTAGTGTTCTTAAGTCGACTTTGTTTGACAATAATATGGCTATTATTATTTTCCTTTGATTAGTGTTTTCATGTGATAGGTTTTCTATCCTTTTATATTAGATATATATATTACATATACATTTATTTACTTATTTATTTTAGAGATGGAGTCTTGCTATGATGCCCAGGCTGCATTGGAACTCCTGGGCTCAAGTGATCCTCCTGCGTCAGCCTCCTGAGTAGCTGGGACTACCAGCACACATCACTGCACATGGCTTTATATTATCTTTAAAGTGAGTTTCCTATAGACAGCATATAGTAGAGTCATGTTTTTTTGTTTTTTAAATCCAATCTGACAATATATGTCTTTTAATTGGTGTGTTTAGACCAGTTACATTTAATGTACTTATTGATAATTTTGGATTTAGGTCTGTCAGTTGGTAATTTCTTCTCTATAGTTTTAATTTCCTGACTTCTTTGGGGTTATTTGAACTTTTCTTTAGTATTCCATTTTTACCTTACCTATTATGTTGTTTAACAATACCTGCTTGTATAGTTATTTTTTTCTTTTTTAAAAATTATTTTTTATGTATTTCAGAATATTATGGGGATACAAATGTTTTGGTTACATTTGTACAGATTGAGTCAAACTTATAAGTGTGTCCATTACCCAGATAGTGTGCATTGTACCCATTAGGTGTGAAGTCATCCAACCCCCCTCCCCCTCTCACCTGCTTGATTTCCATCAAATTTTATTACTATATGTGCACATGAGGGCACATCTATTAGTTTCATCAACATCTATTAGTTCCAATTTAGTAGTGAGTGCATATGGTTTTTGTTTTTCCATTCTTGCAATACTTCACTTACAAGAACGGTCTCCAGTTCCATCCAGGTTGTTACAAAAGGGTATACATGGGTATACATATGCCACATTTTATTAATCCACTGATGTATTAATGGGCACTTCAGTTTGCATCCTCTACAATTTCATGCCTCAGTGTTTTGTAGTCCTCCCTGTAGAAGTCTTTCACGTCCTTAAATATATTCCTAGATATTTTATTTCCTTTATTGCTGCTGTGTAAGGTATTGAGTCTTTGATTTGATTCTCTACTTGACTATTGTTGGTGTATAGGAATGCTACTGATTTGTGTATATTAATTCTGTGGCCTGAGACTGAGACTTTGCTGAATTTATTTATCAATTCCAGGAGTCTCTTGGCAGAGTCTTTGGTGTTTTCTAAATATAAGATCATACCAACAGCAAAGAGTGATAATTTGACTTTTTCTTTCCCCGTTTGGATGCCCTTGATTTCCTTCTCTTGCCTGATTGCTCTGGCTAGGACTTCCAGCACTATGTTGAACAGAAGTGGTGGTAGTGGGCAAACTTTTCTGATTCTAGTTCTAATTGGGAATGCTTTCAACTTTTCCCCATTTAGTATAATGTTTGCTATGGGTTCGTCATATATGGCTTTTATAATAGTGATGTATGTTCCACCTATGCCCATTTTCTGAAGAGTTCTTGTCAAAAAGGGTGCTGAATTTTGTCAAATGATTTTTCTGCATCTATTGAGTGGATTATATGGGCTTGGGTTTTGCTTTTATTTATGTGGTGAAGCACACTTACAGATTTGCATATGTTGAACCATCCTTGCATCTCTGGGATGAAGTCCACTTGATCGTGGTGGATTATTTTTTTTTTTTTTTATGTACAGCTGAGTTTGGTTTGCTAGGATTTTATTAAGAATTTTTGCATCTATAATCATAAGGCATATTGGTCTGTAGTTTTTCTTTTTTTGTTGTGTTCTGTCCTGGCTTTGGTATCAGGGTGATATTGGCTTCATAGAATGAGATGGGAAGATTCCTTCCTTCTCAATGTTATGAAATAATTTTTACAGTATAAGTATCAGTTCTTCTTTGTAGGTCTGGTAAAATTCCACTGTGAAACCATCTGGTCCAGAACTTTTTGGGGGGTGGACAGGGAGAGATTTTTATTGCTGCTTCAATTTCATTACTTGATATTCATCTATTCAGCACTTCTATTTCTTCCTGATTAGGCCTAGGGGGGTTGTGTATTTCCAAGGATTTGTCCATTTCTTCAACTATTTCAAGTTTATGTACAGAGAGATTTTTATAGTATTCAGAGATGATATTTTATATTTCCATGGTATCAGTTGTAATATCTCCTGTTCATTTCTGATTTAGCTTATTAGGGTCCTTTCTCTTCTGATTCTGGTTAATATAGCAAGAGGCCTGTCAAGTTTGTTCATCTTTTCAAAGAACCAAATTTTTGTTTCATTAATCTTCTGTATAACTCTTTTGTTACTGATCTTATTTAGTTCTGTTCTGACCTTAGTTATTTCTTTTCTTCTGCTGGGTTTGGGATTGGTTTGCTCTGCCTTTTCCAATTCCTTGAGAGTGATTTAACATTAAATTCAAGAAAGGGTGATGACATTTGTTCTTTGGCCAAAGACACAGGCAGTCACCTTTAACACTTCAGAAAGTTAGCTGATCAGTGGGACCTCCTTTCAGTAACAACAAACCTCTAAGCTCTCCTGTGTTTGAAAGTCCACCAACTTGTATATTTTATATTTCCCCAAAACCTGTAGAAATTAAGCTATTTGCTTTGTTTAAATATTGTGCTCTACCAACACAATTCTCTCTTGCTTAATTTTGTTATTTTCAGATCATGATTGGTGGCCCTTCCTTTGACCAAGGGAAAGTATATTTTTATCTGGCAGTTTTGACAATTAACAGTTTATCAAGTGAACTGCATATGCACATGTTTATGACCAAATTAACTAGATACAGAAATTCCTCCTGGTTTAGTAGCAAACTCACATGCCTTGAAGGAGGCAGGAGAGATTTTATTTGTTATCCTTTGAGTTGTATTGGTGAAAGGTAAATATGCAATAGCATATTTAGATTCATTAAATGAATCTACATCCCAAGTCCAGAGTTGGCAGTGACAAAAATTATCAACTTAATGATGCCTGTCATTGATCAACCAGGAGAATAAAATGGCATAGATTATAAAATGAGGGATTACAATATTAGTATAGCAGTGGGTAGAGACCAAGGATGCCATTAAATATTCTACACTACACAGGAAAGCCCATCCCCACCACCATCCCAACAAAGAATTTTCCAGCACAAAATGTCTATCATTCCACTGTGGAGAAACCCACATCTTGTATAAGAATAAACAAGCCTAATATTATTAAAATTATTTACTCATAGTCATTGTAATGTTTTCATTGATTAAGCTCTCAAAATAAACTATTCTTACCTTATACTTCAAATAGTCCAAACATTGACTCAATGTAACTTTGTATATGTAATTTGGAACATTCCTTCTTAGTTTTTTATAATAAGAGGAAAAGTGAACTCATCCAAAGGCACAATGTCTTGGGTTGGATTCTGCCCAATGAGAGGTTTTGAGAAGACATTAAAATATGAGTATTTCCACCAACTTATAATAAGAGTTCCATTTCAAGGTAGCAATTTTAACCCAAGAGTTCAATTCTTTGGCTTTGAAATTGTATAACTCAAAACAAGAAAAACACTTATATTAGCACCAGTACCAGACAAGTTATTATTGCTTGGGTAGACACTTTGAGGATGATGCAGTGCAGATGGACTGAGCATGAAGGAAGTATCAACTAGCCAGAGAGTCCACACAGATGAACCTGTGAGAAGACAGTAGGAAGGGTCACCCTTGCAGGGTTCTGCTCTAGGCAAGGACTGGGGACAGGCAGCATCAGACAATATAAAAATCTTTGGCAATTGCATCCATGCCCTGCATGAGAAACATTCTACAGTTTTTGCTCTTTTTCACTGATATGTGAACTACTGTTTTAGTCAATGTAATTCTATTAATAGCTATCTGTTGTAACAAACCCCCAAATCTCAACAATTTCAGTATCTTAATACAAAGATACTGATACAGTACAGTATCTTAACACAAAGCATTCTGTGGCCATTCCGTTTTTTCCTTTGGTTTGGCCCCTCTCAGCTATCACAGTCGAGGGCACCCCCATTTCTTCTCCCGTGGCCCCTCCATCTTCAAAGACAGTCACAGAGCACTACGTCCTCTTCATGTTTCAATTCTCGATGACTTTCCCTTCTGCCATGGGCCGGAGGAAACTCTCTATCAGATGATTACATCAAGCCCACACAGATAATCTTTCTGCCCGAATGTCAAATGGGTCAGGCAGCATAACAGAGACGATGGCGTAATAACATCATCATATTTTAGGGTCCAGAGATTAGAGAGGAGCACCTTTACTGAGCCATTTTAGAAATTGCTCCCACAGTGCCAACTATAAATTAGAATATTTATTGGTAATATTATTGTGTGGACTGCACAAATTTTTGGTCAGCCCCAAAAATATAGCACATAGACACTTTCCTATTGAAAAGAGCTTCACTAAAGTCCTGACTCTAATAGAGTGTAATTAGGTCAGTTAAATCAAGTCCTAGGAAGTCATGTCTTATTTAAGAGGGCAAGCCTTATATACAATGATAATGGCATAGTCTTCAGCAATTTGGTTCCTTGCAAGGAACATCTACTCTATAATATAGGGAAAGTGAACTATAGTTTTCAGCATGTTGACTTGTATCAACTTCTTTGAGACTCATAAAAGTCAAGTGAGTCAGTAGGGCCAGTATTAATGCCTCTCTTTCCTTTATTTATTTATGTATTTATTTATTTATTTATTTTTTGAGACAGGGTCTTGCTCTGACACCAAGGCTGGAGTACAGTGGCATGATCATAGCTCACTGTAACCTCGAGAATTACTGGCCTCAAATGATCCTCCCACCTTAGCCTCCTGAGTAGCAAGGACCACAAGCATATTCTACCAACATCTAGTTTATTTATTTACTTATTTATTTGTAGAGATGAAACTTCACTACTTGCCCAGGCTGATCTCGAACTCCTGGCCTCAAGTGACCCTGCTGCCTCAGCATCCCAAAGTGCTGCTATTACAGCTGTGAGTTACTATACTCGGCCAATGTCTCCTTTTTAAAATAAGAAAAGGGGGCCTTTTGCCCAAGGTTTCACATGAATATTCTCATAGGTCACTGGCAGGATTTTATCTTCATAAACTAGGAGGATGCAAGAAACAATTAGAATCAAAATAAAGGTCTTTCCCACAACTTTCTTTGAATATTCAACTAGTAAGCAACCATAATAGTAATAACAACAAAAAAAACTCACCTAAATAAGAGTGTACAAATATATTGTGTTTATTTTGAGGTGTTTACAGGCTCACCAGTTGGATAGGTCAGAAGATATATACATATAGGAAATTAAGACCTATGACATTTTAGTGCTTTGCTTAAGAGTAGACCCTTGCATCGTAAGAAACATATAAAATCAGAAATATATTTCAAACTCATATGTAAAATATATATTTTTAAATTTTCATTAACTCGGTCATTCAAACTCTTACTATAACTTTTTATTTTAACAGATTACAAATTTCCTTTATAGTTATAACAGACAAAAAATATGGACTCTACAATCTAAAGTATGAAAAATAGCAGAAAAGGAAAATCAGTGAATTAAGAACAGGTTAAAAAGTGAAAAAGACACCTGCACTCGAATGTTTATAGCAGCACAATTCACAATTGCAAAGCTGTGGAAACAACCCAAGTGCCCATCAATTTATGAGTGGATTAATAAAATATGGTATATGCATACCATGGAATACTACTCAGCTTTAAGAAACAATGTTGATATAGCACCTCTTGTATATTCCTGGATACAGCTGGAACCCATTCTACTAAGTGAAGTATCTCAAGAATGGAAAAACTAGCACCACATGTACTCACCAGCAAATTGGTATTAACCGATCAACACCTAAGTGGACATATAGGAGTAACATTTATTGGATGTTGGGAGGGTGGGGGGGGGAGGAGGGGATGGGTGTATACAACCACAACGAGTAAGATGTGCAACGTTTGGGGGATGGACATGCTTGAAGCTCTTACTCGAGGGGGGCATGGGCAATATAAGTGACCTTAACACTTGTGCCCCCATAATATGCTAAATAAAATAATAATAATAATAATAAAGAAAGTGAATACTGGGCTGCTCTGTAATCAATTGATTACCTTTACCCTAAAATCAACAGGATGTCTTAATTTGTATGTTATCTAATCAAAAAGATAAGAAAATATTCAACAGTTTGAAGTTCACAGAAAGAAAATTAAACAATCTCTGTATCATTTTTAGATATGTAAACAATTCTATAGTAAATGCATTTTAAGCTGAATACTGTATGCAACATGGGATTTGGCTGCTGGCACAGGGGCTGGGTGGTCTGGCTTAGTCCCGTGCCCTACGGTCACTCTCACTGACTCCACCCTTGGTCCCACTATGAGAAATACAACTGGGAAAAATTATGATATGAGTTTAAAAAATATTTTGTGTCATATCTGAGATAAAGTCTATTAATGCTATAAAATATTGTCTTAAAAAGAGTTACAAGTTTAAAGAGAGTACATAGGGTATTTTAAACTTTAAGGTTCTTCCTGTGGGAGGAGCTTCCACCTTATTGAAGGATCAACTTCCTCATCAAAATCATCCAACTCCTGCTCCTTGGAGAGTTCCAGGAAAACCTGTAATAGAAAAAATATATATAAAAGGAGAGTTATGCATTACTATCTCCTATAGCTCCAAGCAAGTGCAAAGAGTATGCACATATTAAACACTTATATTCCATGGAAGATCTGAAATCACTAAAAATGACCCACCTGTTCTAGGGTAGATTGTGAGAGGCTGTACTCCTCCAGGTCGAAGTTCTGTTTAACTGCATAAGAATGAATGTACATTAGTTCTTTATATATGATTTTGTTTAGGGAGTTTTACCAAGTTATGTGAAAAAAAAATATGAGTAGTTCTTAAATATAAAAGATAAGGTAATAAATATTCTTAGACAAAATATGGAAAAGAAAATATACCATATAGTCATACAATAGGATGGAAATACTGTCCCATTCTCCTAGAGTTTTGGCAGAGGCACCACAAGACCAGAAAATAACACAGACGGCTCCAGAACACCTGTGCAGGATAAGCTAAAAGATGGTACCTTCTGCGCTGAAACTATCCGCCCCTCTACACCTGCCCCCAGTCTTCTCTGCTCCACTCTCTACCCCAGGGGCTGAAATGAGAGATGTCTCCTGGTGGATTCCACCAATGGCAAGCTCAGCAGGAGGAGTAGAAGGGAGGGGAGGTTGCGGCATTTATTCTTTCAATCCCTCCCTGACACCAAGTGTGCCCCTTGATTGAAGGTCATTGCTTCTCCCAAGGTGGGAGATGATTCTACATGATTCTACTCCCACATTCCAGTCACTGCTTCCTCTCTTAGTCTCTTTGGACCTAAGAATGGTAACAGTTCTGCTGTCTCTAGCCTTGGGTGATTGCATTGTTCCTTATACCCTTGCAAATAGTCATTTGAAAAACAAAATTTCTTCTGGTTATCCTATTTTGAGTTTACCATCTGCTACCAATTTGGACTATGACTGAGACCCTAAACATGTAGATACATAAGAGGAGGGAAATCGTGAGCACAAAGGTGATACTGGAAAGCAAAGATTTCTTTTGGATAGTATCAGACTGCTGTGGTATTTCCTTTCTTCTCTCCATAGACAAGGAGACTGGTCCCTGTCTCATGTCTGGAAAGATGTAAAGAAGAAATGCCATGGGTGGCCGACTGCCCTGCACTTTTAGAGTCTGGAGAAGCAAAGGTGCTTGTGTGTTTCTCATGGACTTCGAAGGAGAGGTACGTTGAGAGGATCACTTGGAGGGGTAAAGGGATTTCAAGGAAGGGGCCTGAAGGCTACAAGGTGGTGACAGGAAGAGGAGGCATCGCCCATCCCAGGAAGCTATAGTCTGAGGTTACAAATGGGAGGGGAAAGGAAGTCTTCAAGGAACTCACAGAAGCACCCCGTGAAAGCAAGGGCCAGCAATTGTTCATTTCTACACAGCAGACCCTGATGCCATATTATAGCTCTATGGATCATATGAAGCTTTGCTGCCATATCATCTCTTTTCCCTTCTCTTCACACCCTACCCTGGAGAAGCCCAAAACATTAGCTTCTGAGTCAAGGAGGGAATAGAATAGAATAGAAGGTGACCATCCCACCTTCCTAGCTGCAGCTCTTTAAATTCAAGGCAAGTCTGACCTGGAAGGGCCATATGAGTTTTTGCTGGAGTTTGCTTTACCAAGAGTGATTGGTGGTATGGAAGAATGAATCTATGTAGCAAAACAAAAGAATTGTCATGAAGTGTGCATTTAGCTTGCATAACACTGGGCCTAGCTCATTTAATAAATGTATTGCAGCTGAGTAACAATGTCCAACAACATTTGGAGGGAAAATGCTGCCTTACACGTCCACATTTTGTACTTTGTGTCATCTTCACATAACGGGGCAAGAAACTGCGACAAAATGTTGTTATTTTATTTGTTTTGTCCCTAACTGAGGACCTCAGTTTTAGCAAATTAAACACAGCAGATAGAATTTGAGGTGAGAGGGAACATTTTTGAAAGGAGGAACATTAGAAGGCTTTTAAGAAAAGGCCCCATCGCATTCTAGGGAGGCAGCCTTCCCGGAACGTCAACCTCTCTGCTTCTAATCCATCACAACACGGTGCTTCCCATTGATCCTACCGTAGGAATCCTTCCCACTGGAATGATGCAAAACTGGACACTAGGCCAAAATGGTCAATGTGGTCAGTGTGGAAAATGGCCACATAGACCACAGATTAAGGTTGACCAGCAGGATGAGAATACGAAAGAAAACCTATCTGGGTGACCCTAAGCCTGTCTCAAGAAAAATCTCTTGAAAAGCTAGGGTCCCCGAGGCTTCCACTGAGGGCAGATGACAAGCCAGAAAGTGCAGCTCAAGAAGAGGCGTGAGATTTCATTCACGAACTCATCAGGTTTCACACAGACATGATGGGCAAACACTGACTCCCTGATGGTCGATGCTGTATGCAAAGACCAAAACCTAAAGGCCTAAAAAGAGTCATGGATCAGCATACCTGAACAGAGAGAGGAACTTCCTTATCAGCATCTAATGCTATGAAATACACAGAGACAAAAAAAAAATTGCATTTTTCTGTTTATGTGAATTTGTGGATACTCTAGCCCTGAATGTCAGTGGTCTCTTTCCTCCAGAGCCCTGTTCGGCCACAGCAGGGTTTCTCAGCCTCAACCTCGGCATTAACGATGTTTTGGTCAGATTGTTCTTTCTTGTGGGGGCATTGTAGGATGTTCAGCATCACTCCCAGTCTCCACCCACTCAATGCCAGTCTTACCCCACTCCCCAACCCCCAGTTGCTGGAAGCAAAAATAATCCCAGACATTGCCCAATTCGTCCCTTGGTGAGAACCACCGGATTAGAAGTCTTAGTAATGTATTTACGACGTAACAGCACAATTCTATGTCCATGTATTTTTTAAATATTGGTTTTATGTAAGGTTTGGCTTTGTCTGTTTCCCAGAGTCTTTTCTCTACGCGATCACTCTTACCTATCTCTAATTTGAAGAAAGCCTGTGATAAAGGTCTCACGTCGTCAACAGGCAGCGTGTAGACCATCAGGGAGGAATACCTGCCAAGGGAAGGGAGTGAGGCTGACCTCTGCGTTTCAAGGTCGCAGCCCCCCATTGAGAGCATGTCGAAAAAGGAGCAATAACCTCATCAACAGTTTGTTTAAAGAGACACCTAGAGTGCAGAGGTTCTTTGGTCAACAATAAGTCACTCTGCTAAGAGGAGGATTAGAAGACAAAGGGAAGAAAATCAACAGCACCTACTCCCTAAGAAGGGAGGAAGCAAGACTACTCATCCTTTTCTTAGTGAGAAGAGAATAGCATGTAGGTAAAAGAACTAGGCTCAATTCCTATTTCCCCAACTCTGAGCCTCAGATGCCCTTACTGATAAAAAAAAATGCTAAGAGATGCCATTCACCGGGTTTTGTCTGATGCCTGGTACTCTGGCATGGACTCTCTACTGGTGATCTCCTTTAGTGGAGGATGGCTTTACCTTCTAGAAAGGACCCCTGAGATGACCTAAATACATCCATACTTTAGTACCTGGCAAATAAAGCCCCCATGAATGCCAATGCCCTTACAAGAGTCAGCTTCCAAATCAGCACTCTGTTCTCTTATTTCTCTCCTGTGGCAGCCCTTGGAATCGACTTTTCTCTAATAATTAAAGTGTTCACAAGTACCAACGAGTTACCAAAAAAAAAAAATAATAATAGTAATGAGAAGACAAAGCTTTTATTTCATCACCGTTAAAGAAACGCAAACCAAAGACTGAGATAAAACAAAACGACAGCTGTGTGTACCTTTCCTGCCGAGCAGCCTGTGGGAAAAGCCTCAGGATCTCTGCGTGGAGGGGCTCCACCTGTGCAGGGGTCTTCACTTTCATCACCAGCAGATAATCTTTGCCGAATTTGCTTTTCAGGTGTTGGATGGAACCGATGCATCTGGAGGTAGGAGGAGGACGAGGTCACGTAAGAAGAGGTGGAAATCTACTGCTGGCGATGCTCGGTCTCTGAGGCCAGGGAAGGGCCACCTAGAGCCTGCAGCAACCACCCCAGCTCCTCCCAGTGGGGGGCCTTGTGCAGGGAAATGTCCTTCCTTCAGAGCACACAACCGGAGCCAAGTTCGAGTGTGGGCTTGGGCGGGCACTCACCTCAGCCTCCCGGACACCATGATGGCCACTCGGTCACACACGGCCTCGGCCTCTGCCATGTAGTGGGTGGTCAGGAGGGCGCCCCTCTCCCTGTTTCTAAAGGTGGCCCGGATGGCCTGCCTAGAGTTAGGTCGAGGGAAAATGTTAACTAATGGGAATGCTCAAGGTATTGTGGAGTTTTAAAAAAGAAGTTTCCGTTGACAGACATGAAATAAGTCGTGAATACAGATTAGACAAAGAAAGGATTTTTTTAGGGGTAACAGGCATGGAAATGACCAGGCTATTGGTTAGAGTATATAATTCAGAATGTGGGTTGGGATGAACATAGAGAATGATACTGGGTAAAAGGCTGTTTAGAAAACGCTGAGTTCAGGAATATTTAGGAGAAGGCAGTGGGAAGAGAGACAGAAAATGAGAACTTACTAAAACGCACGATAATCACAACATATACCCAAAAGACACCAAATAACAGAACTCAGAAAGACTCGAAATGTTTCTTTTTATCTGCTGTAAGAATTGTGAATCAGGTAATGTTGCAGAAAGATTTAAATCTTAATAATAGATTGATTTGACTGAGATTAAAAATGTTCCATGCATACCTAGAAGATCTAAGAAAAAACAAAATTCTTAGAGTGGATATTAGGTTGGGAGAATATATCTTTTTCTTGTCAATAAAAACCGGTTGTTGGCCGGGCGCGGTGGCTCACGCCTATAATCCTAGCACTCTGGGAGGCTGAGGCGGGCGGATTGCTCGAGGTCAGGAGTTCGAAACCAGCCTGAGCAAGAGCGAGACCCCGTCTCTACTATAAATAGAAAGAAATTAATTGGCTAACTAGTATATATAGAAAAAATTAGCCGGGCATGGTGGTGCATGCCTGTAGTCCCAGCTACTTGGGAGGCTGAGGCAGCAGAATTGCTTGAGCCCAGGAGTTTGAGGTTGCTGTGAGCTAGGCTGACGCCACGGCACTCACTCTAGCCTGGGCAACAAAGTGAGACTCTGTCTCAAAAAAAAAAAAAAAAACCGGTTGTAATATGAAGTCAGATAATTTTTTCTCTTAACATTGCTTTCCCTGGTAATGTCGGGGTCTTTCCCTTTCTAAGTAGAAGACGACCGGGTGGTCACGGGATCAATACATTCATGTAGAAGTTACTCGTGATATCTCCTCACCACAGTTGCTGCTGCCCCTCGGGGTCCATCCCGGTTGACGGCTCGTCCAGAAGCACCACCGACGGGGTCCCCAGGATGCTCAGCGCGAAGCACAGCTGGAACAGCAGGAAGAGCCTGTCTGGCACCCGTCTGTGGGGTGCACAGAACAGCCCCGAGTCCTGCCCGTACCTTTCTCTTTATTCCCTCCGATAAGGTCCCCACGGGAGCCTTCAGCTGTCCCTGCAGCTTGAGAGCATCCACCAGCCTGAAGGAGACAGAGAGAGTCAGTCCACACCACCCGCGAGCACTGGTGACTGCGTGTAGGAGAATGAGAAAACCAGAATAAACACTGCAGTGGGGGATGTTTTTCAGAATAGTCAGGGTGGGCACGCCATTCAGACCACCTAGGCTCCTTTATGAACCTTCTGTGGTCGTCTTTTTAATGATTTCTTTCCATATTAAGAATAAACTTTTTCTCTCCAGGCTTAAAGCAAGAGAAAAAAAAAATACTGAACAGAGTTCTAGATGATCAAGTCTTCTCCCGCAAGATTGGGGCCACGGGTTAAAACCTCCCTTCTTTAATTGCATGTGGACCTCATTACCGTGACATCCCCCCAGCAGGGAACGGGGTGTCCTCCGGCCCCACCCCCATGTACCGTGAGATGGCGACCGCAGCGTCCCCTTTCCTCAGCCCTTTCACGGCGGCGTACACCTGCAGGTGCTCCCTCACCGTCAGGCTGGGCCACAGGGCATTCTCCTGGGGACAGTACCCCAGGAACCCCAGGGCGTCCCCTCTGCCGCTCCCTTTCAACAGCACCTACACAAAATAAGTTCATTCTCAGATTCTGTCCAGAGTCTTGTGTGTATGTTTGTGCATGTAAGTGTTTATTTCAGTGATGCCTTCTTCACACACACAGGTACTAAGTGTACAAAAGCAAATAAGCAATCACTTAGCTCGGGGGAAAAGATGGTAAAAACTCAATAATTTAAAAGGCAGATATTCCATTACAGTTTAGACCTTATTACCAATTTCATCACCATGGTTGAATTCCAGGTTGCTTGTTTGTCTGTTGTTTGACTTCATTCATTGATAGGAACATGCAAAGGAAGAGTTACTTGTTGAGGATTCTGTGTTCCCCAGTGATAAATAGTTATAATTATAGGCTCTACTTTACAGTAAGGCAGTAGTAGTTCTTAGTCAGGGACAATCCTCCACCCAGGGGATATTTAACAGTGCCTGGAGACATACTTGGTTGTCAGGGTTTGGGTGTGTACGCATTGGTGGGGAGACAACTACTGGAATCTAGTGAGTAGTGGCCAGGGACAGGGCCAAACATCCTACAATACACAGGAAAGCCCCCCATATCAAAAAGTATCCAGCCCGAAATGTCATTAGTACCAAGGTTGATAAATCCTCAACTAAGTATTAATAATAAAAAGCCTTTAGCCCTATGTCTGGCCCATAGGATCCAATAAATACATGATAGCATATATTATTTTTGTGAGGAGGCACTGGGCTATGTAATAATAATAACAGCTAATGTATATTCAGTGCTTGCTGTGTGCCAGAATATAAACATTTTATGGATTTTGGTTACATTATCCTATCTTTACAAAAGTTCTATGTGCGTTAGATGTTTGTTTTATCATCGATGTTTTACACGTGGGAAAACTAATGCATGCATGGATTAGGAAACTAGCACAAGGTCACAGATGGTGAGCCTGGGACTTGAAACTGGGATTAACCTTCAGAATCCAAGCCTTTGACCTGGATGCTATATGGTTTCCCCCAATACAAAGGAAGAGAGACCTAGTCACCCTCGCCTCATAGAGCTTTGATTCTGGAGAGAGAAACAGAAAATGAACAAGTAAACATGTAAGAAAATTAATTGAAGCCTCTGCCTCATGCATTCAAGGAAACAGATGTGCTAAACAATAATAGAGGATTTAATTTAGCTAATAGCTAAATTAAAGTTTTTTGGGGAGGTAAATGCTAAAGTGATGAGGAGATGACAGAGCGTATGAAGAGATGAGGGAAGGGCACTCCAGCTACTGGAAGAGCAAACCCAGAGGTCTGACAGGGAGAAGGTGACCCGAGGCCAACAGGAGCAGGGGAGGAGGGGTGTGGAAGGTGGTGGACACAGCCCACATCAGGCAGGGTCTCTTGCAGCCATGGTGAAGATTCTGGATCAATCGTTAGAGGTTGTAAGTGGGAGGGCGACAGGACCTCATTTGCATCTTTTAAGAACTGCTCTGGCGGCTGCTGTGTGAGGCAAGAGTGGAAATGGAAAGAAGATTCAGGAGACCTCTGCAGCAGTCAACACCACTGCCCAACCTTCCTTCCTGGACACTCCCCTGACATTGACGGCATGTCAAAGGTCGGTACCATTTTCCCTTCAAAGGGCGTCCCTTATTTTGACCTCTGCCCACCATTTTACCCAGCTTGGCCTAGCCCTAGACCTACCACCAAATGGTATTCAGATATTATTCTACCTTCTGCTTTGGAATTTAGGCAATTATTTTTTTTTCTTATCTCTGATCACTATTGTCTTAATAAATCCTGGATCTTTTATCACTAAGCCAGCATCACTGTTGTGCTTTGAGAACTTCAGTGTATGTGCAGTAATACTTTCTGCTGCTCTGTCATTCCATGACATCAGTTGGGCCAGGATATATCTCAATAATCATAAGAAAGTTTCTGTTGTTTACTCTCTGTGTAAATACCCATGACATTTTACCTGCTCATGGACTCTTACCATTACACAAGTGACACATACTGTTTAATTATAGCATATAGCTAGAGAGCTGTTATTAAATATGAAGATTCATGACTCTGTCATTATTCTGACAGTGGTTTCTGGTGTGATGCTAGCTGAGGCTACTCAATTCAACAATTTCTTGGGATACATAAGTCGACAAAGCAAAGATCTGTGACCTCAAGGAATTTATATTTCCTTTTAATGAATCTATTTTCACTCAATAAAGAGTATAATATAGATTACATGCAGCCCTTCTCAGCACCTAACTCTTTTTGGAATTCAGGAGAGAAATTTTTAGTCAATCCTCTTCATTCAATGCATAAATCCCACGAATTGATTAAGGATTATCTACATAATTTTAAGATTGCCATCAGTATTCCTGGTACAGCGTTTGTTCTAGGCAGCATCAATGACCATATTTCTGTGTGTTTTACTGACCTGCCCTGCGGTTGGTTTTGTGTCTCCACATATCATCTTAATCATTGTACTTTTACCAGCTCCATTGTGTCCTAACAACCCTATAACTTCACCTGAAAGAAAGAAGTATGCTCAGAAATATACAAATAATTACAATAAAAATAAAAGCAAATATGATTTGAGGGCTCACTATGCATCGAGCACTTTGTGAAATGTGCTGTGTACATCAGTTCACGTGTTCTTCACACTCATACACACACACACACACACACTCATACACACACACATACACACATCCTTGAGCATCATTACTAGCTTCATTTTACAGGTGAGGAAGCTAAGACTTAAAGAGGATAAATAACTTGCCCAAAGGCATGCAGCCAGTAAAAGACTGAGCTGGAATTTGAAACAAATATTTATTTCAAAGCCTGGTGCATTTAATCAACAATTCCACGAAGTGTGCTATTTGTTAGGAATGAAGAATGCATTACTGTGTTTCAGTTGTTCCCTCTTTGTAGTATTCTCTGTTGTGAAATTGTTACTTAAAAATTTATACCGTCTTTCTTAACAGAAAGACTGCCTTTTTGTTGTTTTGTTTGTTTTAATAGAACAGACATAGCCGTCTTCCTATGTAAAGAAAAACTCTGTTATAATTATAACTGAGGCTTTTTATTTTTTTGAGACAGAGTCTCACTCTGTTGCTCAGGCTAGAGTGCCATGGCATCAGCCTAGCTCACAGCAACCTCAAACTCCTGGGCTTAAGCAATCCTCCTGCCTCGGCCTCTTGAGTAGCTGGGACTACAGGCATGCACCACCATGCCCGGCTAATTTTTTCTATATATTTTTAGTTGGCCAATTAATTTCTTTGTTTTTTTAGTAAAGACAGGGTCTCACTCTTGCTCAGGCTGGTTTTGAACTCCTGACCTTGAGCGATCCACCCACCTCAGCCTCCCAGAGTGCTAGGATTACAGAAGTGAGCCACCTCACCTGGCCATAACTGAGGCTTTTAAGAAGGAAGGAGCAGCCTTAGCCTGCTGATGAGTTTGTCAATAGATGGCCCCAGATTCAGAGACTCTTATTCCCTTGGAAAGACCCAATCATCAGAGGTCAAGATTGCTCTGCTAACAGACCTACTGTTTCCAACCTTTTTTAACACAGAAGGAGACATTTCTTGTGGCGATTTTTTTCTTCCTTTTGGAAAAGCATTTTTTCTTTTTGCCTGCATATTCCTTCCGTAGACAGCTGGCAATGATAACTGGTTTCTGTAAAGACAAGTAAATAATAATGGGACTTTATTCTCACCTTGAGTTGAGAGAATGCTCTTCTCACCAGACCTCTCCCTATACAAAGTCAAGAATCGAAACTGCGATTTTTCAAGAAAAATCTCTCCCATAGTCTGTATTCTTGCAGGGAAAGGCCACTGGCACCACATAGTGTGACTTGCGCTTGCCCTTATTCAGCGAGCAGGAACAGAGATGTTCATTGAAACGTTAGATTTGTCAAGACACATACTCACATAAACATGCTCGCAAACACGCACCTCAAACGAGCTCTCTGTGAGTGGCCTGCAGTAAGCGTCACTTGGGTTATAGGACACACAAAGTCTTACTTAGGTGTTGTAATGTTTAACTGTACTTATCAAAACCGACCCTGCACAATAAATTAACAAGTTAACGTCTGTGTGTGTGTGTGTGTGTGCACGTGTGCACGTATTTCCTTTTCCCTCTTAGCTTTGTGGGCAGTGCATACCCACTGAAGTCAAGTAATGAGCTACACGTGTAAGAATGAAAGAACTTAAAGTGTTTTTCAAAAATTAAGATTAGGAAACTGCTCACTTTATCTGAGAGGAAAAAAAAAATATTTGATGAACATTTTTGTGACTTCTACCTCCTCCATGTTGGTGACGGTCACAACATTCGCTGTTCTTGTCCTTTCCATCTGAACATCTTCATCCTCCCCTTCAGGCTCTTCTGGGTTTGGAAAAACATCGTTGCTTCTTGGAGAAATTCTAAAATCAAAACAGTGTGATAATGACAAGCTTCAAGTGGAAAAACTTGCAGCAAAAATAGTGAATTTTCTAGATACTGTTATCAATGATTTGAATAGATTTGCTATGGGTACAACATAATCTCTATCCTTGTAGTCGGCACCATCTACCTTTCAAACAGCCTAGTTTCCATCAGTGAGTCAAATGGTGCTACTCTTATATTATCCGTGCTTTTTTACCTAAGGTTAATTCTCCTTGTGGGTGGTGATTTTTTTCCCCAAAGAATAAAGCGGTGCACACCCTCTGGCAAAGGATTTTGAAGCAGGGTTGCATGAGAGACATCCCAGGGATTGTAACTTTGGCACAAATATTTTGGAATTTTGAAGGCTTTATAAGAACTATGTGCCCAAAGATTTGGAACCAGGGATGTGTTCCAGAAAATCCAGGACATCTAATCACCATACCAATGTCTAATCAGTTACTCTCAGCACAGTCACTTCTTAGGAATATGTGTCAGAATCACTCTTTCCTCAGTGCTACCAATCTAGTTCCTTCCTTCATCACCCCACCACTGATCACAGCAGACTCCTGCATCTTTCCCTCATGCCACCCCAAATCACTGCTGTCAGTGGGTTTCCTAAAGGATGGCTGTCACCTTGTCACTATCTCATGCTACCACCAACATTAGACATGAGTTTGATTTCTATTTTGTATGCTAGGCCCAGATGTTCAAGACACACCTGTGTCTTGGTTTCTCATTATGTAATTTGCAAAGACTTCCCCATGCTTTCCTATTTTAAGACTGTCTAATATCTATCTTCAATTTCATTTTCCATCATCCCCCAACACAAGATTTCAAGTGTGTTCTGGCTGCCTTCTCAAATCTGCAAGAAGAAGGTGTTCATCTCAGCCTTTGTCCAAATGCTCAGAAGTCTCCCCCTTTTTGGCTTGGCCACACTTACCCAATTGATAATCTAGCCTTACTCATTATTTTAAAGATTCTACTTCTTGCATATAATTTTCCTTAACAGTGAAATTATGATCTGCCTTAATTTCTCAGTGTTTCATGTGTGGTGGTAATGTGGATTCTCTCAATGGATTGTAATCTCAGTAGAGTACCATGAATTATGGTCATTTCACATACCACAAAATACCTTTAAAACTGATCCTGTGCAGTATTTTTTACTTAATTAATTTAGGCATGTTAAAATGTCTTTAAGCAATGAATTTTAAAATAAAACAAGAAATTCTAATTGAATTTTCTCAACCTGAACACAGGATCCTTTCTCATTGATTGCTTCCTGAAGTTCATTTCTAGATATCGCAGAATGAAGAGGAAAATGAAAAAGTGAAGGTAAGGCTAGGGAAAAAGAAAGATAATCAAAATTAACATCACCATACAAGCAATGATTTCAATATTGGAATTGATTTAAGGAGATTGATTACATATGAAACTAGATTTGAGAACATTTTTTGCAAGATTTAAAGATAATCTACATATATTCTATGGAACTCTCAAAGTTACCTTCACTGCTTTCAGATAAAGCAGAATGACAGAATTATAGGAGTAGTAGGCTGAAATCAGTACGACACAAGCCGTCTAGAGTTTAGGTTTCACACCTGGCAACAGATGGTGATTGTAAAGATAGTGGCCCAGACTTAAAAGCCATTGTCAGTGTGTGTGTGCGCGCGCGCGCATGTATGTTACTTCAGATGCCCAAAATGCTCAAACCTTTTTAACTTGATGCAATTCAAAGAACCTCAAACCATATAAGGCCGTGTTCCCTCATGCAACAACATTGAAAAGGAAATATCTTCTTACTATTAGCAGTGCCAGATATACAATCTGAGATTCTGACTCTCCTAGGTAATCCATGGAGTTAGGAGAAATCTGTAAAATGAGGAGAAAGTGTGTTTAGATGAACCTTCATCTGTTCATGAAACTCATCCAACGTAAGACAAATGAATGTCCATTTAGTGGCCTTACCACCATTCTCCCTGATTCTCTCTCAGATACCAGGTTAATACTAATTTCTCACTGTGTAGTATGTCTTCTTTGCTTCCAATGTATCTCAGTGAACTGTCAACCTGTGCTCGTCTATAGGCTGAGATAGGCTTGTATGTAATGCCGTGAGTTGCCCCTTTAGGAGAGTCCTGGGCTGGTGTTGGCAAGACCCATTGAAGCAATCAGTGAGTTTGTCTTAAGACAAACCCTCTCCTCCAACTGTACCTGTCTTTCTCTCCTCACCTGTGCTCCTTCCTTCTATTCTTCCCCCAAGGGCCCTGGAATTGTTATATTGCTCTTACCCTCCAATATTCACTTTTGAGAATCATCACAACATCCTTTCAAACTGAGGGCAAAGTTCTCCCCCTGGAGTCTCACGCGTATACATTTAAGTGCTTTTTTCCAGCATCCCCCCATCTTTAGTGAATAAAGGCTGAAGGGCTAATTTTGCTCTAGAGCTACATTTACCAAGTCTTTTTCCTGAGCAATTTTAAGTCCTTTGCAGTAAATTTTTAACCATCACAGCTATCTGCCAAATGACTTTTTAGAAATAATGTGCATAACATTAACATCATTTCAAATGATTTTGTTCTCCTAAGTGCCTCAGTCGCCCACTTCCAGTAATTGTGCCAAATCCGAAATGAACTCTGGGCTCCCTGATCTCTGCCCCCTCTCTGCCACCACATTTTATTTTTCCAGCTTCCTCATTCTAGTGTCCTTACTACATAATTTGGAATTGGCGAACCTCCAACACACCAACCTTTTTCCCCACTGTCCACAATCCCACTCATGTCCCTAACTTCTTCATTCTGTAGCTTAGAATCCACGGTACTGCCTTCCTTATGTAGGCTACCCTTTCCTTTGTCAGATTCAACTGCCAAATTTCTAAGCCTCATTGCATTCAACTCTCTGCCTTTCCTAAACTGCATCTGAGAAGCAGACGAACAATAAGAAAACTTCTCAACTTTGCTGACTTCACTTGAAAAGTAGCGCAGAGGGACTTTAGCACTGCCTGTTGATCCTACTGGCAGTCTCTGAAATAGTTTTCACATCTTTTATTCTCAAAACCCCAAGACTCCTCAACCACGATCAGTTGATGACTTCGGAAAATCATCTCATCTTTCTACCAGCAAAGCCACGAAACTACCTGCCTCTGTATTCATTTACTCTGATTATGATTTCTTGTTAAGTACATGGAATGTCCCTGTTTTTGTGGACAGGAACCCCTCTGTTTGTGCACCCCGTGCATGCACAATTTTTTTTCCCAGCTGTTCAAAGACTCGACTCCTTGGATAGTCCCGATCTCTCCTTTGCATCATAAATTTTTCTCACATGCGCATAGTATCTCCTTTCTTAGCACAAACAAACAAAAATCTACCCTCCCCATTCATCTGCTCTTACATTTTTCTGCTACTCTTTTTTGGCAAAACGCCTAGAAATACTTGCCTATACCCACGTCACCACTTCCTCGCCTCAAATTCTCTACTAAACTCACTCTTACTAGGCTTTTGTATTGGCGCTTTCATTAAAATAAACCTTCTTAAGATCACCAATGACCTTCATGTAGTCAGCTGTCATCTTTCTGGAATTCTCAGTAGCATTTGATGGTTTTATCACACCCTCCTTCCCGAAACAGTCTTCACTGCCATCTGGCACACACCCTTATGTACTGATACTTAAGTGTTTAAGAAGAGTTTCTGAGCAGAGATTCAGGCACACAGAAGTCTGCCACTGTTATTTGCCTGTCCCCCTGGCTCCATCTCGGACTGATTTATTGTCTTTTCCTCTTCCTAACCTTTAAATTTTGGAGTTCAAGGTCAAGTCCTTGGCCCTCTTTTCATTTCTATCTAAATTCACCACGTAGGTCGTATTATCCGGTACATGGCCTTTAATACCATCTATAAACTGATGAATCTCAAGTATTTAGCTTTTATCTCAACCTCCACACATCCCCATATCGCGTTATAATCTAACTGGCTACTTGGACATTTTTCTATGCATGTCAATTAGGAGTCTTATATCTAACTCGTCCAAAACTTAACAAAAAAGGGGCATCTCTTCCGCCTTTCGGTTAGAGTTCCCAGGAGTGAGGGTTGCCATAAGAACTATAACATTCTACAACGTTAGTGTTGCCTTTGACCTTCATAAACCAAGGCAGGGCCTCTTACTGAATGAGAACATGCCCCTTGCCTGTGGCAAGAGAATTGGCTTTCCAACACCAGAAGCTTTTAAACTTTTTACAGCTGAGGACTCTTCCAACATTTTTGCAATATTCAAGGCTTTCTCAACTGGCCACACATTTCATGACACTAGGACAGGAGTAGAACTACTTACCTGAGAAAAAATGAATAAAGAGCCAATCAATGTGTAGGGTGGTAGTAATAGGGCACTGAATAATAACCCTAGAAATCCATATTCATTTATATCAACAGCAACTATTGTGAAGATGGTGACCTAAGATAAAAGCATAACATAGTGTCACTAAAGTGTAACTATCTGAATTTTAGGGTGTTTTTCAAGAGGGTAGTGATTCATCTTGAAAATTTTCTTGTCTTCAATTTCACTCCCCAGGCTAGTATTGCCATCATTTCTTTTTCTTTGCAACATGGGATTTTGTCAGCATTTTGTATTTGGCTGATTATGAATTTTTTAAAAGACACAACAGTGCTTCTCAAACTCAATGAGCTTACAAATCAGGTGGGGTTCCTGCTAAAATTCAGAGTCAAAGAGATTATTTATTATATATTTTTTTGCATTTTCCCTTTTTCATTTCACAATAGATCATAGACATCCTTTTAGGTTTAGGCACAACAGCTATTTGTTTTCACGGGAGCTATTCATTTGAATGGATGTGTAGGAATTTGAGAATTTTGCCTTCAGAAGATGTGTTTTCAATTTTTCTACTCCTATAAGTTATAGTTTACATGAATCTTTTTATACTAGCACTTTTTAGTCTTAAAGGAGACAGTCTAAAAAGTGTAATTGCAGGTTAAAATTTATGTGCATTTAAAATTTTAAGTTACTAACAGATTATTTCATTAAAAGAATGTGACATCTATTCTCCTCCAAACAATGAATTAGAGTGCACATTACATCAGACCTCACTGACACAGGATGTCATAATTAATTATTGTAGGTATCCTTGTTTTATTGCTGATAGTAGGTAAATAACTTTATAATTTTATGATGTAATATGGTGTTTACCATTGGGTTTTGGTTATTTGTCCTTTCTATGTTTATATTTTCTTTTTACTAGGCATTTTTAAGGAACTGTGTCGTGTTTTCTTGATTCATTCAGGTTTCCTCTGTGGGTTTGATAGCTGCTAATAGTGACCCATCATTACATTCTGAAATAAATCATATCAATTTTTTATTATTGTTTTTTTAATTTACTTCCATGTTTGCTCAATTATTTTTTTATTTAGAGAGTTGTCTTTAATTTTTCCAAGTGAATTTATCAATGGTTTTCTTTTCTAAAGGTATCTTAGGTTTTATTATTAAAATTATGCATGCTTTATAAAAATAACTATTCAATTTGATGGATTTTTTTTCTATTTAAATATTTATGTATACTATAGCCATGATTCACAAAGTTATTTAATCTTCATAAGTATTTAGCTGAATTCCGTGGTTCCTACCAGTGCTTTTACAACAATTTTACTTTTCTTGAATTCTTTAATTTTTTTCTTAGATGGATTATATTTAACCTTAAGAGTTTCACCTTTTGAATAGCTGTAATTTGTTCCTGAGTGACTTTTTTCTTTTTTTGTTAAATAGATTTATTTTTGGAGCAGTTTTGGCTTCATAGCAAAATTGAGTGGAAAGTACAGAACTTTCCCATGTTCCCCCCACCCCCACATATGCACAGGCTCCTGATTATCAACATCCTACACCAGAGTGGTACATTTGTTACAATTAATCAACCTTATTGACAAATCTGTGTCACCCATTTTCCATAGTTTACATTAGAGCTTACTCTTGCTGTTGTGCATTCTATGGGTTTGGACAATGTATAATGACATGTGTCCACCATGATAGTGTTATACAGAATAGTTTTACTATCCTGAAAATCCTCTGTACTCCAACTTTTCTTCCCTCCCTTCCCCCAACCTCTGGAAGCCACTGATATTTTTACTGTCTTCATAGTTTTGCCTTTTCCAGAATGTCATGTAGCTGGAATAATGCAGTGTGTAGTACACTTTTCAGATTGCCTTCTTTCACTTAGTAAGATGCATTTAAGTTTTCCCCATGTCCTTTCATGGCTTAATAGCACATTTCTTTTTAGCACTAAATAATATTCCATTGTCTGCATGTACTACATCAATTCATCATCTTGGACATCTTGGTTGCTTCCAAGTTTTGGCAATTATGAATAAAGCTGCTATAAACATCCACATGCAGGTTTTTGTGTGGACTAAATGATTATTTTTCTTTAAAAAGGGGGCTTTGAAAAGCTTCATTTTCTGAGTTCATATTTGAGTATGTCTAATCTTTCCTAGAACTACCACTTGGGCACATAGAATTTTGGAGGAGGATTTCATTTGCTTTCCCTTAGATTATGATAACTGACATGCAAAATTATAGAAAATAAATCTGGGAAACTTGAAATTTTCTCTTTCATGGTTGATTTCCATTTACTTCTTGAGTGCCTTTATTTTCAAGTTTCATGTCTTAGTGAGTATTGATCATTCCATAACAGTTCTTTCTTAATTTAGAGGATATTTTCTTCTATTATAATTTTATACATGGAATTATAACAGAATTATATTATATGAAAATAATTATAATATATAAAAGATATGTATATACCTAATGATTTACTATGTAAAATTTAATTATTATTTTATTGAAATGGCTTTGTTTTGGCATATTTTTTGTATTTTTATCATTGCCTTGCTGATTAATGAGATTATCTTAATTCTTTATTTTATATCTGTAATTAGATTTTTAGCCTTTTTCAGAATTCACTATTAGTTCTGAAATTATACTGATGATTATTGTGTTTATGCAGCTCTGAAATCTCTTTTTTCTCATTCAAGATGTTTTATCATTGTGACACTGAGCTTTTGTCTTATTAAATTCATGCTCTTTCAAAACTATAGAAAAAGCTCAAATAGAAGTTTTATTTGTTCTACAACTTTTTTTGAATATTGTATTAACTTCTTGGTTATTGCTGCTTCTATTACTTTTCGATATCTTACGTTGCCTTGTGTGTTTGAAGAGTTGTCATGGACTACCTTTTTATCTTTAATCTTGACCATGTCTAATATTTACAGCTCTACTGAGATCTATTTGCTCTGATAAAGTATTTATGATTTCTTTTGAACACCTTTTCTTTCTTAGCTGACATCTATTTATCTTTTCCTTTGAGTGATATTTTGATGTAGGGTGTTGCTTTCTATAACATCTTTGAAACCTGGAGGCATGAATGCATGCAAGTGTGCTCAGCTTGGGCCATGTGAAATCTTGTTGCTTTATTCTGTGAGTCATGTCCAGTGCTTTGTATCAGTTCTCACTTTGTCTAGTAGGCAGTACATCTCATTGCCCAGCGGTGGGCACACCCTTATACCTTGGACCACAACCCAATTCAGTTTAGAGCCCTATAAAATAGCATGCCTCAGCATTCTTCCTCTCCAGGTAAGGCATTCTTCTCCTAAGGGTTTTTATTTGCCTTTGCCCAGGATGTCAGCTCAGTCACTCAAATACTTCTTTTTAGAGCTAATTGTCAGTATTTTATCAACTAACTTTTCCTCATCAAAATTGCTTGTTGAGGATGAAAGTGGAGTGAGGCGTCTAAGAAGTCAGTGACTTCTTTCCTTGGCCACCACATTTCTACTTCAGTTTTCCTTATTCTGTTCTACCCTGCTCTACTAACAAAGATGTTTTCTGTCTATATATCTAATCAAATCAAACTTGTATAATGTTTAATTTAAATCTCTATATGCTTATTCATTTTTCCAACTGATCTGTCAGTTCTGAAACAGGTGATTTAAGTTCAACTTGTATTTTTAGAGATAATTTGTGTTATGTATTTTGCTGTTGTGTATTATTAACTAAATAAAAGATGAGCATTTTGACTCAAGCTGTACAAAAGTAATTCATGTAACCAAAATGTTTGTTGCCCTGTAATATTCTGAAATTAAAACAAATGTGAGCCTTCTATCTTCTTCGTGGACTTTACATTTTGTCAACATATTATTTTTCCTTATTTGAGACTTTAGGTCTTGAATTCAATTTTATCTGTGATTTGTGTAGCCATTTATAATTTCCTTATTTAAAAGAAATGCCTATGAAGTCATTGCCCATGACTTAGTTGTATTTATTATAAACAATATATAGCTGAATTTTATTTAACTCAATTTGATAATCATTGTCTTTTGTTATCTTATAATTTGTTTTTACTCATTGTATTTTATTTTAGTTTCTTCCAAATTTTGGCAAAGATGTGAAGCATCTTTCAGATCATCCACTGGAATTCTCCTACCCTGCAGGTGATACAACCACTTTGAAAACTGTTTGCTAATATCTACTAAAGGTGAACATAAAGTTGAATACTTTAAAGACCTAAACATTCCACTGCGAGGTTTATACTTCAAACTACTTATATATGTGCACCAAAAGACATATAGAAAAGTTCATGGAAGCATTATTTAACAGTCTATAAAACAGGACATCATGTGAATGTCCATCAACAATAGACAAATAAATCATAGAATTTTCATCAATAGAATACTATGGCAATGAAAACGAATGAACTATCATGGTAGTTATCAGCTACAACAGCATTGATCACTCTAAAAAATGTATTATTGATTACAAGCAGGTACAGAATTATGTATTCTACATGATTCCGTTTTTATGAAGTTGAGAAACTGGCTAAACTAATCCATGGTATTACAATTAAGGATAATGATTTCTTATAAGGAGGAGGTAAAGGCAAGAGGGCTTCTAGAGTTCTAGTAATGTTCTATTTTTTGATGTGTCTGTAGATTTTTGGAAGTGCTCATTTTAAAATATTTAGTGTGCTTATAATGAGGTGTACTTTTCCATACAGGCCATATTTTTTAACTAAAATTTATTTTTAAAAGATACCTTTGGTAATTATATAGAGAACAGTTCACAGGAGGCAAAAGTAGAAACAGAGAGACCACTTACAGATCTATTGCAATACTCCAAGTAAGAGATGATAAATGCTTAGACAAGGATGTAGCTCTGAAGTTGGGACACCCAAACAGACTGGGAAATATTTGACATGCATATGGATTGAATGCGGAAAGAGACAAATGAATAGGAATCAAAGATGATTTTGGATTTTTGGTATGAGCAACTAGCTAGGTGGATTTTGCTGTAATAATGTACTCTATTAAGAGGCAAGGAACAATTGGATTAAGGAGATGATTATATTTCAGATATGTGATTATTGAGGTCATTTTTAAATGTTCAAGTGAAATTGTAAGTGAATTGTTGGAGGTATTAATCTCTAGCATAGGGGAAAAGTTAGACCTGGAGACATGTTTTGGGGGTCATAGTTTATAGATGGCATATACCCACACAAAGAATAGATTTTAGATACATCTATGATTATCTTGGATTAATTACAATTTTCTGGAGAGCAATACTAATTTGCTGTTCTGCTTAGTACAAATATTAAAATACGTTCTTAGATTTATTCAAAAATGATTTTGAAGTAAAATAATATGTACCATGTGCATACTTACAATTAAGAAGAAAAACGACCAAATGCCACTATTTTTCCTCCCATTGCGAAAAATGAATGAAATCACATATGTCAAGAAAACAAGAGATGAGACATAGCCAATACTACACAGGGTCTGAAAATAGAAACATCAAGGTTGGATAAGGTTAATACTGTTTAGAAAAGTATTCATACTTACCCTTTAACTTTCCAAAACTATACTATAGCACAGATAATTTGAAGTTCTTTCGTTTAAGATTAATAATATCACTGCATTCATGAAAAAATAATAAAACCATTTTGTAATTTTTGCCACTTACTTGAATTAAAAGGTTTTGAATTATAAATATAATCTCTTCTGGGTTAAAAATGTAATCCATTATTTGCATTATAAGGAGGATCAAGAAGTATAGGGGAACATCCACCAGTGCCTGTCCAAACCAGTAAGCAGAAGGGTAGAGGCCTGAAATCCGTAGCTGGGAATGAGCTTTTTTCTGGTAAAAAAATAGAAGAATCACCAAAAGGTTCTAAAAAGCTGAGGTTTGGGAAATTGTAAATATATAGTCATAAAAGCATTCATTTTTGCTATATACCTTTTACAAATATTATTCTGATTTAGCAAATGACACTGCCACTTGCCACACCCCTGTTCAGAGGCATTAATAATACTACAAACCATGATGTGACTTCATCGTCCACAGGCAAAATGCACCAACATAACTAATAATGTTTCATCATAGAATGACCAGGCATTGTCTCAATAAAAAGATATCCTTTCTTTTCTTTCCAAGGCTACACTTACCTTTGACAAAAAGACTTGCAAATTGCACAAAGGTCCAACAGAAGTGAGCTTACCATTTCCTGTTAGATTTTTAAAATGTATGCTGAATATAAATAATTCATTTATAATTGGCATTTTATTTTGGGTCTAAGAAATGGTCACCTAACTAGACAATTTTACTTAAAAGAAAAAAAAAACTCTTTGGGTTGGCATAAGCAAGGCATCTTCTAAATTGTTGCACTACTCTCATTGCCTTGAAGGAAACCATATTCTTTATTATAATGTTATGAAAACTAGTGTGTAATTTTGATATTGTGACCCACTATAAGCCACATTGATACAGTGATTGTCTTAAAATATAACTTGGACTATTTTAACAGTAAAGCATAAAAGCAATTAAAATTTTAAATCTAAAATTGAGTTTATATAAAAAGATATATTAAGAGAAAAAATTGGAATGCACACAAATATTCTGGAAAGGAGAGTACATCTGAAAGGAGGCAGGAAAGAGAATGATAGTGAGGACATGTTAAAGAGCATGACATTTCCTACTCATTAATTGACTTAATATAAATTTACACAGTATATGCCAAGTAGCTGGCTTTGTGTTGGTCATGGGCACTTATGGAATGGAATAAAGGCAACAAGCAAATAAATATAGTGATAGCGACATAATTAAAATTGGGTAAGTGTTAAGAAGGGTTCAGAGTCATATGAGAACCTTTCAATGGGAAATGGATCGTAATTAGGGGGTCAGGTCAGAGAGGGTTCTCTTATCAAGAGATGTATGGGGTAGGGTCTGGGCAGCGAATAAGAATCATCCAGGTAACAGGTAGGAAGCACCTCAGGAAGAGAGAACAGAAGGAGAGAAGGCCCTTCAGTGGGGAGAGATTGATGTTTTGGGGAAACTGGGAAGAAGCCAGTGTGGCTGCAGCATGGTTATCAAGGTGATAGTGGTAGCAGATCAAGGTAGAAAGACACACACACCTGGGTGGGTCACCTATGGGTTTTCAGGCTACAGCTGGGACTCCATTCCTGCTCTTTCATATCATGAGAAACTACTGAAGGGATTTAGAGAGGGAGTGGACAGGGTCAGCATTGTGTTCCTAAGATATTACTCTTTATACCATGTGGAAAATATAGTAGCTTTCCCACAGATATTAGTGCTTGATGTCCAAATACCCAGGGTTTGGTCCTAGGCCCCTAGGACATTTGGACGTCAAGCACTAACATCTATGGAAAAGTTACTATATGCCACATATGGTTCTGAATGATTCATAGGTATTATTCTGCCCCATCCTCACAGAAACCTATTTCAAATAGATGAAACTATTATGCCCACTTCACAGGTGATAAAAGTGAGGCACAGAGTGATTAAGCAACTTTCAATGTTCACGCAGCTGAACAACGGAAGAGTCAGGATTTTGACTCAGGGAGGTTTAAATTAAAAAAGATGTGTGAGAAAAAGTGACGAGAGAGGTAGGAAGAAAATGGAGTATGTGTGGTCTCATAAAAGTAAAGGAAGAATAGTATTTTGTGTTTCCCATGAAAGAATTTGCTGAAGGTGGGGGAAGTTTGAGAGCAAAATAAATAAAAATTAATTCAAGCCCTTCAAAAACATCTCCTGAGCATCAGCAGATGATGTCTAGGACACAGGGACATGGGAAAGTGGCACCAGAAGTACCAAAGAGAGGCAAAAAGACTCTGTTACAGACTTCTTGAATTTTATACAAAAGCATCACAAAAATAAAGCTTTAAAGCGACAAATTTTTTCCAACAACAAGTCAAAGTGCTGTGGAGAGTTGGTCAGGGCTGTTAAACTGAGTAGCTTTACCACCATTTAGAATGCAGAAACCATCATTGAGGAATGGGATGGGATTACGTCAGTGAGTAAAGTGTCTATAAATAAAATTCTAAGTGATACACAGTTAAAGTTACCACTCTCTGTTGGCTGATACGGTCTACTGAGCTGTCCTTCCTGAGGTCTCCCATTTGTTTAAGAAAAATAGCATTTTCTTTATATTTGGCAATTTATTATTATATGAAAATGCTTGATTATTTATTGCATCAAGCACAAAAATTAGATCTACCACCTGCATGTCGATTTATGGTCATATGGGTGGAGGAGGGTTCCCTGGACATTAAAAACATGGGAGGACTTTGTTAGCTCTTCTTACTTTATAGTCACCGATGCTGCTCATTGCAATGTAAGGAGTCAAGGAGGCTGCCACCGGTATCCAGAAGATGGAGCTACTCAGGAACCCAGTCTCGTCATAATCCATGTGGTCCTGAAATCATGCAGAGCATGGTGAGCTGATGGCCACTGGGTATCTGCTTCATTTGTACTTTCTTAACTAAATTACGCAAATAGATGAATTGGGCTAAGCACTCAAAGCTCTTCTCAAGGTCCTATGTGCAATCTCTCACCCATATTCATTTTCAGTCCTGTGTTGCAGCAACCTGGATATTTTCAACCTGTGTCCTGATTTACTTAGGAAGATGCAAACTCAACAAAGTGATATGAATTGACAAAGGTCCCACAGTTAATAATGTGTGAGGTAGGTATGCAACTTCTACTCTCTGACTTTATGGTTATAATATTACAATGGCTTATGTACATCAAGGCTGATGTTTTAGTAGACAACAGAGATTGTGAACTGTCAGTGGAGGGCTGTTTTGCTTTCAGAAATTGGTGCCAAATCAGTCCAGTTCAACATTCATGAATAGTCACTTCCCTGGTTCAGAATTCAAGTGCTTTCAGGGATCTGGCAGATATAAATTAATGAGTAGATAGATGTTAGAAAATAAGAGTAATAGGCCTTGGAGAAAAATGGTCAATACGTGATCCACATGAAGGCACTGAAAAAAAAAATCAAACCCCTGTGCATGTTAAAGAGGACCTTGAGTTTTGCAACAAGCCTTGACTTGATCTATGATCAGTTGTCCCACTACATTGCAAGTCATCTCTGTCATGAGTTTTGCGGTCTCCTTACTTCTCCATATTCTTACCCCCTCCTAAAATTTGGCACCCCTTGAAGATCTTGCAGCACATGAAAATTGTTTTAATAAAGATATTTATGTGGAGATGAGGCCCTGAAAGAGGAAAAAAGGCACCAAAGACTGCATCAGCCATCTCATATCCTTGCCTGTGGACATCATTGTTGATTTTCCTGATTTGGAAGATCTCTGGGGATGGAAAATTCATAATCCATCTCAACAGCCAGCACCCTTACTCATGACTTGGTTCACGAACAACATATTATGTCCATATTACATTATACCCCCCCCCCCCACAGTCAGAGTCTTGTGTGGCTCAACCTGAAGGAGACACACAGAAAGATAGTTGATACCACCTGGGTGTTTGGGCAAGTGTCCACTGGCAAATATACGAGACGAATGGGTATAACTTTCAGGAGTTGGGAGCATTTTAGGACACTCCGAGAGATAGTAAAAATTGCTGAGTGATGTCAGAAGTGAGGTCTGAGCTAGAATGAGCTCTGTGCTATAGATTCAAGTAGGATAGGCTTGCAGAATTGCAAGAGAATGCCAGGTCCTGGGTGGAGAAACCAGCAATTCAGACAGAATTTATCTACATCTGAGTTCAAGGTCAGCTGGGCTAGAGGGTAGCAAATATTTTATGGTTAAGACATCTTTAAAGGTGGGAACTCAAGTTGATTGTTAATCCTTGGGAACATCCTATTCTTGGTTATCCAGATAATTATATATTCAAGTATATCAATTGAGTATAATAGATGATGAAACACATTTGACACCTCTATGTGCTACAGTTTCCTCAGCTATCTAATAATAATAAAGGAGATTGAGCATTCCTAATCTGAAAATCCAAAATCTGAAACCCTTCAAAATCCAAAACTTTTTGAGTGCCAACATGACGCCACAGTTTCCAATTCTACATTTGACTTCCTGTAACGGGTTGTAGTCAAAATGCAGGTGCACAACACACAGTTTATTAAAATATTTTATTAAAAATATAAATATTGTATAAGATTACCTTATGTGTATAAGGCATATATGAAATATAAATGAATTTTGTGTTTGGGCTTGGTTCCTATCCCCAAGGTATCTCATGAGGTATATATAAATATTCCAAAATCCAAAAATATCCAAAATTCAAAATATTTCTGGTGCCAAGCATTTTGGATAAAGGAGATATATATATACCTATAATAACAACAACAATAACAACAACTATCTCAACATCTTCTTAGGACATTTAAATATGCTAATATATATAAATCCTATGGTAAATATCTTATTTTTCTCTAGAGATTTTTGAAGGAAGGAGGACTGCTGAAATGTGGTTTGAAAGGACAATGGTATGATGTACTTTAGAAAAGATGAGCCAACGCCTTTCGTATCCTGAATCTCTGTAGCTTTCAGACAGCACACAAGAAACACTCAACAGTTCTCATAGCTCTTTCTGAAGAAGCACACAAGTTAAACCAAGCGTAGAAGCTGGTGAACTACCTGGATGACAACCACATCAAACAATGAGCAATGCAGACTGGAGAAAGCTTGATAGTGCAGACTCCTCTGCAGCAGCCTACGGAAACTCTGTTCTACAACCTTGAGTGCACCCTCATCTACAGAAGGGACTGGGGTCGAGACAATCACACATGTCACCTGAGCTGTGGCGACCACATAAGTAGATGCTACCAGCAGCAGATATAACTAGATAAAGCATAGATTTCTCCCCAGCACTATTTCTATAGGATAATCTCCATCTCTCCATCCGTCTGTTCTACCTCCAGCACCAGCAATGCTTTACTCAGAAGGGAAAGAAAGGGGAGTGTTTCAGAGCTAGAATACTCCCTCTCTTCTACTCCAAGGTGTTAGACCATAAAAGAGAACAAAAGGACAAACCACCCCACTTTCACCCCATCCATATCCCTTATGCCGCAAGTTGACCCTACAGTGCTTGAATTTCATAGGAAATTGAAGTTTTGGACTGCACTGGAATAATTCCTAATAGCAAAATGTGAACAAGAAGCTATAGAATGTGCCCAAGGTGTCATTTTAGCTGAAATAAAAAAGAAAGAAAGAAAGATAATAAAGATAATAAACCAGGCAAATGCAACATAGCAAGATGAAAGAGGTGACTTTATGACATAGATGTGCACATCCCCCTCCCCACCCTGGATATTAAAAGTTGTATTTGTGACAAGAACTACTCCTAGTTCTAGTTCAGCTGGTCCCATGATCTAGTCAAAATTGAATATTTTTTAATGGAAGCTTCTTTTGATGCATTACCAAGAAAAATAACGTTAGCAGCAATAATGGTAAAAAGTACAATTTATTGAGCACCTATGGTTTTCTACGTTTATATACTTAAACTACCTTGTTTCCCTGAAAATAAGACAGGATCTTATATTTATTTTTCCTCAAGAAGACACCCTAGGGCTTATTTTCAGGGGATTTTTTTTTTTAAGTACGGTACAACAATCTACATTTATTCAAATAGAGTTAAGCTGTCTTCTTCTGGAACATCTCATAACTTTCCAAACCCCGAATTCCATCCTGAATTTCTTGCAATTCTATTTCCTTTAGAACCATTGGCCTCAATCTCTCATGTCTAGCAATAGAGCTCTCATGGGGCAGATGAGAAGGGCTGCTCATCTTCTTTATTGTTCTGTGATGAAATGCATGGTTGTGCAGATACACTACGTAGCCACGCCCATCACTAAGTCTTATTTTCGGGGTAGGGCTTATATTGTGCAAATGCTTAGAGATCCTGCTAGGGGTTATTTTATGGGTAGGTCTTATTTTCTGGGAAACATGGTAACTTTGCCAACTTAGCCTGGTGCTCACATTGCCTCATTTACTTCTTAAGAAACTTGCATGGTGAATTTTTTTATCTGTATTGTTTGCGGATTGGTGAACTAAGTCCTACATAAGTCAAATTGTTTAAGAAGCCCACATAATCTAGCCTTTAAGACTGTGACTGTTTCAACTATGTCCCACTACCTAACACCACAGATGATGGCAGATCTAAGATCAAGTCTTAATTTTTTTTCCCAATTAACTGTATTTTCTGTTGTTTCAATGATCTCCCTCATCTGAATAAGGTTATAATGTTATGTAATCATTGCTGAATAGTATGTGTATACACATAAATATATATTATACATAGAGTTATTTTTTAAATATAAAATATAAACTTATTAAGAATAGGTTCATAAAAATTAATATGATGTTATTTCAGCATTTCAAGAATTTTCTTGAAAACTTCTGGTGAGTCAGTATAAGTGAGATATAATTATACTTACTGCAATAGATGTGCTTCTGTCAGTCTGAATGTGTTCTGAAGAATTAAAGATTCCAAGTAGCCCATTGCTAATGACATCCATGAGGACAGGAAAGCAATTTAGCCTTTTCGTATTACATGCTATTGAAAATCTGTGTTCCTGAAATATAATAAATATCAATTCTAACTTCCTATAAAGCAAATATAAAATTTAATGAATGGATATGGTAGAAAATCATTCAAATTTTTTATAACATAGGAAGGCCAAAACACTAAAGGAGATTGATATCATCATCACTCGTATTATTTGATAAATTCCCAGTACACTTAAAGGAATCCAGTGTTTTGGTTTCTATATGCCATAATATCATCCATGTGGCTATGTATGCCTAAATTTAACAAAACAAAATAGCTCAAATGGTTTTTAGTAGCAAAGCTACAAAACCCCAAAATGCAACCTCACTTTAATATGGCTGCAGACTTTATTTCAAAATGTAATACATTCATTTTCTAAGTGAAGGATGCATGGATACTTGGCAAGCAGCAGACAGGCAGGCAATTGTAATGAAAGTATAAGCTTTCACAAATACTGAGCTTACATGTAAAATTTCTTCTAAGAGAACATATTATATATATGCGTGTGTGTGTGTGTGTGTACATGTGTGTGTGATTATTTTTCCCTCAGAGAAAAAGAATATAAGTGAAGTATTAATAATTATCTATATTGCCCAAAATCTAGGCAAGATTTGAGAATATATTTTTATGATCATAAATAAATCAAGCATATTATATCTAACCTAATTACCTAAAGCAATATTTATTGATGTTAAGACTGCCATATTTTAAAACTACTTTTCTAAGAATACTGGAAAATAATTTGATTAAGATATATTGAGGACTAGTTGGATTGAAGGTAATTTTTTATTTTTATTATTGGCATGGAAATTTTTCCTGAAAATTAACTGTGATGAGCTATAAATGTCACACTTTATGACACCTAACAGCTGTGATTTGTATATTTAACATGGTCTCCTGTTTTTCCATTTGGCTACCATAGCGCTTTCTGATTCAAACTCCTACAGCAGGTGTCCTCAAACTACAGCCTGCAGGCTACATGCCGCCAGCTGAGGACATTTATCCGGCCCACTGGGTGTTTTTGCCACCACTGCCTGTCCTGCTTAGCAGCCGACTTGTCCCGGGCCCACAGTGCGCATGTGTGGAATGTGCACCGCACTCTCCAACAGCCTTCCAACATCTGAGGGACAGTGAACTGGCTCTCTGTTTAAAAGTTTGAGGACCCATGTCCTATACGGTTTAGACAGGTGATATAAATGAATGAAACAGTATGGAGAAAGGGCAAACAGAAAAGCAAAGGCCAAGTCTAAAGTGGGCAGTTATTCTCAGTTCTAACTGCAAATAAGATTTAAATTAATAATTGAAAGGGAATCCCATTGGTAATAAGATTAAAATACATTATTCATGACAGCAACGCATAGAACTTAATAAGGAATAGAGTCAAACAGTATTTCATTATGCATTGTTATACTGCAGGCTGTGGGCAAATAGTTGTAGTCCAGCTTCTCCTATAAAAACGAGAACTATCCATTTGTTTGTCCAATTAGCCTTTCATGTCAGTTGACATGAATTGTTTGAGTTGTATATCCATAGTCTGTCTTCGGTGAAATGCAGCAACTAGAGTCCAACATACCTTTTCATCACCTGACACAATGATAGCACCATTGTATGAGGGCTCATCTGTACCATTTCTAGTTCCAAGAGCATCCACTTCTAAAACTATGTTCTGTCGCCTCAGTGAATGTACAAAGTTATCAATGCTTGACCCTACCATGAAGGTAAAGATCAAAGGAAACAAAATAGGAAACAAAAAAAGGAAATAAAGCATTGGTCAAGTAATAAACACACAACTAAACTGCATCACCTCACTCAAAACATACCATAAAAAGGACTGTTTAAGCATTTTCTTTAACAGGCAGAATTAATGCTATAATACTATTATGAAATTCATTCTGACATCATAAATATGACAAGGTTACTTTACTTTGAGACTAGGCATTTAGTTTTAATTTCTACTGGTATAAAAATACTATTAATAATTATAATCCTTGATGCTACTAATCTTCTATCTTCTTATAAATTTGGAACAGATTTTTTTTCCAGCACTCAGCAATGCATAGACTCATAAAGACAAAAGACCTCAAAAGTCAGTCATTGATTTATCTTCCTAAATCCTCTTTTTAATGACCATTAGGGTTTAAGTAAACTTGCAGGATATGTCTGTGAAACAAACTCTCCAATCTTGTATTTTTAATTTTTCAATTAACTTTCTGTTTGGCTTCATATGTGCTTTCTAAAACATACAGAATTTATTTTTTCTTCATGCTTTGTATTTCCAGGGAATCTGTTAACAAGAACAACACTCAGAAGTGGTATTTCAGCCCTGTGTTCACCTGTTTTATTGATGAGCAGTAAATGGGTCAGAGGAGCTTGTGGCTGTTGTCCTGGTGAGAGGAAGTACATATTTGGAGATAATTCCCAAGAGTCACTTTTTACATATAATTCATAGAATAGATATTCCAAAAGATTAGGGATTAAACTAATCCCAAAAAGCAATAACCTATGTGTAGAAAAAATATAAAAGAAAAAAATAATTTATAACAACCTTTGTAGGTTTTTAAGTTTGAGCAGATAATGGATATAGTAATAAAAATAAATTATAAGCACTAACATTTGAATCATGCTTTTTCTTCATTTTCTTCTTTCTAAAATGAAATGTTTCCTATGTATCTGTATTCTCTCTCTCTCTCTCTCTCTCTCTCTCTCTCTCTCTCTCTCTCTCTCTCTCTCTCTCTCTATCTCTATCTCCCCTCTCCCCAAGTAGGATACCTGGACATTTCATTCATGCTTATGGAATCTGCAGATTATGATTTCTGGCATGTCATTAATATACAGACTTACTACACTCTGAACCTTTTTCCCATCCTGTTTCCAATTTCTGTAAATGACAACATTTTGTCATTCACTTGGGCTACAAAGACCAACTATTTTCCACTCATGTCTCTCCTGTAAGTCTCTTTTCCAATGGTTGAAAATTCCTATCTATCATATCATCATCAGTACTTGCCTCCAAACCTCCCTCTCGCTTTCTCTTTCAAGTTAGGTCTTTATGATCTCTTTCCTATCCTCTTTCAATATTGTCCTAAATGATTGTTTTCACTGCTTCCAGTGTCTATGATAACCAAACAATTTTGCACTATTGTCCAATTAAACTTCTTGGCATTCTGTTCTAATTGTCAATCCCCTATTCAAAATAAAAAATGAAACCTTAATAGTTTCTTATTATTCATAAAGTACAAACTCATTAGCTCTATGTAATACATATTCTGAAAGTTATTTTGACTTTTTAATATACTTTACACTGCAATTAACTCAAATTATCAGTTTTTTTAGATTTCTCATGTATCACTATACTTGGTACTTCCTCTGCCTGAATTTCCATCTTCCTCTTTATTCTTAGCTAAATAAGTTCCATTCTCTTACACCAAATCAAATTCTTCCTGAGCTTCTTCTCTGATGTCACTATTTGGATATCATCTTTCTCCTAATAAATGGCATAGTTTACAGGATTGTCTATTATTTAGTGCACACTAATCACCATCAAGGACAGATGACATGTCTGATTTATTTTGATTTTTTTTTTTTGAGACAGAGTCTTGCACTGTTGCTTCAGTTAAAATGCAGTGGCATCATCATAGCTCACTGTAACTTCTAACTCCGGGGCTTAAGAGACCCTCCTGCCTCAGCCTCCCTAGTAGCTGGAACTACAGGCATGCCACAATGTCCAGCTATTTTTTTTTTCTTCTATTTTTGGTAGAGACAGGATCTTGCTCTTGCTCAGGCTGATCTCAAACTTCTGACCTCCTCCTGCTTCAGCCTCCCAGAGTGCTAAGATCACAGATGTGAGCCACCGCACCTGGTCTATTACAATCATTTAATAATAGAGTGTTGCATAGAGGTGCTCACAAATATTTTTAGGTGAATGGGTGTTCTCAGTGGAGAGCTGAGCTTATGCAAGGGGATAGTACTCGATGAAGAGGATAAATCTGGAGGGGTGTTAATCTTACAGTGGGCTCCAGGCACAGTTGTGAAGCCAAGGCAGAGACTACTAGCACACAGTCTCAAGACACAACATAGAAATTCTGCCTAAGTTTTCCAGTCCGTCAACTGCAATGTTGACTCTAATCTGAGCTTCCAGCCTGCTGCTCAGGCCCTATAGATTTCAGATTTGTAGTCTCCATGATTCCTTAACATAAATGTCTTTATATATGTATGTGTGTAAAAGAAAAACCCCAGTCTTTATCTGTTTTAATTATCTGTCAACATGATTAGAAATTATTTCTTCAATTAAAAGATGATTTATTTATCTAAAAGATCATATATATGCATTTGGTGGGATTTATTTTGTCCGAGGTTTTTTTTTTGTTTTGTTTTTAATGTTATGCTCTCTTAAACTTATTCACGTTAAATAAGTTAAACTTATTTTGAGTTCACAGACTAAGGAAATCTGAAACATTCAGATACTCACATAGTCAACAGGCTCTTTCTTTCATGTTTTAACTTTAGGAAGCGAACTTTTGCTATTGCACAGACCTGCTGCCTCCAGAGCACCATGCCACTGATTGTCTTCCCGGTTCCGTTGAGGAAAGACAAAACTTGTTCCAGCCCAACAGGGCTTCCCGTGTCTTTTGCTCCATCGTTTTGTAATTGTCCCCAGATTCCTGTATCTAAAACATAAGATCAGTATTTTATAAAGTGCTGTTTCAGTTGTGCATTATTTAGCTTTTCCTATGATCATCTTTACAACCAAAGGCATCAAAGTTAACGTCTTGGGTCAAGATGCAAGCAAGTTAACTCATGGCATTATTAAAGCAACTGCTGAAGAAAAGTGAAAGAAGCAAAAAGTATTGATATAATGAAATAAAATCTTCTGTTTTCTGATTTTTAAAAGTCCTCTGTCTGCAGCTTTGTAGGACTTAATTCATTTTAGGAAAATCAGTGAAAAGAAACTCATAAACCTATTTCTTGCAAGAGATAAACTATCTTAGTATTTATGACCAAGATGGGAGAGCTAGCCCATGCAGAAGTCCCTCCTCCTCTCTCCAAGAACATAAAAATATCTGATAGAGACAATATTTTTAATATAGCCATGGTTAAAAACAAGATAAAAAGTTACCTCTTTTGAAAAGAAGTTTAGAGAAAATGCTTACCTTTAGAATTCTAGAAAGCTGTGATATATGTATGGTAAAGGTTAAATATAATCACTTAAAATGTGTCAAGCATATAACTTCAAATATGAATTAAATAGGGAAAGAAGATGTAGGAACCATACTTGATCAATAAAAAAATACCCCAAAATTACAAAAATAAAAGGCACAGTAAAGAGTAAACACAATATGATAGTAAATAAGAAACAAAGAAATATCTTAGAAGCAACAAGAGAGTAAAGACAGACTACTTTCCAAGGAATAACAATTAGGCTTGAGAGCAGATCTTTCGACGGAAACAACTGAATCCTGAAGACACTGGAATAATATCTTCAAAATGCTGTAAGAAATACCGCATGTTACCACACATGGAGAATGGTATAATGGACATTTGAGACTGAGAAGGTAGAGGGGGGAGGCAAGTGACAGATGAAAAAATTAACTATTGGGTATAATATCCACTATTTGGGTGACAGGCACACTAAAAGCCCTGATTCATACTATACAATTCACCCATGTAACAAAAAACCATTTGTACTACCCTACATCTATTGAAACACCTTTTTTTAAAAAAGAAAAATAATTGTCAATGTAAATTCAAATTTTCTCTTCTCTATAACACTTATATTCAGGTAATATTAATATTACAGCATATACTTATCATCTGCTCCATGAGCAACCAGTGTTATACATTGCCGTATTCCACAGAGATACAATTTTTTCTCTGCCTTAAGTTTTTCCAAGAGCAGCCTGAATTGTAGCACTAACAAAAGCATATAGTCTCAACATTCAAAGCATATTTTCAAGATAAAATATTGTACAGAAAGACACAAGTCAGATTTCTTTTCTTTTTATTCTTCCTTCCTTTATTATTACATATATATTTTTTTTACCTGATTCATCAAGAGTTGATTTTCCTTCTAATTTCAGGAACACCTCATTCAAAGTTGTTATGGAAACACCATAGTTCTCAATCCCTTGGTTAGAACACTTATCAAGATCCCTGTAAAGGTCTTAAAGAAGGCACAAAAATAGACCAAAAGAATATAATACATATTGAGACTGGTAATAACCATATTTTTTAAAAACGAAAATATTGATAATAGGCCAAATGTACTCATCATAAACAAAACTGCAATATATATATATGTTCCCTTACTTCTAAAATTAAAAAATAATACAATGTATTTGTTAGTTTTCACATTGCTTTGAGTATAAAAGTTTAATTTAAACATTTATCTTTTTATTCTAAGAAAATTACATACTTTTTAGAAAAAATTATTTTATTTAGTATATTTTCAAAAATATATTTCTGTTATATTAATATTATAGAGACTGTTTAATTCTAAACCCCAATTATTTAAAAAATATTTTCCAGAGACTAGAGATTTGTACTTCCATGTTAGGATTAATTGTTAGGCAACTATGATAACAAATGCAAAATAACTGATGTTTACATAAATAATTAAGCGCCACAGAATCTTCTCTAGTTCAAAAATGTATAAATTAAAGGAAAGGACAAAGTGTGCATGTAACTTTGTACTCTCTCTTTATCCTCCCTTCTCTCCTTCCCCTCCTCTTTCTCTGTATCTCTCTTTGTTTTAACTTCTGACTATGGTGTGAAAATTACAAAGGAGCCTTGAAAGAGATTCAGTGCTTATGAGGGATTAGCAGGTCCTTTTGAGAGACAATTTTTAAAAAAGATATTGGGAATGATCCTTGAGGTGTTCAGGAAAACTGAAAGTTGGATAAAGTATAAACTAATTCAAATATTGGGAGAATTAAAGGCTTCTATCTTAATTATAAATAAAGAAAAATAGAGATGCATTGACGATTTATGGTGAGTTCTTAAATCGACCTAACTCTGGGTTCTTTTCAGTTTCTCTAAACTGCTCATCTTCTTTGGAATGCATTTAATAAGTAATCAGGTAAAACTTTACTGTGTAGTCATCACAAAGATTTCTGTTTTCATAAATGACACATATCTCAAAGATACTGTGTATGCATTTTGTACCACTGATTCTAAGATGAATACATTTTATCACCTTTGATATATCTGAAATGAGGATGAGTCATAAATGATGGTAAATCGTATTTTAAATGGCAGCATTAGTTCTTTCTGTTTCTTCATTAGTGGCACATGCTGTAGTTGAAGGTTTTTACACCTGATGAAATACCGTAGGTACTACATGTCAGGCATTATTCCTGACTTAATAGTTTGATAATATATTTAAATATATCATTTAATCCTCATAACAACATCAGAGTACTATTGCAATTTCCTTTTTACAAATGAAGAAATTGAGGTAAAGAAAAGTATTATAACTTGTTTAGGATTATAGAGCTAATAACGGCATAGATGGGATTTGAATCTAAGCTGTCTAGCTCTATCATTTGGGCTTCCAATCACCGCAATTTATCATCCGATGATGCATTTCTTTACTGACCATGGTTATGGCAGGCTTATTGATTCAAGTATGCAGCAATGGCACCAGTATTAATGTAAATACATTTTATAGGCTACACTTAAAAAAAAGAAAAAGAGCAACTAAACTTTTGGGAAATAAAACAGTGCATCGGGAGAGGCAATAGGAAAATGGTAAGAGCAGTGGCCCTCCAGGCTTTCATATTTGCAGAAAAGTTGTTAATTTTAGAATGTTTGGCAGCATGAAGGTTGATCTTAACTATTTTCAATACCATTAGGTTATGGTGTTCATAAAACAATCTGCATATTGCATACGATTTCCTTAGATCTACTTCAATAGTCTGGCACTGTTTTTGCAGACCTCTTCCTAGCCTGACCATACTCTCTCACTCATTCTTGAAACAAATTTCCTCAATAATCCTAATTTTAGTTTAGTGCTAGCCTGCACCACTTAATTGCACATGTTGTGACTTGAAATATGCTTAACATCTGTGTGTCGTGGTTTACTCATAAGTGACATGGAGATAATATAAGGACTAATATTAGAAATAGCCTTGGGGTTGGGAATATTAAACGAGTTAATGCATGGTGCCACATACTTAGCAAGCATTAAAACTAGCCATCATTCTTATCACTATCATTATTGTTAGTAATCTGATTCCCAAATCATTCTGTGGTCTCTACATTTTGTTACCTGGAAATTTGTTTGTCCTTTCCAAAGGCAAAACATATACAAGTTTTTCTTCAGTCTGTGCTGTTAATCTGGCATCAGGGATGTGCTGTTTTACCAGTGACGTTATACTCTCTGGGTCACACATTTCATTCAGATGCAAACTAACATTTAAAAAGAGTAAGTTAACGTTACTTTTACCCAACACTATCTTAAAAACAATCTCCTAACTATGTAGCATGTGTTTGTCACTTCATTAATATTTATGAGCCAAAAAATAATATAATTTACTGGACAAAGCAAGATATAAAATTACAGTTATAGACCAAACTGTTTAATTTATACAGCATGGCAGAGGAATTAGTGTGCAGGGTGACGAAAATCAGATAACTCAAGGACTCTTATTTGGAGAAAAGAGGCATTAAGCCAGATCTTGGCTTAGGATAAGGTAGAGTGGAATGTTTACTTTTGACTAGATTTATTTAAAAACCCGTGAGTGGTTCATTTTAGTTAAAAGGTACTGATTCAATTAGATCATTTTTTTTAAGAAATATTAATATTTTAGTGCAAAGCATAGAAAGTGATTCACATTACACCAATAATCTTGATCCAAAGACTCTACCACTTATAAACCAGGTAAGATTGACAGATTTTTAAAACTGTCTGACATGTGCCATCCTCATTTGTCAAAAAAAGTATAATCATGACATCTTCTCAGAGTTATTTGGAGAATTAAATATGATAATATGAGTATTCTATATGTGATTATTTTAGCAAGTGAGCCATAGCCAACTCTTAATAAATGATAGACATTACTTAATAATAGTAATAATTAAGGAAGAGAAGGAGAAACAAAAGAATGGTGGAGAAGAGGAAGCCAGGGAGAATAGAGAGGAGGGTATTAAAATTGCCAAGATGAACAAAAATAAACATCAAGAATATGATAAGAGAAAGGGCTGGAATATCAATAAATTACTCTTAGCAACATGTTATGAAAATATTTTCCAAAAATTTTATTTAAACCTAGATTAATCGTCATTGTATCCCCAATGTCTACAATCTCACATACCCTACATTCTAGCTAAAAAGGAGGGCAATTGTGACTTAGTTCTTACACCGCTCTTTTAAAATGAATTTAATAGTTACATAGTCTACTTTGACATATTGATACTGATAGCACCTGCCCCTAGCATTTTCAGCATGTTTCAACACGTTTCCCACATTCAGGGCTATACCTTAAATGGTACCCAATGCCCCATTTCTTCTTTAGGAACAGAGAAGAGCCTGCACACTTCAGCCTCCCATTGGATATGAACACCTTCCTATCTATGCAGAAAGAACCAAAAGATACATTGTATTAAGGAGTTATTCCTTTACAATTTATAAAAGAACAAATCCATTAACAAGCAATGTATTTTAGAAGCATGACACACTAGCATAGATACATTATCATCCTGGCCACATGTAAACCACTCTCTTTGTTATCCAACAACTACAATGATAAATTGTTATTAATAGTTTATTCTCCAGCATATTTAAAAAAAATTATCATGCATCTAAAGGATCTGTTTCAAGTCACCTGAGATTAATATTGAATAAAACAAATGATACCTTTGAGAATGTGCTACATATTTTACAACCAGTTGGCTCTGCAATGGGATCAGAATACTTCCCTGGGACAATGTACTCTGGAGTGCAGATATTCAAAAGAGTGAGAGCAAATTCTTCTATGTTGGCCCATAGCAGTCCCCAGTGACACACAGCTATGGAACATATCTACTGCTATGCTACACATGACCCTAATTTCTCACTAACATACATGAATAAAACCAAAAATTACCAGCCAGGATGTCAGCCTCATCCATAAACTGGGTACTGAAGAGAATTACTCTGTCTGACTTCCCCTCTTTCAGGAGATTCCATACTCGGTGTCTTGAAAGAGGATCCAATCCAGCAGTTGGTTCATCCAATAGCAAAACCTGGATAGTAGGAAAGCACATGAAATAATTCTTCTCTTTCAAGCAAGTTTATTTTTAAAAGCACTATTCTTATAAAAAATATTATGGAGAATATAATACCTCAGTACTGAGTAATTCATTGTAAAAATTCTCTTAAATTTATCATTTGCAAATTAAGCTGGATCTAACAAAATAGTTTTATAGTATTCAACCTGATTTCACCAGCAATTTTAGTTTGACTTACCTGAGGATCTCCTAAAATGGCAATCCCAAAAGTGAGTTTCCTATTTTGTCCACCGCTTAAATTTTGAGCAAGAATGTCTTGGATATTTTCCATCTCTAAGTCCCGTAAAACTTGTTGTACCTAACCAAATAATATAAGAATATTTAAAATATTTAAATATTTAAAATAAAATATAAGAATATTTAGTCTAAAACCCAGAATGTTTATTTTAAAATACTATCATTTTTCTGTTCTTTACAAAGGGACTCTTTGTCTAACCTTTACACGATGAATTGTGTAGAAATAACACAAATACATTTTAGAATTTTCTAGGTAAACAATTTCATTTTCATGGTTGTGTGACACCCCACTTGTTCATATACCTGTTGCTCCACTTCATGTGGCAGAATCCCTTTTATTTTAGCAAATAGCCTAAGGTTTTCTCTCACAGTGAGAAAGCCAAATTGCACATTGGATTGTGGACAAACTCCGGTAAGCTTTCTGACAGTTTCCAAGTCAGTCATTTCTGAAAGTGTGTGATTATATATAGTGACCGAACCTATAAGCAAAAGGTAGAGAGTTCCCATCAGGACAATGTGTCAAACTTCATTGAAATTATTTTTAAGTGGAAACAATGTATGTCAATTATTAGATTCATTTCAAAATATTTTGCCTGTAAGGCATACATAATTGACTGATTAAAAATGTAATGTTCACAATAATATTTGATCCAGCTAGAATGCTAATTAGTAACTGAATAATCATAAAACTACTTGTGAAAATTTTAAAACACAAATAATATCTTCCTAAATAAATGTAATACAATTCAATAAAAGAATAACAAACAAACTTCTAAAGTTTTTCTTTTAAATACCTGGGTGTAACAAGTAGTTAATGAAACTATTGAAGTTAATTAATGAAACTAACTACTAAAATGCACAGTTAATTCATTTAACCATGTACCTATCCCTGGATAATTGTCCTCTCACCTGATGTTGGAACCGACAGCCCACTAAGTATGTTTAACAAGGTGGTTTTTCCAGCTCCACTGTGACCAAGGAGAGCAGTGATCTGACCTTCATATATGTCAAACACCAGACCTGGCATGATGTTAAAAAAATTAGAGATCCTACTCAAAAACTCAGATCCTACATAGTAACTTCTCTGAAATTTTTATAATTTCCTACAGCATGAATATATTTGGTTAGTATTCTAACCAAATATAATTATGCTTGGAAAATAGTTAATGATACTAACCAAATATACTAAATATTCTAAAATAGAATTTATACATAATATATACTATGTTAGTATAATATTATATTAAAATAAAATTTACCTTATAATTCTTTCTTTTAAAGTTATATCTCATTTGATACGCATTTTATGGCTACAGCATTGTCAATAATATGTCATTATGTGATTAACACTTTTTTAATAAAAGCAGTTTTATCATTAGCAAGAGCCTGCCTATAATAAAGACAGCTTTAGGATTTAGGACTAGAGCATGTGATGAGTTGAAAATAAAAAATTCCCCAATACTATCATATATATTTCAAACCCTATAAGATGCTTAATGTTACACACTACTTTTTAATGTTACACATTGTTATGTGGCTTTTTATTTACTCAGAAAGAAATACAATGTGTTCAGATAAAGAAGAATCATGACATCTGAAATATCTGTTCTTACTCCCTACCAGGATGCTACAACAGTGAGGGGGTCACTAAACCAAGCAACCATATAAAACATGTTATTTTATTACCTCTCAAAGCTTCTATTTTTTCACGCTTTCCTGTATATTCTTTTTTAAGGTTTTTGATTCTGAAAAAAGAGGGAAATGTTTTCAGGAAATTGTGGAGATGGGTAGAGGGTTAATAAATCAAGTATTTGAGGCTTGAGCAAAGCCTCAAAGAAACTCTGGGGATTCTTTGCTTTCACACAGCCACTGGCAGAAGCACCTATGAGATCTCATTACAAGCAGCACTTCTCATCATTTGAAATCGAACCATCTAGAATACAGAGGGCATAGCTAGCATGTGGAAATACGTATGCTGCCACAAGGATTGTGACAAGTGACTGAATATGAGGAAGGCTGGAGATTACACCAATGATGGGGAAATACTAAGGTGGAGAAAAGAAAAGAAACAGCACACCGTAACAGAAAGATCAGAGCTTGGAGGTCCAATTATTCTGGGTAAAGTCCCAGTTGTGCCACCCACTAGCTCTCTTACAAAGGCTATGTACTCAAAACTCATTGAGTCCAGTTCTTCAACAGTAAGATGGGGATGGCAACATTAACTGTCATATAGGATTGAATTGTAGAGTAAATCAGATAATACAAGCAGAGCACAAACTTCTTGGAACATAGAAACCTCCAAAGAAGATGGGAAGAGGAAGAAGATGAGGACAAGGATTTAAAGCGAAGATAGATTTAAAAAACATAGCGCATAGAAAAAGACTTAGAATTAGTTGAATGTCTATTATAAACCAGTGCATTCTACCTGTATTATTTTCTTACATTATCACAACAAACCAGCAGTTAGGTTGTATTGGCCTGCTTATGCTCCTGTAACAAAATACCAAAATATTGGGTGGCTTGAAGAATAGACATTTATTTCTCTCAGTTGTAGAGGCTGGGAAATCCCAGATGGCAGTATCAACAGATTTGTCTTCTGGTGAGGGCTCTCGTCCTGACTCACACGCAGCCACCTTCTTGCTGTGTCATGACATGGCAGAGAGAGAACGCAAGCTCTCTTGTCTTCTTACAGATACAGTAATCCCATCGTGAAGGTCTCACCTCCATGATCTCCTTTAACCCTAGTTACTTTCTAAAGGCCCCGTTTTCAAATACCACCACTTTGAAGGTTTGTGTTTCAACATATAAATTTTGAGGGGACACAATTCAATCCACAGAATAGGTACAATGCAGTTTGAGCATATATGAGTTAAAATACTGTCTCACTTCCTAAACTGTGTGGCCTTGAGCAAGTTGCTTGGCTTTTCCTATCCTCTCTTTGCCCATCTTTTCTTTTTCAGGCAGTAATAGATATCAGCTTGCCTTATTCCTTCATTTCATCTAAGCAGTATGAATGATGCGTTTTTTTCCAAATATTTTGATGGAATTTAGCTTTAGTGTTTAGGCAGCAGATTCTAGGTTAGGTAGAATCTACTCTGTAATTGGTACGGTAATGAATTTTATTTGACATTTCATTCTTTTGCCTTCTAAACTAAGAGATGATTATGAGCCCAACTAGCTTAACCTCTAGGACAGAATAACCAAGAGCTTCAGAGCTCTCTGCACTGGTCTGTTGGATGTAGTACAGGCCACAGCAACAAAACAGGACATGCAGTCTTGAGCAGCCATGCCACAGGCAAAATCTTCTAGACTATCTCGACAGTCAGCATGTGAGACTCTGCTTCCAATGCCTCTGCCCATTAAATGGGGATAATTTTTCTAGAGCATAAGACTAATCTCGTTACCCACACTTCAGAAATCTTCAATACCCTCCTCCCTGTCCACTGAGTAAACAAAAATGCCTTCTTTCATCATTCAAGGCTTTGTATGACTCTTCTGATAGGACCAGATTCTGACATAGGCACTACAAAGAATATAAAACTTAGGGTTCCAGCTTAAAGGGAATCACAAATTCTGAGAACATAGCACTAATTCATGAGGAATGGGAGAATAATGCTCTTCGTTGTCTGTTCATATTGGACCTATGTTTTAAGAAACTAAATGTTTAAAAACTGTAGGTATCATAAATGTTCAGAGGTAAAATACATTAGTGGAACGGGTGGATCAGAAAGTTTTTATTGAGTAGTGAAATGAACAAAACATTAAATAATTAACAAAACTTCAGCAAAGATCTGGGATATTAGAGATTTCTAGCTATTTGAAAATCAAAGCAACCAGCATTGAACAGAGCACTTACATCATCTCAAAGGGAAGATATGCATATACTCATGGCACTAGTACTCTTAACTTCTCACGTTTCCTTCCCTTCTCTCTGGAATGTCTCTCTCCCTTTTACGTACTAGTTGCCTTTTCTCCTCATCTTATTATAAGCCAGGAAAGGCAGATGAAAGGGACAAAGTGAATGACCATAAAAAGGGTACAGGGAATGACAAGGGAGTTGATGGCCGTGTTTGTCACAAAGAGAGCAGCAAAGAGAGAAAAACATGAAGAGGAGAAATAAGAGAGAGAATGAGGAAAATGGAAATTTGAAGATTATCTTTTTGTTGATGGTTGTTGCTATATCACGTAAAAGTATATGTAAAGGTTGAAAATGTGAGAAAACAAAATACTATGAAAAATGAGTATATCCTTTCACGAGTGCAGCAGGCAGGGCATAGGTGGTCCAAAGGGGCACAAAAGGTGATCTTGGCACATAACGTTATGCCTGATAGATTGCTGGTCTCTGACCTGTTCTCCATTTGCACCTCTGTGCGATTTATTTGTTACCTGATGCCTTCTTTCCCATGGAATTCTGGAGACACTGGTTCAAAAGAGTCATTAGATGAAGGATCAGAATCTATTTCATTCTCAAGGACCACGTGGTTAGCTCTTTGGTGTTGATACCAAAAAGAAGACTTCAGGAAAAACAAGGGAGAACGTCGATGTCCATATTCAGCTACATGAGCAGGAGGAAATTAAATAATGTGTCAGCCACTTCAATGATTCCAGGCACCCTAGGGCAGCATGTCAATGCAACCCCTTTGATACTAAACCTCAACTCACATTATCATATTAAGGTATTAATTTTTTAATGTACTTTTGACATATGTAGAACAGTCAGGAAAAAATAACTAAGATGTTACCACATCATTTGTTGTTTCTAATATGAGAAGAATGTAGCATTGTTAACTAAATTAAAAGCTCCTCAAAGTGGAGTGAGATGCTTCAAGAGGAATTTAAATCTTCTATTAAGAACAATTTTTATTTCAATGTAGCCAGATACTTGGTTGTGTTTCCCAGAGTTTCTGGCTATGCTGAGAAATAGTCATTGTGCCATTGTGCTGGCAGTTTTGCGATTTCCTTCATTTAGATTAGATAAAGTCCATACTCCAAGTATGACAGTAAATATCATTAAATATCATAACAATAATGAGAAAGCTTGAAATTTCTTACTTTGGAGGTTTTTTAAAAAATCAGAGAACTATTATTCTGTATCAGTCCTCTCAGAAACGTGATGGATAAGTTATTCAAATGGTCCTTTCCTTCCTTTCATCTCCAATTTCTCTTTTTGCCTCTTCCCTAACATTTATCTAGTATATACTAGGAAGTGACAGGCAAACTCCAGAGATGCACAAATAAAGACCTTGTTTTTCCATAAAAGAGACAGTGCATTCAGTATACAATTAATAAATATTGTGCTATTGTCTAAGAAGTGAGTTAAATGGGGAAGCACTTAAAGATTTCTAAGTTCAAATATCAAGCACTAGCATTCTTTATCTAGTTCTGATAAAAACACTAACAGTATAATTATCCATAATCTCTTGCAAATGTCTGTTTTTAAAAAGAAATGCACTAACATGTTATAGTAGAGCAAAGTTGTAGAAAGTGATTCTATAAACAAAGTGCAGAATACCATTAGGCTTCTATTAAAAATTTTTTTTTTTTTTTTTGAGACAGAGTCTCGCTTTGTTGTCCAGGCTAGAGTGAGTGCCGTGGCGTCAGCCTAGCTCACAGCAACCTCAAACTCCTGGGCTCAAGTGATCCTTCTGCCTCAGCCTCCCGAGTAGCTGGGACTACAGGCATGCGCCACCATGCCCGGCTAATTTTTTTTATATATATATCAGTTGGCCAATTAATTTCTTTCTATTTATAGTAGAGACGGGGTCTCGCTCTTGCTCAGGCTGGTTTTGAACTCCTGACCTTGAGCAATCCGCCCACCTCGGCCTCCCAAGAGCTAGGATTACAGGCGTGAGCCACAGCGCCCGGCCTATTAAAAATTTTGAAAAAAATACTTGCTAATTTGTATTAAATATATTGTAGAGTTATTTTAAAGAAATGTGATTAATAATTGTGTTGAATTATAAACACGCTTATACTTACTGGGCAAAATTTTGTCAAAATACAATGTCAATACCAAATAGAGAAGAGCATCAAAAACCAGCATGAAAAGAGTAGCTATTATTAGGTACGGGTTGTTCAAAGAATTCAAATGGGCATTGGAATTCACATCATAGTCCAAATGTATAAGCTGAAAAAAAGATAAATTAAATTAAAAAGAATCAATATGGCATTAAGAATTATTATTGTCTTATTTCTGCACTGAGTTTGCAAAGACAAATAAGACATAATTCGTGTCTTTGCAGAGCTCAGATCTACTGGAAGATAATTTCAGTAGCAATGGAATTATCTAACTACAAAGCAATTTGGGAAGTAAACGGAAGTTGGTACTGAGAACTAAGAAACCCACAGGCAGCACCAGGGAAAGTCTTCTAAGAGGAAGTACAAATTCAATGAAGGTGCTATTTGAGTTGGACCTAATAGAGGACTTTGTCAGGCTTAGGATGGGGGAAAGGAGCGCATTCTGAGCAGAGGACTCCATTTCAGACTAAAAACTTGGACAGGTAAATGTATTTCAGTAATTGGGCAGAAGACAGAAGAATAATTTCTCCCTGATGTAGAGGAGAATATAATGAGTTTATAGGTAGCATATAACCTTTCATTTAGTGCTTTATAGTTATATCAAAATTAATTTTTATGACAGGAAGTTCAGTTTCATTTAGAAATGGGAAATTAAAAAGTAAAAATTTATTTATTCCAAATTTCTGGCTTTCAAATGTTTGTGATAACAATAAGGGTCATGTTTCCTGAGCATTAAATCGGACAAATGTTTACTGAGACGACCAGTTAGAAGTGGAAGCATCAATAATGAAGAATCATCCTATATTTAGGGGCTTAAGAAAAAACTAATTATGCTGAGAGAGAAAAATAAAAATGTCTCTTATCATTTAAGTGTTCATTTTTGCAAAAGTAGGATATCATTTTAGTGCTTAGAACATATTGCATGAATTTTTAGGAGGGAATCTGTTTAGAATGTTTTGTAAAATGTGACATAGTTACCTTAAACCCTTACCTGGGCCATTCCAACAGTAAAGGCAAAGGGGCTAAGAAGACACAAGGTCCATTCAAAAAATGCAGGAAGATGTGCGTACAACACTGTGAATCCCAGGATACCCCAAAAGACAGTAAGGAGAAAGACAACCAAGCCGGTGAGGAAAGGTTTCTTTATCAACACACTCATCAGGAAAGATAAAGTTATCTGAGAAAAGAGAAAAACTTCAGCTGGTGTAAAATTCACTGAGAACCATCCGTAGCACAAAAAAAGGAATTTTATATTATAATAGTATATTTCATCAATTCCCCCCCCCCCCAGATACTGTTTCATGCAAATACTGCAGACAGAACATATGACAAATGATTGGGAGGAGAGAGAATGGGGTAATAAGAATGAAAGAGGGATTGAGATTAAGTTGATCAACTCACCAAAGACAGGCCATAGAGGAGAAAGAGGGTGAAGACCACCACAAAACCAGTTAGGACGACAACTTGTGAAGATTTAATAACAAGAGCCATTAAAGTGGTCATAATAAGGATGAAGCCAGCATACATCAAACCCCAGGAAAGCCTAGCAAAGAAACAAAGCATCAGTTCAGAGTGCTGTTACTTCATCACTTCATTCATTTATTCTTACTGAATAAATCCTTAACTGAACATTTATATGTTTGTGACACTCGTCATTGATCAGGGTAAAGAGGATGCAATAGCTAACAAATCTGAAAACTTCCCTGCCCTGAAGCTCATATTCCACAGGGAAAGGTAGGTAGCAAACAAGTAAACGGGTAAAATTGATACTAATTGCAAATTAAGAAAAGCTAGGTAGTACAATGGGTGTAATTGGGAGACGTTTCCAGGGAGAACTTTTCCGGGAAAACATCTATGATGATTTGTCAATTTTGGATAAGTTATTTCAGTAAAGTAATTGTATAAACAACATGGACAAAAAAGTAGATTATGATGCCAGGGTGAGCAAACCATTTTTTCTAAATAGCCCAATTGTAAATATTTTAGGCTTTGCAGGCCATACGGTTTCTGTTGCAACCACCCAATGTTGACTTTGTAGCACAAAAGCAGTCATAGGTAATATGTAAATGATGTGTGGCTATGTTCCAATAAAAATATGTTCGCAAACAATGAAATTTGAATTTTATATAAATTTTCATGTGCCAGAAAATATTATTGTTCTTTTGATTTTTTCCAAACATTTAAAAGTGTAAAAACCAGTCTTAATTTGCAGATTGTACAAAAATAGTCCATAATTTACCAAATGCTGATACAGATGATTAGATATAGATACAGATTTATATTAATACATGGATATAGGACATAGAATACAGATATATAGAGAGATGGATAGATAGATATGAAGATATGTTCTTCCTTATTATCAATGTCAAAGACACAGGAAGAAAGTTCTTTATAGGGGAAAGAGAATAACTTTCCAGTCACATAGACATGGGTTCACGATTCACGTTTTCTCTGCTCCATTGTAACTATGTAATCCCAGGAGGTAGTTACTTAATCTCTTTAAAATTTAGTTTTCTCTACTGGAAAATAAGAGAATTAAAAGAAATTATATATTTTAAGAGTTAAATACGGCAACTGGTTTATAATGGGTCCACAATGAACAGCTGGTTTCTTTTTTACTTAAAGCAGAACATACCACTGTATTTTGGGATGTCTTCTTTTTAATGTCATTAATTGTGATGATTTACTTTTCACAGTACACTTTTGTTCATCTGAAATTGTTCATCTATACGCATTCTACAAACCTATCTTTAATTTTCATTTAAATGCTGGACTATAGTCATGAGATTTACCAGAATGCTGGCTCTCGAAGTCCCATCATTGTCATCAATGACTTAATGTATTGTCTTTCTTGTGCAACATTAACTGATGCATAGTATATAAATGCAGAAAAAGAAATAATGCAAAAGAAAATGAAAAAATCAGTTGCAATTCCTCCTTGGGCAATAAAAGGTAATATCTTCATATTTATACCGGTAACTGACATCAGCTCTTCCATCACTGAATGATTTGTTGTGACCTAAAGAAAGATATCAATGAACAAATTGTTGTCATCAATCCAATTATCTCAGGCTTTTTTGCTAAATTATAAGGAACAATGTACATTTAATCATTTCATGTAATATATATATATATATAGCACCTTGTAATTCCTGAAATGCTCCAGATTTTGTCTTGACTACTTACCCTCTTCACTGGACAAAATGCTACTTATGTTTTAAGACTAGTTGGAATGTCACTTCAATTATTAATAGTAAATCTTCCCTGATATCTCATAGTAGAGTATCCTCCTACGTCATTGTTTGACTAATACACCATTTAAAAATTCTGTGATAGAGCCAAGCATAGTGGCATGTGCCCCCTAGCTACTCTGGAGGCTGAGCCAAAAGGATTGCTTTAATCCAGGAGTTTGAGGCTGCAGTGAGCTATGATCATGCCACTGCACTCTGGATGGGTGATATAGTGAGTACCTGTCTCTAAAAAAAAATAAAAATAAAAATTCTATAATAGAACCTAAAATCTTATTATGACTATATATCCATATTTCTATCTCCCCTGCATCCCTGTAGAAAAGTGCCTGTGTTTTACTTATTTTTTGATCCCCACTACTTAGCACAATGGTTTGCATATAGAAGTTGTTCAGTATATTGTGCCTTATTAATGAAGTGAATAAATGATAGAATAGGGCAATCCATTATATCCCTGATAACATGGAAGGGTTGGTGGTGCCATCCTCATGATAATGAATGAGTTCTCATTCTGTTAGTTCACGCAAGAGCTAGGTGTTTAAAAAAGCATGGCACCCCACCCTTCTCTCTCTCTTGCTTCCTTCCTCTGGCCACATGATGCTAGTTCCCTTCCCTTTGCACCACCAGTGGAGGCTTCCTGAGGCTTCACCTGGTGCAGATGCCAGTGCTATGCTTCTTAACAGCCTGCAGAACCATGAGCCAAATAAATCTCTTTTGTTTACAAATCATCCAGCCTCAGGTGTTCCTTTATAGCAATGCAGCAGACTAACACAATCACCATCCACCAAAATTTAATTTGTAATGCAATTAGGTTCCTTTAACTTAATACTCACTTCTATGATAGCAGCATTAATGGCAGCTTGAAAAGCTACAAAGCCTTTCTCCCAGAACATCGAAGATTCACATGTGATTTTTTCATTCATTACTTGACAATGAGCTTTAGAAAAAGAACACACCCGTTATTATGGGATGGGACAATCTTGTTTATAGGAAAAATCAAAATTTCAAAGGTTCCAAAATGCACTCAAAGTCCATGACAATATAGTGGATGGTAAATCTTCTCATTTGAAGTTAGTAGAGCACACCCCAGGAGAATATACCAGAATTGCTTTATTAGTGTTTTTAGGACCAGCTGTCAGTGATTTTTCATTCAATATTATAATTCTTTTCATTATCAAGAATTTTTTTTGGAGCTTTGCTCTTCTGTTGCTTGTGCCAAGAAAGCACTAAATTTTTAAAAAATGTTTGGAAATCATTGAGCAAGACCATTTTGTCGAGGTTTTATTTTGGAGAAACAGAAATAATAGTAAATATAATTACTTAATAAAACAATGTAATTAAAAATGTAAATTTTATTTAATAAGGATGAATCTCTTTTATGTTCAGAAATTAAAAGTATATGTTTTGTACATTTGTGCAGTTAATTTACTTCTGCTCTCACATGTGACCCCTTGTGGCTACTGATATATTAATAATAGCATATATGTGCGTGTGTGTGTGTGTGTGTGTGTGTGTGTGTGTGTGTGTGTGTGTTTTCTACTAAGAAAGTTACCTGAATGGTCTCTGTGTTCTTTCATCCTAGGGATTCTATATCCCCAATAAAACTTCAAATGATATGAGAAGGTATCAGTAAAAATGACTTTCACTACATCTACAGAAGAGTTTAAATCCAATTCATCCATGCCTTTTTCATCAGGCCATCCCATGATTGTTCTTCCTGCCATGTGAAGAAAAGAGAGTAGTTAATTACAAAGACTTCAGTGTGACTCAAAGACAGCCTGCCATACTCAATTATGCTGAAGGTATTTTATACTAAATCTATGTCTTCCCTAAAGGTAGTATTGGGTCTGGGGGTGGGGGTGAGCTAGGGGAGGCACAAATTTCTAACATTCTAGATAAAATCGTAAGTGTTATATGGCAAACATTTTTGTTGAAAATATAATATGCCTTTCCAAATGAACTTTTTAACCAATAATTTAAAGCACAATGAATTTTTAATAATAGCAATACCATTACATCCACTTAAATCCATGTACAGATACACCCATCTAATGTTGAAATGTGTACTATAATACTAGTATATATTTCCGTCTGACAGTAGCGTCAATGTAGCCGAATTTACAAAAATAGCATATAATTGTTAAATTTGTATAGTGTTTCCTTAGGAGGCTTTGTGTAGTCTAAAACGCATAATGTAAACGGCTCAATGTTATTGATCAAACCCAGGCCATTTAACCCATATAATTCCTCACAGTCTGGATTTTGTTTGTGTTCCTTTGTCCTCTGTATTTCCTACAGTTCAACAGCTAGAAACCCTTTTCGCCAGACTATAGGTGGTGGTGCTGTGCTGTTTAATCAGAGCTTCATAATTTCTAATTGCTTCTTTTTCTTTCTTTTTTTTTTTTTTTGAGATATTAGCAGCTATTGATACACAGTGCCTAGGTCCATTAATTCAATGAGAGTTTCAAAATGTTCTATCATTTTAAAAAACTTATTAGTAAAATATAGAATAGTACTTTTCTATTTGGTCATGCAATATTACAGTTCACATAGGCTACATGCTGGTATTTCCCCTTTATTTACAAATTTTTGTAAGAACACATTAGTATAGGTTGAGTATCTCTTATCCAAAATGTTTGAGATCAGATGTGTATCAGATTGTTTTGCACTTTGGAATATTTGCATATACATAATGAGATCTCTTGGGGGCAGGACCCAAGTCTAAACACAGAATTCAATTATGTTTCATATATACTTTATACACATAGGCTGGAGGTAATTTTATACTGTATTTTTAGTAATTTTGTGCATGAAACAAAATTTTGACTGCGTTTTAACTGTGACCCATCACATGAGGTCAGGTGTGGAATATTCCACTTTGGGTATCATGTTGACAACTCAAAAAGTTTCAGATTTTAGAGCATTTGGGATTTCTGATTTTTGGATTAGGGATCCTCAACCTATATCATTCTCTAAAAGTAAACAGCTAGTTACATTTTCCTTTTCATAACATTATAAAAGCATGGACATCAATATCTGTTTGATGAGTTTCAAATCATTGCCCAATTTGTGCCAAGTTGGCTGCTGAGGCTTCAGACATAACTTACCAGTTCTTGGTGGCTCCTTAGCTATCTGGAACAGCAATATAATTACTGAAAATGGTTTATTTTGCTGTTCTCAAATCAGCTGTCTCTGCTTTCCAGTGGTTACTTATTAACTGTTAAGGGGCTGCCCTCAGAACCACCAGGTACCCCATCACTTCTCTTTGTACTCTTCCCATTCCCAGAGAAAGGTACCACGTTGATTTTGTGGCTTTTGGTGTTTCTTCTCCACTCATTTATATTTTGGGATACAAGGAACACTTTGTCACCTGGTTTTCTAATAAATATTGCTCATGGGGTTTGTTTTTGTTTTTGTTTTGAGACAGAGTCTCCATCTGTCATCTTGGGTAGGGTGCCATGGCATCAGTCTAGCTCACAGCAACCTGAAACTCCTGGGCTCAAGCAATCCCTCTGTTTCAGCCTCCTGAGTAGCTGGGACTACAGGCATGTGCCACCACGCCTGGCTAATTTTTTCAATATATATTTTTAGTTGTCCAGCTAATTTCTTTCTAGTTTTAGTAGAGATGGGATCTCGCTCTTGCTCAGGCTGGTCTCAAACTCCTGAGCTCAAATGATCCACCCACCTTGGCCTCCTAAAGTGCTAGGATTATAGGCATGAGCCACCGTGCCCAGCCTCATGAGTTTTTGATATTGTCTAGCTTCTCTCTCAATTTTTATGTATTTAAAGAGATTAAAAAAAAACACTGTCCAAAATTTCCAGAATCTTTTCACAACCATACATTTAAATATCCCTGAACTATCTCATTTTGCCATGTGCTAAAATGAAGATAACCCTTTTAACAGAATTTCCTAAATACTAGGGAACAGAGTAAGAAAACTTCCTTGAGACTGGAAAGAAATACACATTAATGTTGTTAATAAAATCCAGAAACTTGACTATCTAACACAATTTATCAAGGAAATCTCAAAATGAATTTGTGTCTTTTGCAAAGAAGGAATTACTGTGAACAGCCAGAGAACATACCTTTCATGAACGGGGCTGAAGCTACTATGTCCATTATCCTTTGGGTAGTGTTGGATTCAGGTGCAAATGCAATAATATAATTAGTATCATTAAAATGATCTACACGTCCCAAATACATTGCAGGCATTTGAGGAGAGTCGTTAATTTGATGTAAATTTAATGACATTAAGTATGCAAATAGTACTAGAAGAAGTGAGAAAAGCCATTCCTGCATAGCAATGAGAGAAAAATGAAGCAAATCGATGGGTGTTCTACCACAGATTAATCATCCACAAACAACTTAAAACAATTATGCAGCTTGCATTTCATTTGTTCTTGCTCCCAGTTTTTAAATGTCTTGATTTTATTTTGTACTTTAATCTTCACATTTTGAAATATTCACATTGTCTACCCAGACAGAACTATGCACATCAATTCCAATTATATTCAGAAATGTAAGTTTACTATACTTTTATGCCAATGATAAAGGCTAGATTGCTTCATGACTGGCCCAACGGCTTATAGTCATGTTAAAACTTCAATGACAACAATAATTAAATGGTAGGTGGCATGGAATAAGTAACTGGCTTCCATCAACAGGATCAAAGTCATACTTTTATCTTCTGCTTTCTGCATGTGGAAGAGGATAGTCCCAATATATTGTTCATAAAAAGAATTTTAGAAGTCTTTGTCACTGTAACCATAATCTGGAATTGGAAATGCAGCAGAATGCATTTGAAGCCCAGTGGGAAGCCCCCACTTTATTATTTAGCTGCACTTCTAAACACAAATCCTTTCAAAGGAGTTATATGTTATATTCATCATGTGATCCTCTTTGAGTTATATGTGTTGGTCTATGTCTATATCTGTTTATCTACATAGAAAACTAGATAGATGTAATGTCTATACGAAAACTAATTAAAAGGTTGGAAGTAAAACATCTATATAGAATGAGATTTCAACTTTTATATTTATATTTATATAATCCTTGCTCCATGTAGGAATTTTTGATACTTTATTCACTTCCAATCCTAGCATTCAATATGTATTTGTTGAATAAACATACACACACACACACACACATACACACACAAACCTATTCATAAGATCTGATGATAATATACCAACTTTTGAATTATGAGTATTTTATGGAAGACTTTATCTTACTTATTATATTTTTCTGAATTTAATGAATTTTCTACACAAGGCACATTGAGTCATTCTAATGATCAGAAGAAAATAAGTAATATTTTAATAGAAGTAAAAGTTCCAAATGCCATTTTATATTCCTGTTTGTTTATATGCCCATTGTTTCTTACAAATGTACATTGTCTGTATCCAGAGTGCAACTGTGTAGAAGTGCTACAATTTGTCTTTTGGTTGTTTTCTAAATTTTGGGTCACTTTCTGAATTAAATCTGAAAATTAAACTCTGCCTCTTTGGCTTTGGCCCTGAACTTCTGTACCTCTGAAATTCAAATGAGCTCAGAGGTTAAGAATTTTTATCTCTACAGTATACAGATGTGGCTTTATTTTTCAGGAAGTTTCTCAATATGAATTCTTTAAAAAATGCCTTCAGTAGGACATACAATAATGATATAGTTTTAATTTTACTTGAAAAAAAATACATTTTATCTGAAAAGATACCAAAGCCCAGAATTTGAAAAAATTCTAGCCTGCTAATTAGACTATACATACATGAAGCATAAAATAATGAAAATGAAGAATTAGTGTTGCCTGTAAAAATACTTTTTCACCCTCTGAATACTAGAACACATAGACCCCAAACCATACCAACAAGGTCGCTCTTTTCATCCTCCATTTTTTAAGACAATTCTTGCAGAGAAGAGCCCACGTCTGCTGAACCACACTCATGTGTCTCTTGTTCATTTTGACCTGTTTCTTTTAAAAAGAGGACAGAAGGGAAGTAAATGTGAAGGTCTGAAGTAGAAAACATTGTGCAACCAAACCAAAAAGAAACATCAGAACAGCTGTTTCCAGTTGCCTGTCTAGAGAAGGAGGAAGCCAAAAGCTAAAACAAAACATATGAAGAGATGCTTAATCTTGAAAGAAATAAAAATCAAAATGATTACGAGATGTCATTTTTCTCTCACTAGACTTGCAAAAATCAGAGGGGTTGATAATGTAAAGTGTTGTTGTCTCCCCAACACTTGGGACTGTTAAACTGTCTAATGGGGAGAAAGGAGCTTTATGTACTGACGGTGGAAATATAAACTTACCCCATGATTTTGGTGATTTATTACAAATTCATTACTACCTAGCAATATCCTATCATCAATCATTTCTGCTCCTGGGTATTTATCCCGAGGAAATTTTCACATGACTTCATGAGGGAACCTGTGCAAGGATGTTCTTTATAATGTAGATTATTATGGTATGCTGTTATAAAACAAATTTTGATGGACAGTCCAAAGAGTATGATGTAGGAATCAGCAGCAATGGATTGATACCCACCCATTGACATGAAGAGATCTTAAAAACATACTGCCAATTCAAAAGAAAAAAAAAAAAAGGAAAAGTTCAGAGTTATATTACAATGTTAATTCACACTACATGCAATACACATTTTTCAAAAATATCAAGGAAGTAAAGGATCACCATCAAATATGGTAAAAAAATTCCTTCACGTTTGGCAGTAGGAAATAGAAATGGAGGTTGGGAGTAAAGTGGGAATTTGAAATAAAATAAAAAACCAAAATAAGATAGAAGCTTTCTTTGAACCAAAAATTTTGTGTGTCACGAACTCAAGAATATAATTAACTCAAACTTTTATTGACCTTTATAATTGAATCTCTTCAAAGTCCAAAGATAATCATAAAAAAAAAAAAAAAAAGAAAAGAAAAAAGAAAAAACAATAAATCCAAAAGCAGAAAACCCCAAAGGCAAGTATATAGAAAGCATCATGGGAATTTTAGAGAATTTCATATGTTCAGTATGACTGGAACAAAGAGATTGGGGGTAGTTTGAATATAGGATAATGAAGAAAAAGCAATATTACCTAGCATTTAATGATGATTTCCTATGATCCAGGTAATTCTAAATGTTTTATAATAATTAATTAAATCCTCCTTTAAAGTATACAGGAGGATAGGTGCATGTTAAATTCAAATACTACACCATTTAATAATATATAAGGTGCTTGAGCATATGTGGGTTTGATATCCATGGGAGTCCTGGAATCTGCCCCCCCACAGGGAGCAAGGGAGAAATGTATTAGTGTATTGCCCAGACAGAGCTATATAACTGCATTGCAAGAAGGTCTGTCTCATTATCTACACATAAGGAAGAATAACAAAAATGCTCTGAGAGTTGTAGAGTCAAATGCCCAAGAACTATCTTAATTGACAAAGAAAGCATAAAGCCTACTCTCAGTTATCAGAACTCACTATTCTAAGAGAGGAAACTGGTCCAGGAGATGATTCAAGGGTAGTAGTTCAAGCTTTGGTGCAGTGCTTGGAGCGCAAAGCCAGTTGACTAATAAGGCCTAGGTCTTCATGGCAGTGATGTCCTCCTGTAGTACCATACTGAACAGGGATGGAGATCATAGGGTTGCTATTTTCTCTTCAATGGTTTTACTGATGAGGTTGCTCCTGATGAGGTTCATGGTTCAACCACAGAGCAGAAGTAAGCCATAAATGTGCTGACCCCTTCTGGTATTCAAGAGGCAGCTCAAATGGGAAGACAATTTACTCAAGGCGGCTTCAGGGGAGTGCTGCCAGACATGTAGCCTAACCATGTAGCCTAAACCATAGTTTATTGCAAGGAATACTATGCTGCTATTTATTTCCTGAAAGACAAAGAATAGTTGAAGAGAAAGGTGATGGGCAGAATAATGGTCCTGTTCTAATTCTGGGGCTTGCGAATATGTCACATTCATGAAAAAAGGGAATTAAGGTAGCAGATGAAATTAAGGTTGTTAATCAAGTGACTTTAAGGTAGCAAGATTACCCTTGATTATCTGGGTAGACCAGAGGTAACCACAAGGGTTCTACAAAGTGAAACAGGGAACAGGTGATGAGATCAGAGTGAGGTAGTATAAGAAGGACTCAATCTGCTGCTTCTGGCTTTGGGGATGGAGAAGAAAGCCATGAACCAAAGAATGCAGGAAGCGTCTAGAAGCTGTGAAAGTCAAGAAAACAGATCCTCTCCACAGCCCCCGGAAAGGAACGCAGCCCTGCCAACACCTTGATGTTAGCCTAGTGAGACCCACATCACACTCCCAACCTCCATCATTGTAAGATGATAGATCTGTTTTATCTTAAGCCATTAAGTCTGTGGCCATTTGTTACGGCAGCAATGGAAAGTTAATATAAAGAGGGAAAAAAAAATGAGTCTGAAACTATGAGGACTGAGAACATGACAGGAAGAAATTCTAAAGCAGGTATAGGACAAGGGCTTTAGGACAGAAATAGTTGCTGGAGGTTTCTTTTATGATGTGCCTCATTCATGGCACAAACTAAGGCATGAAGTTATGTTTAAAAATTGTCCATAAGTGAACAAAAAGATTCAGCAGCAAGGTAGATGAGCTCCTGATAATAACGCCATCAGAGCAGGCTGTAATAGCCTGGAAACCCTGACTCAAACCAAACTACAACCATTTTCAATTAAGAAATCAATGCTTAGGTAAACCTCAATATCTGAAAGTTAAATATAGTACTCAAATGACTATTCTTCTTTCTTTCTGTGGATTAATGTATATGCTGGAAAATATTTATGAATAAAAATTACATAATCTAATTATCATGAATGTGCTTATTTCCTTCTATTAAGACTCATTTTTTTTTTTCCATTGAACATCTTGGTGTAAATATCAGGGCAAAAATATTGGTCACCATAATAGCACAAAACATCTAGTTATCTTAAATTGCTCTGAATAGGAAATTGTGTCATTTAGAAATAATAAATTGATTGTAAAAAGCCAGTCATGTCCCTGTTAGGTAGAATTCCTGTTATTCAGAGAACAAATGCATTGCACAACAAATTAGATCAAAATCATTATATAATTAGTATGATAAACAAGGTCAATAAAAATGTTTCCCAAAGTTTTCTTGATGAGAATATTCTTAAGCCAGTTAAAAACAATTCAAAACTCAGAAAATCGTGCATCCTCCAATGTTTATAATTCCTCTGGCAGTAAAATTGAAAATGAACAAAAAAGAATAAGTAATTTAAATAACTCTGAAAATAGTTCAGACGTGCAAAGAAGCAACATAAAATGACATTCCTTTCAATTTACCCAACAGACTATTAGATAATACATACTATTTGTCCAAACATGCTTTAGTCATGATGTAAAAATGAAAATTCTTAGTTCTCCAACTGGTTATTGAGTTATACAAAATAAAATACTCCTATTATTTGAAAAATCAAAACAACTCTTAAATAACTTGCTGTACTTAGTGGTTTCCACCCAAATGTTTGGGATTTCTAGTCTTACATTTCCGTATGCAAAATAACCATAATTTTAAAGGTTAACTTACTCTTAGAAAAGCTGGAGGAAAACTCTAGAAGCACAGTTCATCCACAGGTCTCTGCATGTCCTGGAGAAGAATTCACATTCCTTTTGAGTCACTACTACATCATGCTTTTAATTTCGTGTTCATTGTGAATAGTTCTGTTTTAAACTGATTTCTGAAGAGGATTATGGTCTCAATTCAGCTAGGCTGCCAAAAACTCTTATGCTTACATAGTGACTCCTTTGTTGTTTTCCAATTCTTTGTGTCCTGCCAGTTCCTCAGCAGGGAGTTTGTAGTTGCAGATGGTTGGCTGAACAAATCAAAACACTAGGAACCATCAAACCAAGGAGAATCTAGTCTTTCTCAGCGGGCTTTTTCATATAAGGTCCTAATGGGAGAGTTGACTCCAATACAATCTTTTAAACAAAGATACGTAAAAAGCCAGTTCAGAGAATAGCAGAGCAAAGTGGAAAAGAAAACATATTTTTAAATGACATATATAAACATACAAAATATTAGGTCAGAAAATACCCCAAACTGTTCCGCAGGTTCTTAAAAACTGAATCTAGAAATATAGCATTGAAACAATGCAATTTTTTTCAGGGTAACAAAGTAAACTGTGCATTTTTATCTGCATCTCAATTGCATTGCATGCATGCTGATGACAGCATTCTTTCTTGAAATTGAAAACAGGAGACCCTTTAGAACAATGTCACATAAAAATGTCTGCATTCCTACAGGCTTGTTATTTCTGCAACAGGTCCCAGAAAACAAACTACTTTCTCTGTATTGGTTTTTAGTATATCCTGCTTTCCAGTATTGTAGAGAAACATTTTGAACAGGTAATAGCTACCATCCTATCTTTTTTTGAGCATCTCTTGTAAGTAGAAAGCAAGGTTGTTCCAAAATTGCTTTAATTCATGGAGTTTATCTTTGGCTAAAGGACAAACGTAAAAAAGGACCCCTATCTTTCTACTTACAGCTAGTAAGTCTGTTAAATTCCTCTGCACTTTGATTACTTCCTGGACACACAACTGAAAAGGAAACAATAAATGCATACAATTCCTAAATCTGACTCTCATCTGTGTCCCATTGGCCATTATAATCACATGAAATCTTCCTTATCTATTTCCCATGTCCTCAGTATTTATTCAATCATATTTACCCTTTTACTAATTATATGGGATCCAGAAATGGCTCAGCAAGCAGAGTCTATAGACTCAGATTGAACTCATTAATCCATGACACTATCAACCTTTTGAAAAAAGACTTCTAATTGTTTCTGTATGTCTACTGTCTGCTATAGAAGTTACAAAATGATTACATTTCATAACATTGCCAGCATTTTGTGTACAGAGAATATAATTTAGGAATTTTTTTTTCTAGTAGCTTGTTTCCTTGAAAAACTTTGTGTCTAGGTCAGAGCTTATAAATTCTAGCCTAGTCCACTTTTGGTCATGAATTCTGTTCTTTTCCTTCAATATGTCTGCCTCTTCTGTCACATGTGCCACACTGTAATCTCTGTGGCACTATAATAGAGCAAGCTCACTCTCATGAATCTTCTTTTCAACATTTTCTTAAGTCACATGCATTTACTCTTCTAAATAAGTTTTAGAATCAGTTTACCAGTTTAAAAAAATAATCCTTATGGGATTTCAAAAATGAAATAGCACAGATTTTATAGCATAATGTACTTATTTAGCAACTACATATAGCTTTTACCATGTGCAAGGTACACTTAAATATTAACGCATTTAATCCACATAATAGTCCAATGAGGTAGGCACTATTATAATCACCCCCATTTTACAGATGAGAAAGGGGAGGCCCAGAGAATTTAAATAACTTGCCCAAATTCACACGGTTGGCGAATAGCAGAACCTGGGTTAAAACCCAAACCATCTCCAGAGTCTGTGAGTTTAAATTACAAATGCTATGCTATCTCACTTTTGTATGTCTTTGTTCATTCAATTATGCTTACTTTAGCTACACACATTTTACAATTTTCCTTGTTTTTCGTTTCCTTTATTTTGCAGCAATATTCTTCAGTGCCAGTAGCCTTAGAAATTTCATGTGATGTGTTTTGCATCAGGCTAAAACATTCCTCTTGGAATCGTTGCTGGCTATTTGTAGAGTACTAGTCCCCCTGGGACCCGTGTGCTGCTCTTCTCAACATTTTGTGCAAAAGCAGAAAATCTTGATCTGCAAAGAGAGAAGAATGAAGCGGTCCAGCTGTCTGATAAAAAGATACTGATAAAAAGAGACTGGAAAGGTCTGTTTGTTCCCCAAGGGCTTTTCTGTTCTTGCTTTTTGTCCTTCCTTTGAGCCAGCTGTGCTGCCTGCATATGGGTTTTGTCAAATATTCTCCAAAAATTTCTCTTTGTTTCTTAAAAATATAATAAACAAATTCTACCTGGTCCTGTTTTATGCTTTTTTGCCTTGAAATATCCTTTTTGCGATACATTCCTGCCCTCCTTTCTTATTTGCATTTGCCTTTCACAGGTATATTTTGACCAACCTCAGGCATTATCTACCTGCAGGGTATCTCTGGAAACAGTACAATTACATTTTTCTTTTTACCTCATCTGCAAATCTTTTACTTTCCATGAGCAAGGTGTGAGATTTAGGTCCCTAGGATAATCGATCCATTTGCTCTGGCCGTCTTATTTTACTGTCTCTTTAAATTAAGCTTTCCTGTTGTTTTCCATGTCTCCATTTCCTCCCTGATCATGTGTCCTCTGTTCCTTTTTTGTAGGTTCCCCTTTTCCCCACCTCTCATCCAGAAAGTTCTGGATTGGTAATTTGATCTATTAGTGATTACTAACCTCAAATGTTAACAAACATGTTTGAATCTACATTACTCTGGTGATGTGACAACACCAGCCTATATTTCTATCCATCTTTCTCCCCACATTCCTGTTCCTTATAAAACAAATCCTTTAGCATATTTGAACTTAAATCCTTAGCTCTACTTCTGACTTACTGTGCCATGCTTGAGCAAGTGAGTTAGCTTGGAAGCTTCTATTTTCTTATCTATGAGATCCAGAGGATATAAGAGTATCTATCAAATGTCATTTTAGAATTTAAAAAATTCAAGATTTGTTGAGGGGGGTGATTAAAGTAGACAATGCATGTAAAGTATTTAGCACAGCACCTAATAATAGTAACAAGGGATTACTTAGTAAATACTAGTGATTATAGTCTCCATGGCCTCACCAAAACTGGACATTATAGCTATTTTTAAATTTTACCAATCTGACTGATAAAATATAGTACCACCGTGATAACATCCATTTCTTAGATTACTTCTGATGTCAAGCATATTATTTTTTTTTTTATTTTTTATTTTTTTATTTTTTTTTTTGAGACAGAGTCTTACTTTGTTGCCCAGGCTAGAGTGAGTGCCGTGGCGTCAGCCTGGCTCACAGCAACCTCAATCTCCAGGGCTCAGCGATCCTACTGCCTCAGCCTCCCGAGTAGCTGGGACTACAGGCATGCGCCACCATGCCCGGCTAATTTTTTGTATATATATATTTTTAGTTGGTCAATTAATTTATTTCTATTTTTGGTAGAGACGGGGTCTCGCTCAGGCTGGTTTCGAACTCCTGACCTTGAGCAATCCGCCTGCCTTGGCCTCCCAAAGTGCTAGGATTACAGACGTGAGCCACCACGCCCGGCATCAAGCATATTTTAATATAACTTTTGGCCATTGGTAAGTATTTTGACTATACTAAATCTGTCCACTTTTTCTACCTATATTTTTGCTGCTGTGTCATTACATTACTAGTTTTTTGTTTTGTTTTTTGCTTTTGGGGTTTTTGTTGTTGTTGTTGTTGTTGGCTCTGATTGAAAAGTCTTAGATTATTCACTTTAAAAATAGTATGTTACTGCTTCCTTGTATCTAATTTTGCTAATAAGAATGCTAACATAACTTTGGTACTCATAAATTTGGCGTATTTTGTTTTTTTCTCTAGGATATTTTACAACTTTCTCTTAACCACAGGTGTATGAAATTTCACAATGTGCTTAGGTGTAGGTTTTGCTTTTGTTCTTTGTCCTGCATGGCACTTTGTGTTCACTTGCAATCAAAGAACTTGTGTCTTTTTTTTAAGTTCTGGGAAATTTTTGACTAATACTTTTGTCAAATATTGCTTCCCTACTAGCCTCCTGGAATTTTATTAGATATTTGAGCTCTGTTGTCCTTGTCTCTACCTATTGCCTGTCATCTTGAAATGGGACAGTAATCCATTTCCACACAACCTATAAACAATCCTTCTGACCTACAATTCTATCTTATCATTCCCATTGCTGCCTTGACTATGTTCTGGTTTCTCTGCGAGGATTTATTTTTTTTTTATTTCGGCATATTATGGGGGAACAGATTTTAAGGTTTCAATAAATGCCCTCCCCCGCCCCCACAAGTCTGAGTTTCCAGCATGACCATCCCCCAGATGGTGCACATCTCACTCCTTATGTATATATATATACCCGCCCTGCCCCCTCCCCCTGCCCAATACCCTATTACTGTAGTACCTATGTGTCCACTTAGGTGCTACTCAGTTAATACCGGTTTGCTGAGAATATATCTGGTGCTTGTTTTTCATTCTTGGATACTTCACTTAGTAGTATGGTTCCAGCTCTAACCAGGAAAATATAAGATGTGCTATATCACCATTGTTCTTAGAGCTGAATAGTACTCCATGGTATACATATACCACATTTATTAACCCATCTTGGATTGATGGGCACTTGGGCTGTTTCCACAGCCTTGCGATTATGAATTGTGCTTTAAACATTCGAGTGCAGGTGTCTTTTTTGTAGAGTGTCATTGGATCATTTGGGTAGATGCCCAGCAATGGGATTGCTGGATCAAATGGTAGATTCACTTGTATCGCTTTAAGGTATCTCCATATTGCTTTCCACAGAGGTTGAACTAGTTTGCAGTCCCACCAGCAGTGTAGGAGTGGTTTCTCTTCTCTCCACATCCACCGCCAGCATTTGTTATTGGAGACTTTTTGATAAAGGCCATTCTCACTGGGTTAAGTGATATCTCATTGTAGTTTTGATTTGCATTTCCCTGATGATTAGAGATGATGAGCATTTTTTCATATGTTGTTGGCCATTCTTCTGTCTTCTTTAGAAAAGTTTCTGTTCAAGTCCTTTGCCCACTTTTAAAGGGTTATTGATTTTTTCTTGCTGATTTCGTGAGTTCTAAGTAATCTATAGTTATCAGCCCTTTATCAGATATGTAGATGGCAAAATTTTCTCCCATTCTGTAGGTGTCTGTTTACTTTCATGACTGTTTCTTTTGGCTGTGCAGAAGCTTTTTAGTTTGAT